TTTGGCGTCTGGATGTTCTCAGTGAAACCTGTGGGCACGAACCACTGAAAATACCTCCAAAGGTAGAAGAGCTGAGGGGACAATCTCCCCAAAGAGTAAATGCATCTCTGGGACGTGGCTGGGAATTAGACAACATGTTAGTTTAAAATTTTAAAATGAAGTTTGGAATTTCCCTCTGAAAGGGTCTGCAGAGGGAAGGTTAGGGGAGCCGCCGGCGATGCAGTAGACCAGTGGTTCTCAACCAGGTGTAAGCGTACCCCTGGGAGCACACAGAGGTCTTCCAGGGGCTACATCAACTCATCTAGATATTTGCCTGGTTTTACAACAGGCTATGTAAAAAGAACTAGCGAAGTCAGTACAAACTAAAATTTTATACAATGACTTGTTTATATTGCTCTATAGAATATACACTGAAATGTAAGTACAATATTTATATTCCAATTGATTTATTTTATAATTATATGGTAAAAATGAGAAAGTAAGCAACTGTTTAGCAATAGTGTGCTGTGTCACGTTTATGTTTTTGTGTCTGATTTTATAAACAAGTAGTTTTTAAGTCAGGTGAAACTTGGGGGTACACAAGACAAAATCAGATTCCTGAAAGGGGTACAGTAGTCTGGAAGGGTTAAGAGACACTGCAGCAGGCAAAGAACCTAGGAAGGAACTTCAGGGGATGGGGTATTCCCACTGAGTGACTGACAGGTCTGGTTTTGTCCCCAAGCTGCAAATAGTTGCAAGCAGGCCAATGTACCATTATAACAGACCTGTGGACCACAGCACAAAGAAGAACATACAGGAGTATATGATTACAGCCCCTTCTGGCCTTAAAAAAGTAGGAATTCTTGAATGAATATGTCGCTAACTCTCTCTGTGTCAAAAATGCAGGAGGTGCAGAAGTAAGGTTGTTTTGGTAATTTGGGCGGGGTTACTTGGGAAGAGTTAAGGGTGCTTAGGGCACATTTTATTTTTTAAGTTTAAAAATGAAATGAGAGTTTTCTCGATTTCCACTATATATTTTTTTTAATTCCAGCATTCATTTATAGTTGTCTTTCTTGCAGTTACAGTCCTGGTAAGTTTTTCTCATCTAAATTGCAGTTTCAGAAATAAAACGACTCCTGGAATTTCTTTGTTATTATAGACAGGTATTTACACATTTGTTGGACATAAACAAACACATGTCAATGGGATCTGCTAGTTTACTAAGCACTTTTGAGACTCAGATAAGAGCTCTAGGTGAACATGGACTCAGAAAGCTAACTTTAGACACCTGTGTCACAAATGGAGCTGATATGTAACAAGATTATGAATAAGGCTACGATTCTGTGACGGAGGTCATGAAAGTCATGGAATCCATTACTTCCAGAGACCTCCGTGACTTCAGCCCGCAGTGCCTGGGAGCTGCAGAGTACCCCTGCTACCCATCGTGGTTAGGAACTGTGCCCGCCCCACCCCCCCGAGCTCCAAGCCACCACGGGCAGCGGGGCACCCCCGCAGCTCCTTACCACTGCAGGCAGTGGGGCCCGTGGGAGCTCCGAACCACTGTGGGCAGCAGTGTCCCCTGAAGCTCTGACCCACCACGAGCAGCATGGGTGCCCTACTGCTCCCGGCCTCTGGGCAGTGGAGGTGCCCTGGAGCTCTGAGCTGCTGTGGGCGGTGGGTGCCCCCTCAGTTCCTGGCTGCCACAGGAAGCAGAGCCCCTGGGAACTCCGAGCCTCTGCAGGTGGTGGAGGGACCCCCGTAGCTCCTGGCCATCATGGGTGGTGGGGGACCCCCACAGCTCCTAGCTGCTGTGGGTGGCAATGGCCCCCAGAGCTCCTAGCCATGGGTAGCGGAGGGACCCTCAGCTCTCACCAAGGGCTCCCCGAGGGCCGTGTGGTGACCCCGCAGCTCCCAATTTTGTCATGCATATTTTTAGTAAAAGTCATGGATCGGTCATGGGCTTCCCTGAATTTTTCTTTATTGCCTGTGACCTGTCCATGACTTTTACTAAAAATATGTGTGAAAAAATCTTAGCCTTAATTATGAATACTGGAAGCATTGTTATGTATTAATCAATGACTACTGATGTAATAATGATAGGGGAAGTCATTGGGTCATAGGACTTTCCTTTCCTGTGCTGTGAAAAGAATAGGGAGGCAAGGCAACACAATGGCTTCCCATATAAGAACATCCAGATATACACGAGAAAGACAACAGGGTACAGCTGTTAGGGTCAAAGATCCTACGTCTTGCCTCCAATATGCTGTAAACTTGTTTTTGCAATGCTGGAGCCTACCAGATAAAAGGGCTACAAACAGTTAAAGCGTGTGTTGATTTTTACGAAGGTGAGGGGACTTGTCAGAAGCCATCTAGGGGGACAGGCTGACAAAGAAAGAGAGGCTCTATGGAGGAGTCTAAAGGAATTTAATCTTCCCAGAGCCAGGGATTGGCAACTGTTGTGGAAAAGCAAGCATTGCATTTAGGGGGGGTTTATTGTTTTTAAGATATGTTTTCTCTGAAAAGCTTTTGTTCTAAATAAATGTTGCTATCTGATTGCTGATTACCACTGTCCAGAGTCCTGGTGGGAACAGAACTGTAGGCTTGGAGTCCAACTATTCATATAAAATGATAGGGTGTAAATTAGCTGTTACCACAGAAGAAAGAGATCTTGGCGTCATTTGGGAAAGTTCTCTGAAAACATCCACTTAATGTGTAGTGGCAGTAAAAAAAGCAAACAATGTTGGAAATCATTAAGAAAGGGACAGATAATAAGACAGAAAATAGCATATTGCCTCTATATAAATCCACAGTATGCCCACATCTTGAATACTGTGTGCAGATGTGGTCCCCCCTTCTCAAAAAAGATATATTGGAATTGAAAAAAATTCCAAATAAATCCATTAGTCTTTAAGGTGCCACCAGACTCCTTGTTGCTTTTATTAGAATTGGAAAAGGTTCAGAAAAGGGCAACAAAAATGAATAGGGGTATGGAACAGCTTCCGTATGAGGGGAGATTAAGACTGGGATTTTTCAGCTTGGAAAAGAGACGACTAAGGGGAGATATGATAGAGGTCTATATAATCATGACTGGTGTGGAGAAAGTACATAACACTTCCTTATTTACTCCTTCTCATAACACAAGAACTAGGGGTCACCAAATGAAATTAATAGGCAGCAGGTTTAAAACAAAAAAAAGGAAGTATTTTTTCACACAACACACAGTCAGTCTGTGAAACTCTGCCAGAGGATGTTGTGAAGGCCAAGACTATAACAGGGTTAAAAAAAAAATTAGCTCTATCAATGGCTATTAGCCAAGACGGGCAGAGATGGTGTCCCTAGCCTCTGTTTGCCAGAGGCTGGGAATGGGCGACAAGAGAATGTGACAATGGTCTGTCTGGCCAGAGCTCTGGGATCTTTGTGACAAGGTGGAGGAAAGGGGACAAGTCTACAACCTGGAAGGCCAAGGGGTGGGACAAAAGAATGAATTCAAAAGTGTAAAGTTTTCTTATTATTTCTCGATAATACAAGCCTCTGTGAAGCAGGGATTCCTTCTGCCAAACAGTTCTGGAATAGGGAAGGATGGAGGCTGGTTTGGCATGCCTCCAGAAACCATTTACTGGAGAAGAGACTCCAGTAGAGACCTATGGGGAGGACTCACTTCCTGCTTGAATCTTTCTTGCTTCCTTACAAAAGGAAATTTTCCTCCAAACAGAAGCCACTGCTCCAGCAAACAACTTATTATTATTTGTTCTGTGGTAGAGTCTAGAGGCCCCAGCTGAGACTATGGCCCATTGTGCTAGGCGCTGTACAAAATGTAGTGCCTCAGACCCTGTCCCAAAGAGCTTACAGACTAAACAAAGGTTGGGAGAAAGGAAGGATTATTAGCCCCATGTGACAGATGGAGAGGCAAGTCACAGAGGGATGATGTCCCATGCCGGACTGGAAACTGAACCTAGCTTTTCTAAGTCTCAACCCAGTGCCTGAGTCTCAGCACAAGGCCAGTCTGCCTCTCCAAAGACGGTGCTACAGCTGGTAAACAGAAGAAAGGCACAATGGAAAAGGAGTGTAGTTTTCATTCTCGTCATACTCCAAAACAACTGGACTCAAAACTTCCAACAACAAAATATTCACCCTCAGGCAGACCTGAAAAATATCAGCCCTAAAAGATGCAAGTCTGAGACAGTTATGAGAACGTACAAAGGGAAATGCTCAGGCAGCCTCGACTTAGGGTGTCACTAACCCTTCTAAGTAACATAGCTCAGCACATCCTGATGAATGGCACCCCCAGGCAGGTGGCCTGGAGCAGCAGGCACATTCCAGGGAAAAGCCAGCTCCCCACATCAGAGCAACTTTGTAGCCAGCAGAGCAGACACAGAAGCAGCCTCAGCAGGTTCTGAGGCAGGGACCTAGGGACACTGCCATGAATGATGCTCCAAGTCCTTTTCACCCCGTCCCTCACAGTCTAGTCACCTCAGGTTCACTCCAGCTGCCCTTCATCCTTTCCTCCCCTCCCTCTTCTTCTGCACCCCTTCCCATCTATGTCCTCTCTCCACTCCTGTGTCTTTCTGTTTAGCAAATCCCCTGCTAACAAAACTTAAACCACAACATTAAAAACAAAAAACAATTAAAAACGGCAGCACTCTAATGCCCTTTGCTGCCCAGCCCTCGGCTCACACTGCTGGCAGGTTCTATCCCTTTTCCCTACCCTGTGTCAGTCTTGCTATTTAGATTGTAAGCTTTTGGGGCAGGGACTGTCTACTACTCTGTTTGTACACTGCCCAGTACAATTGGCTCTGACCTTAGCCATTTCCTAGGCACTACTGTAATAAGCCTAAGTATATGGGAAGCTCTTTCCAATTCAGCCCTGTGTAGAGAGCATACATAAGGCCAATGCACCACTGGTATCCCCAGCTTCAATCTAGCACAGATGCCTTCTTCAGGCTGTCTACCTGAGGGTGAATTTCACTCTCCGTGCCTCTAGCTAGTAAACACTTTGCTCCACCTCTCCCTTTTGTACATACCTTTAAGAAAGGGGCTCTCTTTGCAGCGGGTGGCATCAGTATGTGCTCCAGCTTTTGGCAAAGATCATCCAGAAGGAACACAAGCTCTGCTGGCCCTAACTGTACAATTTCTCTGGCCTAAAATTTCAAGGAAGAAAATAGTTCAGTATGTTCATCTCCATTAACCATCCTCAAAAGTAGGCACACAGGATCTTGGGTTATACATAGGATGGATTACCTAAACTTGGTAATTTAGGGTAACACTGATCCCCAAAATTCCCCATTACACATTGGACAGCTGTGGCAGCTATATGCTGTGTGTATATAGGACCAACTGAACAGGACCAACTGACCTGGCATATCTCCAAGAGACAGTCTAAGAAGTTTAAGGCCTATGAATTCTTACCCTGAATCTGTTGGGAAAGACCTGGAAGTAATTTAATCAAACTCATGCTACAGGACTACCCAATGCATGCTGGGCTCTTGTCTGAACTTTGTTTTGAGACTCCTGTCAATTCCCTCATTTTTCAGCTAAGATGGTTTGCATTAGAAGAGCTAATGGAAAACTGTGGAAGGATGGCTGTGAACAGCCTCGGACTTTTCCATGGACTGAGAAATATAAATCCCAGTGACACAAAATCAACTCTGTTTGTCTTTACTCTGGTCAGTTTTTGTGTATGTCCTTTTCTATGCCTTCTTTTATTTTTCAATCCAAGTTATGGGTGTTGGGCCTATCAAACCTCAAGGTCCTGGTTTCTCAGGTATTACCATAATACCCTAACTGGTCCAGGACTTGGTTCTGCCTACTCATCTGATGTTGGTTACTGCACTGCAGATGAGGGGCAAAACTCCATGCAGCAGTGGGAATGCACCTCCAGTCCCATCTTTCCCATCTGCCCTTTCATGGACATGATACTTTGCCTGCCCAAGGAAAGAGTCTTCTCTCTTTTTCTTCTCATGTGCCCTGTCTGTGTGTGTCCTGTCTGGTTGGGAAAGTGACTGGAGTGAACATGATGTTCTGACAGTAGCTGAGAATGGTTTGGATGTGACATCAGTGATGTGCCATCACTAAAACATGTGGTTTGTGACTTGCAATCCCCATTAGCTCCAAAGGGTTTAACACGTCCCATGTGGTTAGTAAGAGAGATCAAAGCCTGAGACTGATCAAAGCTGAAAGAGCCTCAAGATGGAGCACCAGCTGGAGGTGCAAAAGTAACATCTATTTGCCACAGCTATAGTGTTACTATCTGTCCTAGGACCTTCTAAGGCACCTGTCTTTTCCTGTGTGGACGTGGATACCTTCCCCGAAGCAGCATACTGACTTTCTGCAGTTGGGTTATGGGCCATGATGAGATTGGATTTTCTCCATTTTAGTTAAGCAGAGGAGGCTAAGTCTTCCAAACCCGTGGTGAGAATGAACCAGTTACAGCTCTGCAGCAGCCTTCTGGCCCCTCTTGGTACAAGTTTACTCTGTTACACTTACCTCTGTGTGCATCTCCGAGTCCAAAATAGACTTGGTCAGCAGCCCACAGTGCAGGATGGTGAACACCTCAAGGTCTAGCTCTCGGAAGAATGCACGGTAACTCTGTAGCTGCACCAAAGGGATCCCTGACTTTTTTTCAGTGGTGTCCTGAAATGAAAATGGCAATGTTAATAACAGAATAAAGCCAATGGTCACATCTGTGCTCTGGTAAAGAATACTGCATGTAAAAAATGTTGGTCCTACAATACAGGACTCTACATTATTTGGTACGTGTGAAAACAGCCAAGGGGTTTCCCTTGAGTGCATGATTTTCTCCAACACAAACCAACTCCCCTCTGCTCCCCCTAAACGATCCCAGCTCAATAAAGACAACTTCTCCCACATTCCGTCTTCCACATTTTTTTTCCCAGGTTGAGCAACAGGAAAGCCTTCTTGGTAGTGAAGGCATGGAATTGTCTCCTAAGGAAGTGGTGAAAGCATCACCACTTTGGACTGAATAAAGCACTAGAAAATTTGCTAAAGAGACCAATACTACCTTCACCCCAGGAAGGTTGAAAAGATGATCTAAGAGAGTTTTGACATCTCCAGATTCCATGAATCTATGGTAAGAGCAAAACTCACAGTGCACTCGATGAAAGACGATATTGTGTGACAAGTGATGTGAAAGAGCAGGAAGACTGTTTAGGAAATGATCAGGTCTTAGGTATCAGTGTCAGACTCGAATGAACACTACTGGACATCCTATGTATCAAACAAGAAAATTTCACTCTTCAATGCTGGAATATCTTCCACCAGAACCTGAGGCATCCGAATTTGAGGCCAGACACTCTCTTTCATTAATCAAAGAGATCTGATCTTAACAATAACTAGTCTAAAAGGTAAAAAGGCACTTATCTAGCTAAGGATCTGAGAATCATAGAATATCAGGGTTGGAAGGGACCTCAGGAGGTCATCTAGTCCAAACCCCTGCTCAAAGCAGGACCATTCCCCAACTAAATCATCCCAGCCAGGGCTTTGTAAAGCCTGACCTTAAAAACCTCTAAGGAAGAAGATTCCACCACCTCCCTAGTTAACCCATTCCAGTGCTTCACCACCCTCCTAGGGAAAAAGTTTTTCCTAATATCCAACCTAAACCTCCCAAACTGCAATTTGAGACCATTACTCCTTGTTCTGTCATCTGCCACCACTGAGAACAGTCTAGAGCCATCCTCTTTGGAACCCCCTTTCAGGTAGTTGAAAGCAGCTATCAAATCCCCCCTCATTCTTCTCTTCTGCAGACTAAATAATCCCAGTTCCCTCAGCCTCTCCTCATAAATCATGTGCTCCAGCCCCCTAATCATTTTTGTTGCCCTCCGCTAGACTCTTTCCCATTTTTCCACATCCTTCTTGTAGTGTGGGGCCCAAAACTGGACACAGTACTCCAAATGAGGCCTCACCAATGCCGAATAGAGGGGAATGATCATGTCCCTTGATCTGCTGGTAATGCTCCTACTTATACAGCCCAAAATGCCGTTAGCCTTCTTGGCAACAAGGGCACGCTGTTGACTCATATCCAGCTTCTCATCCACTGTAACCCATCAGTCCTTTTCTGCCGAACTGCTGCCTAGCCACTCAATCCCTAGTCTGTAGCAGTGCATGGGATTCTTCTGTCCTAAGTGCAGGACTCTGCACTTGTCCTTGTTGAACCTCATCAGATTTCTTTTTGGCTCAATCCTCTAATTTGTTTAGGGCCCTCCATATCCTATCCCTACCCTCCAGCGTATCTACCACTCCTCCCAGTTTAGTGTCATTTGCAAACTTGCTGAGGGTGCAGTACACGCCATCCTCCAGATCATTTATGAAGATATTGAACAAAACCAGCCCCAAGACTGACCCTTTGGGCACTCCGCTTGATACCGGCTGCCAACTAGACATGGAGTCATTGATCACTACCCGTTGAGCCCGACAATCTAGCCAGCTTTCTATCCACCTTTTCGTCCATTCATCCAGCCCATACTTCTTTAACTTGCTGGCAAGAATACTGTGGGAGACCATATCAAAAGCTTTGCTAAAGTCAAGGAATAACACGTCCACTGCTTTCCCCTCATCCAAAGAGCCAGTTATCTTGTCATAGAAGTTGATTAGGTTAGTCTGGCATGACTTGCCCTTGATGAATCATGCTGACTGTTCCTGATCACTTTCCTCTCCTCTAAGTGCTTCAGAATTGATTCCTTGAGGATGTGCTCCATGATTTTTCCAGGGACTGAGGTGAGGCTGACTGGCCTGTAGTTCCCCAGATTCTCCTTCTTCCCTTTTTTAAAGATGGGCACTACATTAGCTTTTTTCCAATCATCCAGGACCTCCCTCGTATGCAGTACATCTGGCCCCATGGACTTGTGCTTGTCCAGCTTTTCTAAATAGTCCTGAACCATTTCTTTCTCCATAGAGGGCTGGTCACCTCCTCCCCATGCTGTGCAGCCTAGTACAGTAGTCTGGAAGCTGACCTTGTTCATGAAGACAGAGGTAAAAAAAGCATTGAGTACATTAGAAATCCAAAGAGGTTCACGTTCTTTTACTGCTGTGGTTGGAAGGAATTTAGGTGGCAACAGCCATGCAACCTTCGATAGCCACACCTTTAGAATCTGCTCAAACACTACCAGAAGGTTCCACTGTCTCAGCTACACTGGTCAGTGCATCACAAGACGAGAAATATGCAGAGGACACTCAAACAAGAACCGACTTTCCAAGCTCAGATGTGAGGATCATGTCAGAAAGCAGCACTGAGCTCTTGAACTGAGATTTCTATCACTGTTAAGAGTCCCTCTCCTCGCTTTCTGTTTTACTCACCCCTTTCTTATCCCCCACAAGCCCCTTTTACCAATAGTACCTTCTCTAGCTGGGTGGTCTCAGCTTCGGACTGATTTCCCTCAGGATTCTCCTCCATTTGTGAGTGGTCTGCAGAGGAGTCTTTGCTGCCTTCAGATTTTTGTTTTTTTCCTCCTGGAAGAGAAACAGTTTTACAAACATAGCCCATGCCAAACCTGAGCCTCTGCGAGAGGTCAGCCAGGCTACTGATAGGGGAATGCTCATGCTGTAATCTAGTCAGATTTAGGAAAGCAGCTGACAAAGCACAACATAAAGACTATATTGGAGATAGCCAGGGTCACAGCCTGAAATTGCAGGGCCCAGGACATTTGGGGTCCCTTCCCCAAACACTCTTTTTTCTTTTTCTTTTTTTCTTAAACTAGTTTACTTAATTGGGCCCCATGTTTTTACTATTATCTACATATATTATAATGCAGTGCTATAAATCAATAGAAATGCCCTCACCTAGAATACTGGGTTCAGGACTAGTCACCCTATCTGCAGAAGGAGAAAGGGTTCAGAGAAAGGTGATGAGAATAATTAGAAGCTTAGTAAAATTCTCATCTGCACAGAAACTGAAAAGATTGGGACTGTCACCTTAGAGAGGTCAAGATAAAAGTATTTTATGTTTGTACAGTGCCTAGCACAATGGAGTCCTGGTCCACGACTAGAGCTCCTACGTGCTATGGTAATACAAATAATAATAATAAGTTCATACAATAATGCATGGTTGTGACATGCTATACCTCAAAGTAGCATCCTGTAACCCCCATATTCATGATTGGTATATGGTTGTGATATTTCAAACAAAGTGTGCCTTGCAAGTCGTCATATGAAAGCTCATGATCTGCTGAAAACCACTGTTCTGTCAAAATATGTATATTGTTAGTGTGTATAAGATTTGCTATATGGTTGGTATTAAATTATGTTGTGAGTTTGGGAGATGCCCACTGCTAGCTCTCCAGTGACTAAAGGGTGGTAACCCATACCCAGGCAGGCGTTAAATGACCATTGATCAATAGGGGAATTGTAAACAAGGTATTTACAATTCTGTAAAAGACAGTTGTGTAAGCATCACACAATAAGAATTGCTCAACTCTATGACTCAGTTGCATAAGCACCACACAATGGGAGATTGCTCAACTCTGTGACTCAGCAAGGCCAACCAGGACATGTCTGGGACATGAATTGAGAGTATAAAATAAGGGACAGTGGCATGGCACCATGATTCCACCTCTCTCCTGCCCCACCTACACTGAAGGCAATAAGAATGCCAGGAAGACAAAGACTTTGAACTGAGGAGACTGTCCCAAGCAGAGAAGGAAATTCAGCCTGTGTATTAAGAACTGTAACCTGCCTCCAACATCCAGTCAGGTTAGAAAAGCTGTTTGATTCAAATCTTGCTTAGTCTATAAGTTTAGGATTTAGAATGCGTGTTTACTTTTTATTTTCATAGGTAAATATCTCTGACCTTTATGCCCATCACTTAAAAGCTCTCTTTCTGTAGTTAATAAATTTATTTTAATGTTTTATTCTTACCAGTGGGTTTGTCTAAAGTGCCTGGGGAATCTGCTCAGGTTACAAAGGCTGGTGCATGTCCACTATCCTTTGACGAAGTGGCGAACTAATTAATGAGCTTGTACTGTTCAAGAAAAGGTCTTGAGGAGTGTAAGATGGTACATTCCTGGGGTGTAAGGCTGGGAATATTTGCTGGTGTTTCCCTGTGTATAGTTCATGAGTACCTTGGAGAACATTCGTGCAAGATAACAGCGCCTGGAAGGATTTGCTGTTTGTCACTGGCAAACCATTGTGAGAGAAAACCCAGGCTGGAGAGTAAGGGGAGCACAGCAGTCCCACAATTTCATGTTGTACCCAAGGGATCCCATCACAATGGTCTAGAGAGGTTAGATGGAAAGCTTCTGTTCTCCCTGTCTCTTACCACAAAAAGAAGGGGACATTCAGTGAAATCAAAAAGGAGCAAATTGAAAACTAACAAAAGAAAATAGTTTTTCACATGATGTTTGATGTGGACTCTGTGATGCTGTATGGAATATGGGAGACACTTTATGATATTGTTGATACCAATATTATAAAATTGCAAGGAATCCGACAGATATGCCACGTATGGTATCTGTGAAAATGTTATGATTTGCCAAATATAATGATCTTGTTTATATATTTGTATCACCTTTATATTGTGACAGGTTTCAGAGTAGCAGCCGTGTTAGTCTGTATTAGCAAAAAGAAAAGGAGTACTTGTGGCACCTTAGAGACTAACAAATTTATTTGAGCATAATTTATTTGACAATTTTGTTAGTCTCTAAGATGCCACAAGTACTCCTTTTCTTTTTATATTGTGAGTTATAGATATGTATGATATATCTGTGTTTCAAAGCTTATGCTGTGTTTCTGGGTGACACCCCCAGACAGATTGGCATCACGACTTAACCTGTTTGATGGCCCATCAAGGGTCTTCAGCTATATAATGAACCCATTGAAAAAGCCAGGGACTACACTTTAGGAGTCAGCAAGTCATGTAGGGGCATGCCTATGGGCAGAACTCTAAGGCTTTTCAATGCCATGTGCTGTGAAGCTTGTGTTTGGGACACAGGAAGTACAAGCCGCATGATAAAGGATATAAAAAGGCAGCTGCATCATCTCCTTTTTGTCTTCATTCCTGCTTTTAACCTTTGGAGTAACTTTTCTAAAAACTCAAGCTCTCAACAAAGGACTGAATGACCCATCCAAGCTGTGGATGTGTTCCAGAGGGACTTTCAAGCCAGCAAACTCATCAATACTGCTAAGAACCTGATACATACCGAGACTTCAAAGTCCATATATCTGACCACTTCACCATTTAACAACTCTCTTCTTGTTCTTTCTTTTTTTCTTTATAATAATCTTTAGTTTTAGACACTAAAGGATTGGTTAGCAACATGGTATTTTGGGTAAGATCCAAACTAATATTGACCTGGTAACATGGCTAGCCCTTTGGTGTCAGAAGAACATTTTGTATATGTGAGCAGAGTTTTTATATAACTTCTCGCTGTACTGGACCTAGGTGCTGACTGAGGGCCAGAGAACTGGAATGCAATAAAGGCAGTAGTGTGATTTCTATTTTTTGCTTCTCGACAACCAGTGGGGGGGATCAGAAGCACAGTTTATGACTGTTGGTGAGTTTGACTTCAGTATTAACCACCACTTTGGGAGTGTCTGCTCTTCCTTTTGCAGTCTTCCCTGAACTTGGCATTTTCAGTAAGGACTACCCCAGGCACACAGAGGCACATATTCCTTGCTCGAGGATGTCACTGTGGATAAGATGAAACATTTCTCTGGGTAACAAGAAGATCCAGAATTATAAAAGAGAGGCTACCTAGCAGTAACGTCTTCTTCAAGAGTTGCCTCTGTACATTTACACATGTGGGATATGGCACCCCCTAATGTCGAGCTTCAGAAATTCACTAAAAAGCTTTGTCCATTAGGGAGTTCATGAGTATTCTTGCGTGAAGATGATGTCATCACCTACTCTGTATCAGGGAGCGGATCTCTCCAATGGCTTTAGTTCTTTCTCCTTAGACCAGAGTCTTAATGTTGTATAGAACTCTGAGGTAGAGAGGCAGTTGGGTAGGTACTCTGAATGCACAGAGGTGACTTCAAAGGCCTCTGTGCATTCCCATTTATGGGAGATTGGCAAGCAGTGCTCCATCAGGAGGAAGGCGGGTGAGGAGTTCTAGTTAGATACAGACTGCAGCACCACTCTCACAAACTGGATGTGCAAAGATAAAGGTGTGCGTGGAACTCCAAGTTGCTGCTTTACAAATCTCGCACAGGGGAATGTGCCTAAGGTGTGCTACTGAAACCACTACTGTGGCTCTGGTGAGGTGTGTCTTCAAGCCAGGAGGTACTGGCTTTCTGGCTAAGGTGTAACAATGCCCTATACAGCTCTTAATCCACTGAGAAAAGCTTGTTTATTAATAGGTTCCCCCTTTAAATCTCTCCCCATTAGCAACAACCAAATCCATAAGAAAATCACCAAATCCATGAGAAAATAAAATAGATTATTTCTCACTTTCAGATGACATTGTAAATAAGAAAAACTAGTTTGTTTACATTTACGGGAGATAATGCTGCTGGCTTCTTAGTGATTGGCTGAATAAGAAGTAGGACTGAGTAGACTTGTAGGCTCTAAAGTTTTACATAGTTTTGGTTTTGAGTGCAGTTATGTAATAAAAAAATCTACATTTGTAAGTTGCACTTTCACGATAAAGAGATTGCATTATGATACTTGTATGAGGTGAATTGAAAAATACTATTTCTTTTATCATTTTTGCAGTGCAAATATATGTAATAAAAATAATAATATAAAGTGAGCACTGTACACTTTATATTCTGTATTGTAATTGAAGTCAATACATTTGAAAATGAAGAAAAACATCCAAAAATAGTTAATAAATTTCAATTGGTATTCTATTTTTAACAGTGAGATTAAAACTGCGATTAATTGCAATCACATTTTTTAATCACAATTAATTTTTTTGAGTTAATCGTGTGAGTTAACTGGAATTAATCTACAGCCCTAGTAAATATTATACAATAAGTTTTGGAAAGATATAAACCCCAGGGCTTAAACAGACCTCTAACTACTGGGAATTAAGAGGAAACTTCCCCTGGAGGCAGGTTATCCCATAACCACCTACTGCAGCATTTCTTGCACCTTCCTCTGAAGCATCTGGTGCTGGCCACTGTCAGAGAACAGATACTGATCTGATCTCTGTTTCTAAGGTTGCACTAATGTGGCTACAGCTGTGCAATTCCGCTGAATCCTTGACTGCAAACTGTGTGCATAAGTATTTTGAGGAATTTTCTCTACCTGTTTTCTTCTTTTTAACTAGACCAACAGCATTGACAGTTGGTGCTGCTTCCAGGGCTTCACAGTCAAAAATAGCTGGGGGAAGTACATAGCCAGGGCTTGCTGAAAGAGTCAGAGGACAGTAAGTCAGTGAGTTCAGTTCTTCACATAAACAATAAAATATGAGCAAGCTAGACTTCCATGGGAAATGCCCCCACTGATCCTGGTCACCTCCTCCTCTACTCCTATGCTTAATGCCTTAAGTTACCTTTGATCCCTCCATAGTGTCTGGAAGGTAGAGCACCATCAAGGTTGCTCTAACTTATGTCCTGGCGGAAATGGCTCTCTTTCTGCCATGTGCCAAATAAGAATGACCAGGACCCAGTGCTCTCTGGCCTCACCTCCTGTATGCCCTTACACTGGGGGCTGATAGGGAGGCCAGCACAGAACCATTCCAGCAACTCTAGGCCAGCCAGGGAACAAACACTCTTACTTCAGGTTTCAGAGTAACAGCCATGTTAGTCTGTATTCACAAAAAGAAAAGGAGTACTTGTGGCACCTTAGAGACTAACCAATTTATTTGAGCATAAGCTTTTGTGAGCTACAGCTCACTTCATCGGATGCATCCGATGAAGTGAGCTGTAGCTCACGAAAGCTTATGCTCAAATAAATTGGTTAGTCTCTAAGGTGCCACAAGTACTTCTTTTCTTTTTACTCTTATTTCAGGGTATTCCCCTGGGGCCATTGCTGCCCTCTTTATGTTGCTGCAGCAGTTTAAAGGGCTAGAGCTTGCTTACTACTTCCAGACCTCAGTTTATCCAAAGATTTAAAAATGGGGCTTATAATTAGGGCCCTACCAAATTCACGGCCATTAAAAACACATCACGGACCATGAAATACAGTCTTTCATGTGTTTTTACTCTCTATTATACAGATTTCACAGAGGAGACTAGCATTTCTCAAATTGGGGGTCCTGACCCAAAAGGGAGATGCAGGGGAGTCGCAAGGTTATTTTGGGGGGTGGGGGGAGTCACAGTATTGCCATCTTTACTTCTGCACAGCCTTCAGAGCTGGGAGGCTGGAAAGCAGTGGCTATTGGTCTGGCACCCAGCTCTGAAGGCAGCGCCCTGCCAGCAGCAGCACAGAAGTAAGGGTAGCAATACCATACCATACCAGCTCTGAAGGCAGACATGGGATGGTATTGTCACCCTTACTTCTAGGCTGCTGCATTCAGAGCTGGACAGCCAGAGAGTGGTGGCTGCTGACTGAGGACCCAGCTCTGCAAGCAGCCTCCTAGAAGTGATGAACTGATGAAGTGAGCTGTAGCTCACGAAAGCTCATGCTCAAATAAATTGGTTAGTCTCTAAGGTGCCACAAGTACTCCTTTTCTTTTTTCTAGAAGTAAGGGTGGCAATACCATACCATGTCATCCTTACTTCTGTGCTGCTGCTGTTGGTGGCGGCTCTGCCTTCAGAGCTGGACTCCCGGTCAGCAGCCACCGCGCTCCAGCTGCCCAGCTCTGAAGGCAGAGCCGCCACCAGCAGCAGCACAGAAGTCAGTGTAGCAGTACCGCAACTTCCACTACAAAAACCTTGTGACACACACCCCAGCCCAAGTCTTTTTTGGGTTAGGACCCCTACAATTACAACACTGTGAAATTTCAGATTTAAATAGCTGAAATCATGACATTTACAATTTTAAAAATCCTATGACTGTGAAATTGACCAAAATGGACCATGAATTTGGTAGGGTCCTACTTATAATGCACATTTGTTACAACCAGATCTACTCTGGTGAGACATTGTCTCTTCATGATATGGCTATTAATTAGCTTACTAGAGTGTCTGTCACTTTCTACCAGATTCCATCAACATTTGCTGATGGCTGTTGGGAATAGTGTAGGAGAAGTTCAAATGAAGACGTAATTCAGAGAATAACTATACAAGGCATTTAGCCATGCAGAGTGGTCCCCTTCCAAGGGCAAATTCTCACTTAGACTCTGGATCCTGTATTCTGCATAGCTCACCTGCTAAGCACTTTCCTAGCATGTTCTGTAGCTCGGTGATGTTCTGTAATCGAGTCAAAACTTTCCCTTTCATCTCAAGGTCCTGTTGCTTACAGAAGGCATTCACGACCTATAGATACAAATCATACTCATTAGCAACAAAAGGGGCACTATTCAGTAATTAATTTCTCCTGCCTGACTAACATCTACTTGTCCCGAACATCTGGGTGACACCATTCACACAGGCAGTTTATATCTCTGAATCCACGCTGCACAGAAAAACCCATCTCTTCAGAATTCCATCAGAAAAAAACTATCAGAGCAGCAATGCCCATGTCTCTCTCATAATTGCTACACAGAAGCAGCTACTGGACATCCTTTTAGACATGTTTACGAAGAGGGACTGGTGAACATATTAATTAGGGGAGAGGAATTAACACATGATGCGTTTGTCTATCCCAAAGACTGAGACAAGTGACAGCCAGGAAGCCATCCACCAGGAAGGAGACATGAATTGTAAACAGCACTCCCTGTGAAGCCACTTACAGCTGGTCTTCACTTCAGAATCCCTGAAATCTGAAAGAGAGTGCCTAGGGACATGGGGGTCTGTGCCCAATCCAACTGGGGGGCAAGCAGGGAAGAGATGAAGGGATCTGTGCCCACCCAACTGCCCTCCCCTGCATTTGAGGGGCAAGACAGGTCCATGGGGGCCTGGACCTGCCAACTCCCCCATTGCACAGGTGACATGTTACAAGCCTGTTAGAAGGTGATTACAATACAAAATTCTGTAGCACAGTAAGGTATGAAGTGAGCAGTGGAAGGCCTAGCCTCTTTCTGCAGTTCCACTCACCTCACGGAACCAATTGAGGGCATTGAACAAGAGTGAGCACAGGAATTCCCTTTCCTGCTTGGCTAAGGAGCCCAGCTTCCCTTCTATCTCCAAGTCAGTCAGGTATAGGGGACAGCCTGTAACAGAGCAGGAACAGGGCTACTTGAACTCTGCTTGCCGGGCTCAGTTACCATGACATCCATCTCTGGCACTCTCACTCACATGGCTTCCCTTTGTGTGGAGAATGCTTTATTCCCATTGCATGCACTGTACCAACCACCACACTGAGCACTTTTGAACTCAACCTCCCACCAGAGGAAACCGAGCCCAGCCAGCCACCTCCCTCAGGTCAGAGAGCAGCCCACCATGTCCAGAGGGGTGCGGGTAACACAACACCTCAATCTCTCCTGTACCAGTCCTGGAGACCCTGCCATGACTGCAGAGATTGTTGGCAGAACTAGGGCAGGGAGAAGGGCTCAGACAGGTGGAGCTCAATGGCTATTCCCTATACCTAGCAAGGCATCGATCTCCTCCATGCTCCCATTGTGTTGTTCTGTCGTGTAAAGCCTCAGCAATCGGAAAGAGGGACACAGACACTCTGGAGACACTATCCTGGGAAAAGAAGAGATAGGCTGTTTTCTGCACTCTACTACTCAGCAGGGGAACCTCAAGAAAGAAAAATATTTCCTGTCCCTCTGAAGCCACTGCCCATTTGTAATATTCTGCCCCTGCCAGTCTGCAGGGAAGAAAAGCACCATGGTTAACTTTTCTCCCTCAGTTTTGCTTCTAAAGAATAAAGTCCTTGATCTCAAATGATTAGGGTAAAGTTCCACAGGTAGAAAAGAAGCTGTACTTGAACCGATCAGATCAGACCAGACCAGGGTCCATCTAATCCAGTGTCTGGGCAATACCAAATGAGTCAGAAGAAGGTGTGAGAAGCTGTGAAGTGAGCAATTGTGAAGGAGAAATTTCCTCCCAATTCCCTCAGTAACTGGTTGCTTTTGCCCTGAGGGAGGAGGGCTCATGTACCTCCTAAAAGTGTTTTTCACACTAACTCTGGATTTTCTTGTCATTCATGTCAAAATGTCAAATTCTCTTTTGAACCCAAAAAGTTTCTGGCCTCAATGAGCTCTTGTGGCAGTAAGTTCCAATGCTGAATATATGTTGGTAAAAATTAATTCCTTTTAGAGTATTAACTTTGCTACCTTTCTGTTTCAGTGGATGTCTTGTTCTTGTAGTAAAAAAGGAGCACTCAATTATATACCTCAATCACACTTCCTCCAGCTTTTCTCTAAACTAAATCTATCTATGGTACTTAATATCAACCCCATTTCTACAGTATCATAATCTTTGATATATTTATTATTACAACATCTCCAGGAGGCAGGGAAATGCTATTTTCCCCATTGTACAAATGGGGAACTGAGGCAAAGGGAGACTAAGCAACTTGTCAAACATAGCACAGGGAGTCTGTGGCAGGCGAGCACGCAAACCACTATATCATCCTGCCCCTCCCACACCACAGAGCTCCAGACATCTTCATCTGCAAGAAATGGACAAGAATACAGGCTCCTGCCTAACTTTTCTGTCTAGTCATTTGATAGGCACTTAGGGAGGCAGAACTGTGACCAGAATTTATAGTGCATGGCCCTAAGAGGAAAGAACATCACTGCAATTTATTGGACAGTGAAATGATTTTAAAAGGAAGGCATCACTTACTTTTTACCCTGGTTCCTAGTTGCCATTTCACCAACACTCTTGCCAAGCCAGTTCTGTGACAGCAGTGGCAATAGGTTGATAACAATTGTTCCCTGACTCTCATCTTCATCCAGGTTATACAAGGACTTCACTGGGAACAGGTGAACACTGCAGAGAAACCAGTTGTCAGTTGCAGTCAGCATCATGTTAGCAAATTTAGCTATTGACAATAAATATTATTAGCATTAACACTTAGCACTTCTCCAGCATACCCATCAACTACAGGAGTGAGATCTACCACAAAGTCATTGGAAAAGTCCTCCACCACACTCTTCCCAATCCGCTCCTGGAAGAAAGAGAACCACAGCTTAGCACAGGGGTTAGTGAAAGATGATCCCAAACAAGAGGGACAACAGATACAAAGGAGAGCAGAACCAAACTAAAGAATCCTGGAGAGATCAGAGCAGGGTGCAAGGAGCCATGGAGCCTGGGAAAGGGAAAGGAAATGAACAGCTGAGACACAAAACTGGGATTTTGCTAAGCAGCTGCAGCGAACATCTGCTCTACTTACTACTCTCTTAATATGCATTCTGCATGCAACCACGCCTTCTAGTTGCAGCAGGGGAGCCATGGGACTGGGACAGGTGGCATCCATGAGAAGGTCTTTGACTGAAGACCTGACCCACAGTATGCCAAACGCTTCAAAGGGCTGGTATTGTATGTCATGCAAACTGGATTCCATGCACTTTACACGTTTAAATCATCAGCGATGGCTGAGGGAGAGATAGAAATTAATGGGATTGGACAGGGGTAGGGGGAGAGAGTTGTCCAACAGTTTGTGGGGAGTAGGAAAGCTCCAAGAAATTACACATAGGAAACACCTGAATAAATGCCTAAGGGTATGTCTACACTACGAAATTAGGTCGAATTTATAGAAGTCGGTTTTGTAGAAAGCGTTTTTATACAGTCGATTGTGTGTGTTCCCACACAAATGCCCTAAGTGCATGTAGTCGGCGGACTGTGTCCACAGTACCGAGGCAACCATCGACTTCCGGAGCGTTGCACTGTGGGTAGCTATTCCACAGTTCCCGCAGTCTCCACCACCCATTTGAATTCTGGGTAGAAACCCCAGTGCCTGATGGGGCTAAAACATTGTTGCGGGTGGGTTCTGGGTACGTATCGTCAGGCCCCCCCTTCCCTCCCTCCCTGAAAGCAAGGGCAGACAATCGTTTTGCGTCTTTTTTTCTTTAGTTACCTGTGCAGACGCCATACCATGGCAAGCATGGAGCCCACTCAGCTAACCGTCACCGTATGTCTCCTGGTTGCTGGCAGACGTGGTACTGCATTGCTATACAGCAACAGTTTATTGCCTTTTGGCAGCAGACAGTGCAATATGACTGGTAGCCGTCGTCGACGTAGTCCAGGGTGCTCTTTTAACTGACCTCGATGAGGTCAGGGGCGCCTGGGCAAACATGGGAGTGATTCAGCCAAGTTATTTCCCTTGTTTCGTCTCGTGGCGATTCAGTCCCGCACTGTCTTTTAATCTGCAGCCAGCGGAAGACGATGGCCAGCAGTCATACTGCACCGTCTTCTGCCAAGCACCCAGGAGATGACGATGGCTAGCGGTCGTACTGCACAGTCTGCTGCCAGCAAGATGTATACAGACAGATGAAGTGGCTCAAAACAAGAAATAGACCAGATTTGTTTTGTATTCATTTTCTCCTCCCTCCCTCCGTGAAATCAACGGCCTGCTAAACCCAGTTTTGAGTTCTATCCTTGAGGGGGCCATTCTGTTTCTCGCAAAGCCACGCCCTTTGTTGATTTTAATTCCCTGTAAGCCAACCCTGTAAGCCATGTCGTCAGTCACCCCTCCCTCCGTCAGAGCAACAGCAGACAATCGTTCCGCGCCTTTTTTCTGTGCAGACGCCATACCACGGCAAGCATGGAGCCCGCTCAGATCACTTTGGCAATTAGGAGCACATTAAACACCACACGCATTATCCAGCCGTATATGCAGCACCACAACCTGGCAAAGCGAAACCGGGCAAGTAGGCGATGTCAGCACAGTGACGAGAGTGATGAGGACATGGACACAGACTTCTCTCAAAAACACGGGCCCTGGCAATGTGGGCATCCTGGTGCTAATGGGGCAGGTTCATGCGGTGGAACGTCGATTCTGGGCTCAGGAAACAAGCACAGACTGGTGGGACCGCATAGTGTTGCGGGTCTGGGATGATTCCCAGTGGCTGTGAAACTTTCGCATGCGTAAGGGCACTTTCATGGAACTTTGTGACTTGCTTTCCCCTGCCCTGAGGCGCAAGAATACCAAGATAAGAGCAGCCCTCACAGTTCAGAAGCGAGTGGCAATAGCCCTGTGGAAGCTTGCAACGCCAGACAGCTACCGGTCAGTCAGTAATCAATTTGGAGTGGAGTGGGGGGCTGCTGTGAGGCAAGTAGCCAACGCAATCAAAGATCTGCTGATATCAAGGGTAGTGACCCTGGGAAATGTGCAGGTCATAGTGGATGGCTTTGCTGCAATGGGATTCCCTAACCGTGGTGGGGCCATAGACGGAACCCATATCCCTATCTTGGCATCGGAGCACCAAGCCAGCGAGTACATAAACCTCAAGGGGTACTTTTCAATAGCGCTGCAAGCACTGGTGGATCACAAGGGACCATCATCAACTTGGGATGGCCGGGAAAGGTACATGACACTCACATCTTCAGGAACTCTGGTCTGTTTCAACAGCTGCAGGAAGGGACTTTATTCCCAGACCAGAAAATAACCTTTGGGGATGTTGAAATGCCTATATGTATCCTTGGGGACCCAGCCTACCCCTTAATGCCATGGCTCATGAAGCCATACACAGGCAGCCTGGACAGTAGTCAGGAGCTGTTCAACTACAGGCTGAGCAAGTGCAGAATGGTGGTAGAATGTGCATTTGGACGTTTAAAAGCGCACTGGCGCAGTTTACTGACTCAGTTAGACCTCAGCAAAACCAATATTCCCACTGTTATTACTGCTTGCTGTGTGCTCCACAATATCTGTGAGAGTAAGGGGGAGACGTTTATGGCGGGGTGGGAGGTTGAGTAAAATCACCTGGCCACTGGTTACGCACAGCCAGACACCAGGGCTGTTAGGAGAGCACAGGAGGGCGCGGTGCGCATCAGAGAAGCTTTGAAAACCAGTTTCATGACTGGACAGGCCACGGTGTGAAAGTTCTGTTTGTTTCTCCTTGATGAAACTCCCCGCCCCTTGGTTCACTCTACTTCCCTGTAAGCTAACCACTCTCCCCTCCTCCCTTCGATCACCACTTGCAGAGGCAATAAAGTCATTGTTGCTTCACATTCATGCATTCTTTATTAATTCGTCACACAAATAGGGGGATAACTACCAAGGTAGCCCACGAGGGGTGGTGGAGGAGAGAAGCACCAGGAGGGGTGGTGGAGGAGGGAAGGACAAGGCCACACAGCACTTTAAAAGTTTAAAACTTTAAAACTTATTGAATGCCATACTTCTGTTGCTTGGGCAATCCTCTGGGGTGGAGTGGCTGGGTGGCCAGAGGCCCCCCCCCTCCCAGGTTCTTGGGCGTCTGGGTGAGGAAGCTATGGAACTTGGGGAGGAGGGCGGTTGGTTACACAGGGGCTGTGGTGGTGATTTGTGCTCCTGCTGCCTTTCCTGCAGCTCAGCCATACACTGGAGCATATTGGTTTGATCCTCCAGCAGCCTCAGCATTGAATCCTGCCTCCTCTCATCACACTGCCGACACCTTTCAGCTTCAGCCCTCTCTTCAGCCTGCCACCTCTCCTCCCAGTCATTTTGTGCTTTCCTGCACTCTGACATCATCTGCCTCCACGCATTCGTCTGTGCTCTGTCAGTGTGGGAGGACTGCATGAGTTCAGAGAACATTTCACCGCGAATGCGCTTTTTTCGCCTTCTAATCTTTGCTAGCCTCTGGGAAGGAGAAGATCCTGTGATCCTTGAAACACATGCAGCTGGTGGAGAAAAAAAAAAAGGGACAGTGGTATTTAAAAAGACACATTTTATAGAACAATGGGTACACTCTTTCACGGTAAACCTTGCTGTTAACGTTACATACGTAGCACATGCGCTTTTGTTACAAGGTCGCATTTTGCCTCCTCCCACCACGTGGCTAGCCCCTCACCCCTCCCCACTCCCAACAGCGGGGAACATTTCTGTTCAGCTACAGGCAAACAGCCCAGCAGGAACAGGCTCCTCTGAATGTCCCCTTAAGAAAAGCACCCTATTTCAACCAGGTGACGATGAATGATATCACTCTCCTGAGGATAACACAGAGAGATAAAGAACGGATGTTGTTTGAACACCAGCAAACATACACTGCAATGCTTTGTTCTACAATGATTCCCGAGTACGTGTTACTGGCCTGGAGTGGTAAAGTGTCCTACCATTGTGGACGGAATAAGGCTGCCCTCCCCAGAAACCTTTTGCAAAGGCTTTGGGAGTACATCCAGGAGAGCCACGAATGTCAGGGCAAATTAATCATTAAACATGCTTGCTTTTAAATCATGTATAGTATTTTAAAAGGTACACTCACCAGAGGTCCCTTCTCCACCTGGCGGGTCCGGGAGGCAGCCTTGGGTGGGTTCAGGGGGTACTGGCTCCAGGTCCAGGGTGAGAAACAGTTCCTGGCTGTCGGGAAAACCAGTTTCTCCGCTTGCTTGCTGTGAGCTATCTACAACCTCCTCATCATCTTCCTCGTCCCCAAAACCTGCTTCCGTGTTGCCTCCATCTCCATTGAAGGAGTCAAACAACACGGCTGGGGTAGTGGTGGCTGAACCCCTAAAATGGCATGCAGCTCATCACAGAAGCGGCATGTTTGGGGCTCTGACCCGGAGCGGCCGTTCACCTCTCTGGTTTTCTGGTCGGCTTGCCTCAGCTCCTTAAGTTTCACACGGCACTGCTTCGGGTCCCTGTTATGGCCTCTGTCCTTCATGCCCTGGGAGATTTTGACAAAGGTTTTGGCATTTCGAAAACTGGAACGGAGTTCTGATAGCACGGATTCTTCTCCCCACACAGTGATCAGATCCCGTACCTCCCGTTTGGTCCATGCTGGAGCTCTTTTGTGATTCTGGGACTCCATCATGGTCACCTCTGCTGATGAGCTCTGCATGGTCACCTGCAGCTTGCCACGCTGGCCAAACAGGAACTTGAAATTCAAAAGTTCGCAGGCCTTTTCCTGTCTACCTGGCCAGTTCATCTGAGTTGAGAGTGCTGTCCAGAGCGGTCACAATGGAGCACTCTGGGATAGCTCCCGGAGGCCAATACCATCTAATTGTGCCCACAGTACCCAAATTCGACCTGGCAAGGCTGATTTCAGCGCTAATCCCCTTGTCGGGGGTGCAGTAAGAAAATCGATTTTAAAAGCCCTTTAAGTTGAAAAAAAGGGCTTCGTCGTGTGGACGGGTGCAGGGTTAAATTGATTTAACATTGCTAAATTCGACCTCAACTCCTAGTGTAGACTAAGGCTAAGATAGGGGTGGGGATCTTAATTGGTTTCCAGTATCTCTTTCTCCCTGGAAAGGGAAGAGCATCCTCTTCCCCCTGCATTTCATACACTTATGTGGCCCAGTGACCAGAGCATTGGACTGGGACTGAGGAGACTGGGTCCTATTCCCAGATCTGCCATGTGACCTTGGGCCAATCACTACCCAGTCTGTGGCTCAGCTTCCCTAGCTCTAAAATGCTACTCACTGCCTTTGAAATGAAAAGTGCTATGAAACCACTAGGTATTATTGTGATTATTCTCCCATGTCCTTGATTCAGTTTGACTAAGCTACTGTGGAAGGGAAGGTCTCCGCCACATCCAAATATTTTAAGAAGATTATCGCACTATCCAGCTTCCCTGCCTGCTGCTGCCTGTTCCCCACCCCTTTACACAGACTTACATGCAGCCAACACCCAGAGGTTATTCCAGAGCAGGGGGTTCTCAACCTTTTTATTTCTGAAGCTAATCCAACATGCTATAAAAAGCCCTGGGCTCTCTAGCAGTGGAGTTATCAGGCTGTGGCCACCCAAAGACAGATGGACACCTCCATTCAAGGGGTCCCCATTGACAGATTCTGTGCAGGATGATCGTTCCTCTCCCCAAGGCATGCTATGTTTGATGCAGAATTCTGGGTTACTTGGGGCCCCCAGCTCTCAGGCTGGCCACTCTGCTACCACTAATCACAACATTGGTTTGTTCTTCTTCCATCTCCCAACTACAGAGGCATTGTCTTCAATGGGGTAGGGGATGAAGGGGGAGAGTGGGTTGCTCAAGATAAAATCCCAGTGAAGACAAGGCAATGTGTAAACTTCAAATGAACTAGCAAGTTGAATTACAAACTAGGCTCCCCATAGTTTTACCTTGACCTGCTAACATGTGAGAACGCCTAACCATCTCATCTGGGCTAGGATTTTACCTAACATTAGCTGACTCAAGTTAAGAACACTTTTTCCTAATGAAGACACAGCCAGAGAGGCTTCAAAGCAGAACACAAGGTCACCTCTGCAACCCTAAGCCAATGGCACTAAATACTCTGGACTTTCTGCACTGGCTAATGAACTGTGATTGCTGTGGTCTTGGTACTTGCTTCCAAGAATCACAGCACAGCCAAGTTCCACCCTCCTCCCAATACCAGTCCTGCCTCCTGTGCCCCGACAGCACAAGACCACCCCCACAACAGCTCCCCCATGGTCTCACATTCCCCACCAGCCACCCTCCCAACCCCCAGTATGACCTACTGTCTTCCCCAGTAGGCACAGTAGAAGGGAAAGCAGGGTTTGAAAGGGCTCCCAAGTAAGGGGAAAGGCAGGGTCAATCGAGACTCTGCAGGAAGAAGTCCCAACTTGCTCCCCCACCAAGCAGCCCCAAACAGCCCCATGCTGTTTCCTCCAAACCCTTGGACATTAGAGAGCCCTGCATGTTTAAAGGGATGCCATGTAAAAAAAAAAGTTTTTAAAGTAGTTTCAGGTTCTACCCCTGCCCTTGATCCCCCCTGCTATGTCTGGTACATTTAGACATTTACATTTACAACCACATTTGTTATTTTTAAAAAGGTTTCTACACCGTGGCTGTGTGAAAGGCATACACCAACAACAGACCACTCCAGGTATGTAAACAAAAAAGTAAACAAGCTGAAAGACTGGATTTTCCATCTAATCTCCGTCAGTTACAGGAATCCTAGGTGTCACCTGTAGCAATAGCAGGAACAACATTTTCAGACAGGCGTGTGATTCTTACACAGATGCTGTCCATAATGCCTGGTTAACCTGCATGTCAACGAGGGGTTAGTATAACTGACTGAATACAGACCGCTCTGTAACATACCAGGATTTGCGAATCCAAATTCCCTTTCTGTTTCTCAATCAAGTTGGCAAGTTCATCGTAATACAGAGCCAAGGCCTCAGGACTTTGCTCACAGCAGTAGCTCACCAGATCGAGCAAGATGGAGAGCTGCAAAGAAGGACCAATGACAGGGGAATAATACATACCCTACCCACCAGCTTGATCAGAGACAGGCAGGATCCACAGCTCCCCCTTCTCCACCTCCCAAACTCTCCCACTGGGACACAACCCCCACAAAGCCCTGCCCAGCCCCTCTCACTGACATACAAACCCCACAAGCCTCTGCCTTTCTCCACCGACCTGACCCCTCGTATTACGTATTTGTGTTACAACAGTGACTAGCAGCCCCAGTCATGGGCTATGACCCCATTCTGCTAGGCACTGTTGAACTCCTCGGAGGAAAGTGGTTACAGACCAAGCACAGATTCTATCCTCCCCTAAACGGCCTCTCATTCTGCTCTCTGCAGACACACAAAACTGTCTTACCCCATTCCCGGGCCCTGCACTGACACCAATATCCCATTCGCCCAGTGGGACCCTGACCTCTCCAGAGAGACAATCTCCTCTGCTTTTCACACCCCCTCCTGGCACAATCCCCTGGCAGTGCATGGATTCCAGTCTCCCTTCAGCACACACACTGTCCTGGCACTCACCTGTCTGCAGTGCTCTTCACTTTGCTGTGTTCTCTCCAATGAACACCTGTCTTCTTTACTTCTGAAATCAACAAACTCTTTTCACTGCACAGTATGCTACACAGCAAGATGCTCAAACCTGTTTACACTAAGATACAGGGCTCCCTGCCCTGGAGGAATTATTCATGGGAAAGATGGGCCTACCACAAAGGCAAACGCCTAACTTCCACTACTTAGGCCCAAGCATTTCTTCAATCAGGTTTTAAGTGTCAGCACAGACAGGGAATGGCAGAGAGTAATATGGAGATTCTTGGAGCATCATTAAAAAGTGCTCGTTTCCAGTGTCAGGATTGTAGGCATAAGACTGTTGATTAACCTAAAGGATGGCTAGGGCTGCACTGTCTATGGAAAGTTCAGGTGAATCACTGAAGCACATAAGAACATAAGAACGGCCGTACTGGGTCAGACCAAAGGTCCATCTAGCCCAGTATACTGTTTTCTGACTGGCCAATGCCAGGTGTCCCAGAATAGGTAATCACCAAGTGATCCATCCCTTGTCACCCATTCCCAGCTTCTGTCAAACATCCCTGTCCATCCTGCCTAATAGCCATTGCACACACAATGCAGTACTTCAAAGGGGGTAAGAACTTCAATAGCAAAGAGAAACTTTACAGGAAGCCAATAGAACCTTTGTAAAGTAGAAGTGTATTAATCTGCTCCGCAGATCCCCAATACACACTCCCCACCAACATGCCCTACCAGAATATCAAACCTACTTTACAGGGTCCTTTTCATTAGGTGCTCTAGAGACAGTGTTATGCAGAAGAGCACCTTTGAGAGCTGCTGTTGGGAAGTGTGCTAGCTCATGGGCCTGGACAGACACCTAGACTGGGCTTTTCTCTCCATGTAACATAACAGTGAGAGCATTTTTTGAAGACAACCGAGTGAATTGTGTGATCCTGCATAACAACTTTATGCTGTGACCTCTGAGACCCTCTAGTGAGCCGTGGGGCTTTCAGCGGCTCTGAAAAATTACACAGGGAGTGTGCCAGATCATCTTAAATGGAACTCAAATAAAAAGCCATTTAAACTAACCCTGAAACCTCTTGTTCCAGGTATGATCCCTTAAAAGCCCCACTGGCTGTGCCCACTGTTCTGCATACTCAGCATATAGTGCTCACATCCCTGAACAAGAAATTCATAGATTATAAAGTCTGAAGGGACTATTGTGATCAGTCTGACCTGTCTGAATTAATTTTTATTTGAACTAGAACAAAACTTTTAGAAAAACGTCCAATCTTGATTTAAAAATTCCAAGTGATTGAGACTGCACCACAACCCTTGGTAAATGGTTCACCATTAGAAAGCTGCACTTATGTCCAGTCTAAATTTGTCTAGCTTCAACTTGCAGCCATTGGCACTTCTTACACCTTCTGTTAGACTTAAGAGCACTCTATTATCAAACTTCAGTTCCCCATGTAGGTATTATAAACTGTGATCAAGTCACCAATTAAAAAACGGTTACTCACCTTCTCGTAACTGTTGTTCTTCGAGATGTTTTGTTCATGTCCATTCCAATCAGGTGTGTGCGTGCGCACATGCACGATGGCTGGAAGATTTTTCCCTTAGCAGCATCCGTCGGGTCAGCTTGGGCGCCCCCTGGAGTCACGCCCTTATGACGCCTAATATATAGCCCTGCCAAACCGCCACCCCTTTAGTTCCTTCTTGCCGGCTACTCCAACAGAGGGGTAGGAGGGTGGGTATTGGAATGGACATGAACAACACATCTCGAAGAACAACAGTTACAAGAAGGTGAGTAACTGTTTTTTCTTCTTCGAGTGCTTGTTCATGTCGATTCCAATCAGGTGACTCCCAAGCAAAATTAGGAGGTGGGGTCGGAGCTATCCACTGACTGAAGTACTGCTCTACCAAAGACTGCATCATTTCTGGCCTGTCTAGTAATTGCATAGTGAGCAGTGAAAGTGTGTATCGATGGCCACATCGCCGCTCTGCAGATTTCCTGAGTGGGGACTTGGGCCAGGAAAGCTGTTGATGAAGCTTGCGCTCTTGTAGAGTGTGCCATTATCGGGGGCGCTGGGATCCCTGCTAGATTGTAGCACTTGGTAATGCAGGCCTGACAAGGTTCCTTCCCCACTCTGAACTCTAGAGTACAGATGTGGGGACCTGCATGAAAGATCCCCTAAGCTTATTCTTACCAGCTTAGGTTAAAAACTTCATCAAGGTACAAACTTTGTCTTGTCCTTGAACCCTATGCTGTCACCACCAAGTGTTTTAAACAAAGAACAGGGAAAGAGCCCACTTGGAGACATCTTCCCCCAAAATATCCCCCCAAGCCCTACACCCCCTTTCCTGGGGAAGGTTTGATAAGAATTCTCACCAATTTGTACAGGTGAACACAGACCCAAACCCTTGGATCTTAAGAACAATGAAAAATCAATCAGGTTCTTAAAAGAAGAATTTCAAAGAAAGAAAAGGTAAAAGAATCACCTCTGTAAAATCAGGATGGTAAATACCTTACAGGGTAATCAGATTCAAAACACAGAGAATCCTTCTAGGCAAAACCTTAAATTACAAAAAGACACAAAAACAGGAATATACATTCCATCCAGCACAGCTTATTTTACCAGCCATTAAACAAAAGGAACCCTAATGCATTTCTAGCTAGATTACTTACTAACTTAACAGGAGTTGTAAGGCTGCATTCCTGATCTGTTCCCAGCAAAAGCATCACACAGACAGACAGACCCCTTTATTTCCCCCTCCCTCCAGATCTGAAAGTATCTTGTCCCCACATTGGTCATTTTGGGTCAGGTGCCAGCGAGGTTACCGTAGCTTCTTAACCCTTTCCAGGTGAAAGGGTTTTGCCTCTGGCCAGGAGGGATTTTATAGCACTGTATACAGAAACGTGGTTATCCTTCCCTTTATATTTATGACAAGGCCATAATCCATGATGAAATGCACCGTATCAAAACACGCTGGCCCTTCAGTCTGTCCGTTACTGCGATGAAGAGCTGTACCGACTTCCTGAATGGTTTCGTCCTTTCTATGTAAAAGGCCAGTGCTCTGCGGACGTTGACAGTGTGGAGTCTCTGCTCCCTGCTACTCGCATGAGGCTTGGGGTAGAACACCGGGAGGAAAATGTCCTGGTTGATGTAGAACTGCAATACCACCTTCGGGAGGAAGGTCCGATGGGGTTTGAGCTGAACCTTGTCCTTAAAAAACATGGTGTAGGGCGGCTCGGACGTTACAGCCCTAAGCTCGGACACCCTCCAGGCTGAAGTTATCGCCACTAGGAACGCAACCTTGTAGAAGAGGTAGAGCAGGAAGCATGTTGTTAGAGGCTCAAAGGGATGCCCATGAGCCTAGAGAGGACCAAGTTAAGGCCCCAAGCAGGAACCGGTTGGAGAATGTGTGGGTACAACCTGTCGAGGCCCTTCAGGAAGTGACTGACCAGGAGTTAGCGAAAACCGAGCGGCCCTGTACCCCCGGGTTGAAAGCCGAGATAGCAGCGAGGTATACTCTTATAGAAAACAAGGAGAGACCTTCCTGCTTTAGGTGGAAAAGATAATCCAAAATCTGGGGCACTGAGGCTAGCACCAGGGGAAAGTTATGCTGAGCTGACCAAACTGAAAATCTCTCCCACTTGGCCAGGTACGTGGCCCTAGTGGAGGGTTTCCTACTGCCCAAGAGAACCTGTCTGACTTGTTCTGAACAGGAGAGCTTGGACGGGTTCAGCCATGGAGCCTCCAGGCTGTGAGATGCAGCGACTGCAGGTTCAGGTGCTGGAGCCACCCATGATCCTGTGTGAGAAGGTCCGGGAAAAACGGCAGGGTAATCGGGGCTCCCACTGACGTGTCTAGGAGAGACATGTACCAATGCTGGCGGGGCCAGGCTGGTGCTATGAGAATAACCCAAGCCCAGTCTCTGCGGATCTTGAGCAAGACCTTGTGGAGAGTGATATGGGTGGGAAGGCGTACAGAAGCGGACCCCCCCAATGGAGGAGCAACGCGTCCACTGTGGAGCCCGGACTACGATTCTGGAAGGAGCTGAACTGCTGACACTTCCTGTTGCATCGCATGGTGAAGAGGTAGGTCAGAGGACAGCCCCACCTCTGGAAGAGCGACGATGTGATGTCCAGGTGACATCCACTCACAGCTGTGAAAAAACCTGCTGAAGCTGTCCGCCAGCTCGTTCTGGACCCCAGAAGGTACGACACCTGTAGATCAACTGAGTGCTCTATACAAAAGTCTCATAACCTGAAGGCTTCCTGGCAGAGGGGAGAGGAGCATGAACCCCCGTTTGTTGATATAGACCATCGTGGTCGTATTGTCCGTCATGACCGATACACATCAACCTGCTAGATATGGGTGGAATGACTGACACACTAGGCAATATGAAGACAGAGATCTGACTGTGACCAGAGGCCCTGAGTCCTGTGGTCCCCCAAATGAGCCCCCCACCCCAAATCTGACGCACCTGTTACTAGCATCAGGGATGGTTGTGGGGCAGTGAAGGGGACTCCTGAGCACACCTGCTGAGCGTCCATCCACCACAGGAGCGAGTCAAGGTCACGATCCTGTCCAAAGGGGCGGGTCTGTACACTGACGCAAGCCATGACTGAAGCGGCCGAAGCCTGAGTCTGGTGTGTCAAAGCACATATTTACAGGCCAAGCAGTTTGAGACAATCTCTCACGGTGGTTGTGGGGAACTGCCTGAGTCCCTGGATCATGGCGTCGAGGGCCTGGAATGCTTTGGCTTGGGTTGAGTCCAGAACCGCCACTATGAACTCTATCCTCTGGAGAGGGGGACAGAGTCGATTTCGACTCGTTGAGTAGGAGGCCCAGATTCTCAAAAGTGGCTCTGATGAATGCCACCTGAGCCCTGGATCGGCCTTTGATCAGCCAGTCGTCGAGGTATGGGAACACCTGTACCTGATGTTTCCACAGAAAGGCGGCAACAACTGCCATGCACTTGGTAAAGACTCGAGGTGCTGCTGACAGGCCGAAAGAGAGGACTCTAAATTGGTAATGGGAACCGCTGACCACAACCTGAGGTACTTTCTGTGGTTTTGCGCTATTGCTATGTGAAAATACGTGTCCTTCAAGTCGAAGGTGGCGTACCAGTCTGCTGGATCCCATGAAGGGATAATAGAGGTCAAGGAGACCATGCGGAACCTGAGTTTCCTCACAAACTTGTTGAGGCCATGCAGGTCCAGGATAGGCCTTAGGCCGCCTTTGGCATTAGGAAATAGCGGGAATAGAAACCCTTGTCCCTGTGCTCCAGTGGAAACTCCTCCACAGCCCCTAGCGCTATGAGTGATTGAACCTCCTGAACGAGAAGTTGCTTGTGAGAAGGGTCCCTGAAGAGGGATGTGGAAGGGGGGAGGAAGGGCGGGAGGGCACAGAATTGGATGGAGTATCCCCTCTCTACTGTGCGAAGCACCCAACGGTCCGAAGTTGTATGGGACCATGCACGGTAGAAAGGGGATAGGGGAGGAAAAGGTAAGACAGCGTGAATCCAGTCTCTGGTCTGGTGCACCGTCCTCGACTGCACCTTCAAAATGCCGGTTTGGGCTGGCCTTGGTTAATGGAGGGATGTTGCGTTCTCCTACCGCTCCAGTTCCTCCTTCTAGAGCTGTCCTGGCAGTTCTGCTGTTGGAACCTTTGCAGAGGTTGTGGGCGGAAGGGTCTGCACTGTGTGGTGGGGGTATGCAAGCCCAAGGATCTGAGGGTGGCTCGGGAATCTTTTAGGCTGTGGAGCCATTTGTCCGTCTTCTCTGAAAACGGACTCACCCTCAAACGGGAGGTCCTGAATCGTTTGTTGGACTTAGTAGGGTAACCGAGACTTGCAACCAGGCCCCCTGTCACATAGCCATCCCTGTCGCCATGACTCTTGTGGCAGCATCTGCAGCGTTTAAGGCTGCCTGCAGTGAAGCGGAGAAGACTAATTTCCATTCTTCCACCAAGGCGGTGAATTCTGATCGAGAGTCCGAAGGGACGAGCTCCATGAACTTAGCCATGGAAGCACAGGTGTTATAAGAGTACCTGCTCACAATGGCCTGCCGGTTAGCAATACAGAGTTGTAGACCACCAGTGGAGTAGATTTTCCTATCCACGAGGTCCAGTCATTTAGCGTCCCTATTCTTTGGGGAAGGACCTTGGAAATCTTGTCTCTCCCGCTGGTTAGCCGCATTGACGATCAACGAGTCCGGAGGTGGATGGGAGTAGAGATGCTCAAAGCCTCTGGAAGGGATAAAATACCGGCGCTCATTGTGTTTGGCAGTGGGTGGCTGTAATGCAGCCAGCCGGGGCTCGACCCTCTCCGGGGCGGTGGGGAGCCACGCCGGCTCACGACATACAGATAATGTTTGAGGAAATTAGTCCAGCCTTGGGAGTCTCCCTCGGCGGCCCTTGCGGCAACGGAAACAAGCACCGTAAGCCCAGGCCCTAGGTCAAGGCGGGGCAACAATGAGTCAGGTGCTCAGGCCCTCTGGCAGGGGCTGAGCAGTAGCAAACAGTATGCAGAAATAGACCCAGGCCCTGGATCAGGGTGGAGCAACCAAGTCAGTAGCTCAGGCCCTCAGGCAGGGGCTGAGCAAATAGTTCAATTTTAGCAGGCCCAGGCCCTAAAGGACCTGGAAGAGGGGGAGACTGCCACCCACGAGTTGGGTGGCAGGGGGGACGCAGGCCCTCCCACTCCACTGAGTCCCAGCCCGGGGCCCTAGCAGTGGCAGAAGACCTGCTGCTGTGTCAGTGGGGATCCTGGCTGCAACACACTGACATGGGCTCTGGCAGTGTTACAGCCAGACTAGGGTCGGCTGTCCCCAGGTTACTTCCTAATCCCCCCTCTTGGGGTACCTGGGTCCAGGCAGTGTCCTCCAGGGCGTCCAGCACCATGGGTTCCTCAGGGTAGCGGCTGCAGGGCAGGTCCAGCAACTCCTCCGGGTAGCAGCCGCAGGGCAGGTCCAACAACTCTTGGCACGCACCTTGGGCCGCAGGGGCTTCCCAGTCACGGGCCAGGCTGGAGGCATCTGGCCTCCCCAGAAGCTAGGCCCTCAGTGAGCTCTGAGGGCGAGTTTTTATACTTTCGGGTCACCGCCTGACCTGCTGAGGGGCAGGCTCAGAGCTCCCTGGCTTCGCCTACTCCGGCACCTGGATGGGCTTGTCCCTCTCCGGGGAGGCGGGGAGCCACACCCCCTCACTACAGTGGCAGAGATGATGGCGTCTGCAATAGAGTTTTGATGGTGTCCACCACGGTCTTTATGAGGGGTAATGCTACCCGTGAGGGCCCCGAGGATGCTAGGATGTCCACCATGGGATCTGTGTCCTCAACCACCTCCTCGGCCTTGATGCCCAAGTCTTGGGCAGCCCTGCGGAGCAACTGCTGTAAAACTCTGTTGTCCTCTACCGCAGGGACTATGGACGTCCCTGCCAACGCTTCATCCGCCGACAAAGAGGAGGAAGCATGTGCTGGTGGTGGAAGCTCCCTGCCATCTGCCCTGGATGGGTCACATGACTCCCGGGGAAGCGCTGGAGGTGGTGCCAATGACGGTGCCGGGGCGATAGGCGGCGACAGTATCAGTCTCACAGGAGGGAGCTGCATCGACACACTCACAGGAGCCGCCGGGGTCGGGGGGCCTGGTGCCGACATCGGAACCTGGGCCGTAGGTGCCTGCATCAAGGTCAACGTCAACAACGGTGCAGGCGTGGGAGACGGGTGTGTCAACGTTATGAAGGTCGGTGCTGAAGTCGGAGCCAAGCATGGTGCCAGAGTCAACGACAGGGACCGTCGGCGCTGGATGCGGATGCACAGCGGAATGCAGTACATAAGTGGCGGAGGTGACTGAAGACGTTGTTGAGCATGGGCCCTGGGTTCCTCCCTAAACCTGGTGATAAGCCCAGGGAGTCCAGAAGGGCCACTGAGGCAGGTTCTGCCACTGCAGAGGCCACACCTGATGCTCCCTTCTGCCTCTGCCGGACCTCGCTCTCCAGCTTCTTCTCCTACTTGAGCGATAGGAGTCGGGCTCTGACACTGAGGTCTCAGACACTGAAGACCACGGAGGAGCCGATCCTCGGTGCCTCGAACAGCGAGAGCACAGGGAGTAGGAAGGCTCTCTGTCGGAGTGTATAGGTGCCGATGGACAAGGCAAAGGGGAGTGCCTCGACATCATAGCTGGCTGTCCCTTAGAATGCACCAGAGGACGGGGCTCCATCAGCACTGAGGGTTCCTCTCTGGCAGGTGAGAATGGTGCCATCAGGTGGAGGCGATCTCTGGCGGCCTGGTATGCTTCCAGCGTGGACGGGAGCTGCAGTTGCTGCATAGGCGCCGGTGATCGAGGTGGGGCCAGACTCGACTGCCTCACCTGGATAGGAGTCGACACAGTCCTGGAAGGAGACGCCAAGGAGTGGCCCGCCTGGGGTCGCACTTCTCGAGGCTTAGCCGGAGAATGGTAGTCTGGCTTTTTCTTCTTTTGAGGCACCAGTGAATGGGAGCGGTGACTACTATCAGAAGGTGATGCTGAGCGTCCCTGGAGGAGTCCTTCCTCAGCGCTGAAGTCGTCAACAGCACTGGGGCGCTCCGTGTCGAGGATGACACCATCGGGGTTGGGTATCTTGAGCCCAGGTCAGAGTGGGGGCACAAGGCTGCCTCCATGAGGCTCACCTTCAGCTGCTGTTCCCATTCTTTAAGTGTTCTCGGGCGGAACTCGTGGCAGATTTTGCAACGATCTTTCTGATGAGTCTCCCCCAGGCACCGAAGACACGAAAAGTGCAGATCACTCTTAGGCATGCGCTTGGCACAAGCCACACAGTTCTTAAATCCCGGGGACAGCGACATGCCACGGTGCCGGGGCCAGAGTTGGGCGGGGGGCGGGAACCCCCAACTACAATACTATACTAAACTTTAAATTGGTACTACTCACTAACTAACTATATACACAGAATAACAAAGAAAACTTGCTTATCAAGAGCTAAGGGAAGTTCCAGCCACCGTCACTGGGGGTAAGAAAGAACTGAAGGGGTGGCAGGTCGGCCGGGCTATATATTAGGCGCCATAAGGGCGCGACTCCAGGGGGCGCCCAGGCCGACCCGACGGATGCTGCTACGGGAAAAATCTTCCGGCCATCATGCACGTGCATGTGCACACACCTGATTGGAACCAATGTGAACAAGCACTCGAAGAAGAACCTTCTTTTTGATAAACTAAATAGACTGAATTCCTTGAGTGTCTCACTATAAGGCATGTTTTCCAATCCTATAATCATTTTTTTTCTCTGAACCCTTTCCAATTTATCAAAATCCATCTTGGACTGTGGACACCAGAACAGGACACAGTATGCCAGCAGCAGTCACACCAGTGACAAATACAGAGGTCATATAACCTCTCTACTTCTACTCAAGAATCAACTTTTTTTATATCCAAGGATTGCATTAGCCACAGAAGCTCATGTTGCACTGACTATCTACCACAATCCCAAATCTTTTCCAGTCACAACTCCTTCTGATGCTGATCCATGCATCTCAGAATCAGCATCATCAGGAAAGCAGTGGCAGGACCAGCAGCAGGACAGCATATTTTTAAAGGATACACGGGACAATCGTGTGCAAAGAATGTTTTTCGGTGGTTTTCTTCCAGTGAGCCTTAGAGTGACGATCACAAACGATGTGACTGTCCCCTTTCTCCTCCCCTCTTACTAGCTCTGGTTATATCAGGCTGGCTAGAGCAGGTTAAATGACAATTGACAGGTTCTATTCCTTTCTCACCTCTTTGCTGCCATGCTGCCTGCCACGGTAATAGCACCAATAATCCCCATTTGTTTATACTTAGGAACAGTGCTAGACAACCACTTCCTGATCACCATATGCATATCGTCCTGCAGAGAGAAGGAGAATGAGGCATTACAAGTAGTCACCATGTATGCATTTGTGTGTGTTAATGGTACTGCTGTGAACATCTCACTTTTCAACACTCAAAACTTGCAATAGAGCTCATTTACTTCCCTGTTAATTTCCTCCAGACAACGGGGCAGCCAGACCATGGGAAGTACATCCTTGTCAGGAAAAACACATGTTGTGACTGACTCTAACAGCAACCCAAAGCAAGAGGACAGTGAGTTTCAGCTGGCCTGTCCAGTTGAGTGTACCCCAACTCCCTAATGTCATAAACTGCATCTAAAAGGTGTCATATAAGATATCAGTAGAAAGCTAATAGCTTACTTATCATCAAAAAGAAAGGGAGTACTTGTGGCACCTTAGAGACTAACCAATTTATTTGAGCTGTAGCTCACGAAAGCTTATGCTCAAATAAATTGGTTAGTCTCTAAGGTGCCACAAGTACTCCTTTTCTTTTTGCGAATACAGACTAACACGGCTGTTACTCAGAAACCTTACTTATCATCAATATCATTGGGTGGTGTATGTATGGAGGACAAATTCAAAATTACAAATATATTAGGGATTCTGTTATCAAAAAGTGTGCCTGCCAGACAGGGCTGAAGTTACCCCACACTAGATATAACAATGTGGTTCTGCCATCCTGAAGTTATTTCCAAGTTACATTAAGAATCAATGGGAATGCAAATTACATAAAAGGTAAACGGGACCAGCAAGCCAATAAGGGGAAGAGATAACCACTCAGCATCATGGCAGGGAGAGGGGAGTATAGGAACAGATCAATTTGCAATTTAGCAAACACCAGCAGGGGAAAAACCCAGCATGGAATGTCCTTTATCAGGAGACTCCATGTCGCCTACCTCACAGCTTGAATGAACTTTGCTTTAGGGGAACCCTTCAGAAGAATCCATTTAAAAGGTTCACTGAACTATAAAAGAGGGGCAAAGAACCTCAAGTGATCTTTCACCTAAGAAGACAAAGAAACCAAGCACTTTGGACCTTGTGGGAGATCCTGATCAGACGGGTGCTCAGCCATCTTGCTGGAAGGTAGATTGGTAAGCAAACTATCTTGAACAAAGACTGCAGCTTGTTGAGTGAAGTCTTAGCCACTAGACAGTATTTTTCACTTTTATTTGCTTGTAATCATTTCTAACACTATCCTTGATATCTGAACTTACTTAAAATCCCATCTCCTTTTATTAATAAACTTGTTTTACTTTTAATCTCAACTGACCCAGTGCTGTGTCTGAACTGAAGTGATAGTTTACTCCAGTTAAAGTGATAAGCTGAGCACATTTTGTCATTTTAGAGGAGCAAACAAACATTATTTCTCTGAGCATTCCAGGAGAGGACTGGATACTTCAGAGCAGATGATTTTGGGGAAATTTGGGACAGGGAGTATGTTGGGGTCACCCCTGCATAAGGTAACCGGGTGACAGAACGTAGAGTAGGGCTGTTGTGTTGTAGACAGGCTGCTGGAGTGAGAACTGCTTAACACAGAGACACTCAGTGCGTGCTTGTCTGTAGGCTTGTCCTGGTGGTGAATCACAGCAGCAGAGCATTCAAAGCACTTAGAATACAGGGCAGGCAGTGACACAGCCTCTCACTGTCTGGGTTGCACTCTGGAACGTGACAGTGACCTCCTTTACTATGGGGACACTGGCCACACACCCACAGTTAAAGATGCAACCAACGTTCCAAAATTAGGCTCGTTTTGACCTTTGTTCTAGTTATTTAATGAAAGTGTGTAGAAGAATATTTTTTATTTGGAGGCTCTATACTGTTTCTAAGCCCAGGTCTCACAACTTCCAATTTTCACAAGATTTTTCAGCTACTTTTGCCTGACCATTGCCTCATTGACGGGTATGAAAATTCAGACCTATGTATTTGAACACGCTGTTGTTAGATTGTAATTGACTAGTTCCCTAGGATGCTGTATAATAAGCTGGAAGTCAATTCAGACATAAAATGGATTTGGTAACACACATTTGTCCTCTAGAGTTTTAGATATCAAACTACAGATAACAAAGCTCTGAAGTCTAACACTTCGATGCAGCAGAGAAAATACTCCTTTGAGGAAGGTAACTCTTCAGGGGCGAAATCTGTTTTGTTCTGTCTTGCAAACCTTAAGAGAGAAGGTTTAGAGAGAAGCTCTCCCGCAGCAGACCTACTGGGGGTGCAGTAGCTGAGCTATGCTTCCTGAAGGATTCCTAAGGTGTGTAGATGTCAAGTTCTGCTGCTGTGCCCCTCAGGATGTGTGCAGGCAGTGTCTCTCCAGTGGAGCTAATCAGGTGTGCGGTAGCAGCAGGGAGTTCCTCCTGTGTGGAAGAGGAATGAGCTCCACAGGAAAAAAGTCTGGAGCAGGAAACGGGCTCACAACCATCAAACTTGGGGGGGCAAAGGGAGGGTGAGGGGAGGAAATTTTAAAATTAAAAAGGTACTGTGCACCAGAAATCCCCACATGGAGGAGGGCTGTATAGGCTGCACCATCCTGGGCCTGCTGCTGCTGTCTCCACACCACACAAGCTCTGCAAACTAGCGCAGCAACGGGAGAAAGACCAGGGATTTGTTTCCTTCCTGCCCGCATTGTCTCTCTCCCCCTCCACTCACCTGAATATAGCTGTCTTCCTGCCTCTGGCTGAATGCCAACTCGCCAAGAATGTAGAAGAGTTTCCGGATTTGCTGTGGATTCAGCTTCTCCGTATAGTCTAAAATGTTCTGTAATAGAGAAGTGTCAAAATAGCCATAATACCCTGACAGGCCCTTCTCACACTCCAAATAGCACACCTGATTGTCAGTAACAAGAATTTACTTTTCTCTTTTGCACATACTCAGGAGAAAGCTACTACTGTGCATTCAAATTAAAGAAGCAGCCATTCATATGTCATCTGTGGGCTACATTACTGCAATTCCCCATGACTGAGGCTGAAAGTGAAGACATGCAAAATGTAGCTGCCCGCTTCTTCCATGACTTTGGTCACCAGAAGCATGTTAAATCTGTGCTCGAGTCCTTCTACTGACATCCAGTCTGCTTCCATTGCCACTTTAAGGCTTTGATCCTAGTTTCAAAGCAGGTCCCAAGTGCATTAATGATCATGGTGGGATGGAGAATAATATGGAAAATGATATAATGCCATTCTATAAATCAGTGGTGTGGCTTCATCTGGATACTATGTGCAGCACTTGACACCCTATCGCTGAATGGATATTGCAGAACTAACAGGGGTTCAGAGAAGGGTGACAAGAATGAGTGAGTGCCTGGAGAAATTCTCCTAGGAAGAGAAATTGAAAAGACTGGGGTTGTTACCCTACAGAGCGGACAGACAAAAAGGGACATGACAAAAGTCTATAAAAACAGTGAATGATCTAGAGAACGAAGATTAGGAGGGCTGTTTGCTCCTTGTTCTTGTGATAAGAGGGGGAGTTCAATGACATTGGAAGGTGCCAAACTCAAAACTGATAAAAGGTGATTCAACCATTGGATCTTGACAAAAACTAATATTCTGGTAGAGATGCCTACAGCTAAGGTTGCCTAACACTTTCCATTTCAAGCCTCTGTTTTCAATTGCTCATAACTTTGCCAAATTGTAACGCCAGATTGGAATTTTCTACACCTGGACTCTGCCTCAAGCTACTTTTTTTCCTTTATGAAAATGATTGTTTCCCAGAACTAGGCTAGTTTTTCCACTACTTGGTAATTTTGCTCATGTTAATATTTTTATCCAACTATTTCTCTGAAAAGCACTAGCAAGTCCGTGATTTGGAGCAGGAACTTGGAATTTGCAGGGGATGATCTTGGGGTCAAAGAGTTGCCATTTGCTGTCCCCATGAAATGTATCAAATTATAAGCCTCCCAAAAGTGCCAATTGCACATGCTCAGTAGAGCTTTATGGAGGATTCTTGCTAAAATCTCTGAACATTCTGTCTGTGCTGAGCATGCTCTATCCTCATAGAGATCCCTATGTGCCAAATATACTAAGCATCCTCGACCTCTACAGAGCTCACCACCTGCCTAATGCACAAAATATGCTCCCCAGACTCCACTGAGCCTCATACAGATTAGGCATAAAGCTAAAGCTCTGGGTCGGTTGCGATGCACTACTGCTGCTATCCCGCAGTTTGGCTTAGGGGAGGGTGTAATGGGCCGGCAGTAGAAGGAGACCATGAATTCTAGTTTCAGCTTTTCCACTAACTAGTGTTATGTCTATACTCTTCAGGGCCCTTATTATTGAGGAAATCTTAACAGCCCTACCTCCAGAGGCAGGCATATATAATTTCCCTCCATTTAATGAGGGGGTAAGCGAGAGGTTGCACAAGGTCACACGTGGCAGAGCTGAGAATAGAACATGGGTCTCTAACATGGCAGAGCCAAGCCTCACCCATTCAGCCACAATGGGCCAAATCTAAGTGCTTTGCTGTGCTGTCTATAACCACTAGACCATACTCCCCTCCAGAGCCAAGAATAGACTCCAGCATTCCCAACATTCCTCTGCTGTCTAGTAAATAATTATGTAAGTTACTTGCAAAGGTGCACTGCGTTCCCCCTCATGATTGGTCCACAGAGGGTATTAGGCTGTTATCCTCTGAGTCTAACAGTTGTTCCTTAGCTAGAATGGTAGAGGTCTTTGCTGTGGATACAAAGGTCAGCACATGCAAAGATCAACATGGCTCCTCATGAAGGAATTTCTGATTTTTTTTCCCATTTTCCTTTTTAAAAATCCTAGCAAGTTACATACTAAAACCTTACATTAAAAAGAACATTATGACTGCAAAGTCAAGCCACTCTCAGTTTGGAAACGCTTGATTTAAGACTGCATATACAACTTTAATTTGGTCGTCCTTTGTGTAGGCCCCATTCAGGGTACAGGATTGGCAGTGGTTCTGTCCCTGTTAGCCAAGACCATTATAATGCATATGCACAAAGAAACCGAATTAAGATTGCATGGGCAACCTTTTTTCTGACACTTTCTAACTTTTGAGGGCTGGACTTTAGAACCTTAATGTTCTTTTACCAACTTTTTTTAAAATGCAATTTGTTTGTTTTTTTTAAAACACAAAAAACAGAAATTCCATCACAAGGAATCATATTGATCCCCCAACTTGGGTCATCACAGGATTTGGATCTTGAGATCCACAGCACAGACCTCTAATCACTTGCACTAACGAAGTAACTGGTAGCATCAGGAGGTTGTTATTCTCAGTGTGGGTCAGGCACTAGAGGAAGATGAGACACACATTTGCCAGTGGGTTTCAGAGCTATCTGCCAGAAAGCAGATGAATCTAGAGACTCAGGACTCTTGGGTTCAATTCCAAGTTCTAGATGAGAATGTGCTCTACAACTTTCTGGCCCTGTACTCCCACAAGCTTGTCGTTCTCTCCCGCACCTACCTCCATTTCCTGCACTCTCTCCATATCACCTCCCAGGCTCCTACCTTGTCCTCACCCCTACTCTTATCCTCCCCACCCCCTTACCTCGTCCTCACCCCTACTCTTATCCTCCCACTCCCCTATACTCCCAAGCTCTTATCCCCAACATGAAACAGCAGTAGGTCAAATCACACTAGAGAACTTCTAGTGTGCAGCAGCAGGGTCCACAGAGTTAGTGCATGACACATTGGAGTACTGTAGATTTACACCTGTAACAGGACAGCTGGGCCCTGTGATTAAAACAGGTCAGTTCCCCTGTGCTAGACCAGGTGCTCCCAGCTGAGCTAATCAGAGGTGCGAGTGCTGCACCTGGGCTATAAAGGGTCAGAGTGTATTCCAGTGAGGGCAGAGCTGGAAGGGGAACTGCAGAGAAAAGCTGCAGGGAGAGAGGGTATCTGCAGTGGTCCCCGAGGACAGGAGTTGGGGCTGAGAAATGACCCAGCTGAAAGTTTTGATTTTCTTTTGGGAGAAGGGAAGTGAAGCCTTGCATTTTCTCCAGCTGCTCTGAGACCAGGAAGGGGCAGTACCTCAGGAAGGAGTGGTTGTGCCCAGCTTAAGGCTGGGTGAAAGATTTTTTTTGTATTTGTTTTTGGTACTGTGTGAATAAAAAACAGATCCCCAAGAAAGGCTATAATTGGATGAGAATGACTGTGGCATTTTTGAGGGGCCCTGAAAAAGAGGAAACAAAGGAAGGGCACTGTAGAGCAACCTCTGGCCACGATGGGGTGCCCAGGAGGCAACCTACCCTGTTACAACACCCTGCTTTCCACACACTAACTCATCCTATAGACAAGCCCTAAGTGTGGACCATTCACAAACAGATACACTACCTTCACAAAGGTGGCATAGCGAATCAATGAGGAGGTATGCAGAGTCACCAGGTCAGTGAGCACATCCAGAGAAATGTCCACTTCTACATCATTTCCACCACAAATGTGAGTCACCAATGCACTCACAACTTCCTGAAGGAAAAACCCCACAAGAAACCAACAGTGAAAAGCAAATAAAAAAATATCTGTTCTGTACCAGAAGACCCTTGGAACAACAACAAAGTATATGCTACACCATATAAGATGGCAACCAAATAACAGTCCACCATAAATTAAAGGAAAGGGCTAGGGTTCCATGAGCTTAGATGAGAATTCACCTCTTTTGCCTTGGGCTCAGCACAGCTTTAATATTGTGGATTATTCCATCCTTTGAGACTGCTTCCATAGGTATGCAGTTGTATATGGTGTGACACTGCACCCCATATTCTTTGCAGTGATATTATTATGATATGATTAGGACATAATTATAATGTATTTTATGCAAGATAAGTCATGTGAGGTGTCACTCCAAGGTTATGATTTGCTAAACATGATTATCTTATGTGTATGCATGTATCATTTTTGTATCTGACGTGATTAATATTGACTATGTATCTGTATTGCAAATGTAGTTACACCTGGGTAATGCCCAGTAGAAAAAATGCTTTCAGTCTAGATAGTGGGTGGGGAAGGGCCTATTCAGAGTAATGGGCCATTAGGAAAAAACAGTAGGCCTTAGGAGAAGCTTATCTCCCACCTGGTGAGCCTTCCTCTAAAAGCTCCAAACAGCCTGTGTGTGATGGCTGCTATGACTCTACAAGGACACGTTATGAGACCACATGTCATCTTGGGATGTCAGTATTTTTCCACAGACTGCTCTGGGAACCAAACTTTGAGAACAAAGTGTTCCCGCCATATGCAAAAGCTATATAAGAAGCGACATCATCTAGTGTTCTTCGCTCCCCACACAAGAAGATTCCTGAAAACACCTGAAGAACAAATACTGAACTGCAGGAAGTGCTGGACGCAGGCTAAAGAGATTTTTAGCCTGTGAATGAAACAACTGGGGATTCCAAGCTGTAAAGCAAGTGCAGCTTGCCCCTTAAGAATCTGCAGCCTTCTTGTATCATCTCTTAGCGTGAGAATCTGCTATTCATATCGAATCTATTTAATGTATTAAGCTTAGTTTGTGTTTTTTGTTTATTTTCTAGGTAATCTGCTTTGATTTGTTTGCTATCACTTAAAATCTATCTTTTGTAGCTAGTAAACTTGTTTTTGCTTTATCTAAACCAGTGAGTTGGAGTGAAGTGTGTGGGAATCATAACCCAGGGGCAAAAGGCTGTTGCATAATCCTTTCCAAATTGAGAGAGGGGGGTGAATTTTATGAGCTTACACTGTACAGTTCCGTGTGCCACGCAATACGGTATAATTTTGGGTTTATACTTCAAAGGGGGTGCATGCCTGAGGAGCTGGTAGTAGCCTTCCTATGCAGAGGCTGGTCAGAGAGCCTGCTTGTAACTGTGTGTGCCTCTACCTGTATGTATACTGGTGAAAGTGCAGGCTGGAGGGCTTTTCAGCTTGTTACAGCTGTACAGTATGAGAGGGAGCCCAGGCTGGTGGGTCAGGGGGCTCAGTGGTACCCCAGTTCCAGGTTGCATCTGGGGGGGGGGGGGAACCCTCCACATATGATTCCCGTCTGCCATGGTCCTACTCATCCCTATCCAGATGCTCTATCTGTGTCCTAAGTGGCCCCATCACAAGAATACTTGGTTGGCATGTCCTCTATAGAACAATTTTTATCTTCAAAGTACTATACAAATAGTAACTAATTCATCCTCCTCAGTACTACCCACAGAGTTCAGTTCTTAGCCCTCTGATTTCATATCTGCTTTCTCTTTTGATCATCTTAACCTGTCCTTTGCAGTACTCAACTGTACATTTCTTTTGACACCTGTATTTCTGCCAGTCTTGAACAAGAAAATCTGTAGCTTTGTCTCAGATTCATTCACATAAAGAAACGTTTCAAAACCAGAAAGTCATCTTGAAATTCAACTGCATCTCTTCTAATTCCCTTCTCAGTTCAGAGCACATCCAATGTCCCCAATCTTGCTCTTATCCTTTAGCCTGATTTCCAGTTTTCCAAAAGCCTTTGGCTCTGTATGTAATTGTGTGTTTCCCTTCTGCATTCATGCTTGCACTGCTGTGTCTTCCTGATCCACACTTTTCCCAGGTCTCATCTTTCCAGATTCTGGTACATGCAGAATGCTTCTCCCTGCCTCATCAAGTGAAAGAAGATCACCTCCAATCTCACACAGCTTCACTGACTTCTCAGTCATTTCCAGAAGTAGTAGTAGTAGTAGAAGAAGAAGAAAAGAGAGAGAGCCTGGAACACTGGGCCTGGTGCAAGATCTAAGGCCTGAACCAGAGGCTGTGAACCAAAGCCAGGCCATGGATTAAAGTAGTTCACTGCCCAGTACATGAACTTAGCAAAGTTGTTGCAAGTGTACTAGGCACTAAATATATTCCAGCTAGTACAGATACATCCCAATCTTCTACAAGATAAGATGGTTTGACAAAATAATGAATAGGGATGTTTTGTCCGAGATATCAGGAACAAGGGGAGGTAATAAACAGATGTCATAAAACACATAAGGTGGTGTTTAAGTTGTTTATCCCAGTTGTTTGTCTCAGGCCTGGTCTACACTCGGGGGTTGGGGAGAGGGGGGGAGATTGACCTAAGATACACAACTTCAGCTACGAGAATAGCATAGCTGAAGTCGACATATCTTAGGTAGACTTACCTCACGTCCTCACGGCGCGGAGTCGACTGCTGCCGCTCCCCCATCGACTCCGCTTCCGCCTCTCGCCGTGGTAGAGTACAGGAGTCGATGGCAGAGCAATCGGGGATCAATATATTGCGTCTACACTAGATGTGATAAATCGATCCCTGATCCATCGATCACTACCCGCCGATCCGGCAGGTAGTGTAGACATACCCTCAGTCTATAAATGTCAGGATATCTCACCTTAACTCTTTGTGTGGCCTAGGGGACAGCAGAGATTCCTGCTACTGACTGAGCTACTCCTTGCCTCTGGGCACTCATGTGTTAATGTACCTGTAGAGCCAGGGCACTAGGACTGTGCCTTGAGAGCAATAAACCTGGCCAAGGGCCTTTGTCACTGCACAGGGCCTGTGATCTCTATTTATGAGTAAAGGTCTGCTGAATTAGCAGGCTGTCTTATCTGCTGTTAGTACTGATAAAATTGGAGTTCCAAGGACAGAAGCACTGGGCAGACCGAATAGCATTACTGAGGCAATGACATTCCAGCCTTCAGCCCTTAACAATACAGTAACTCCTCACTTAAAGTCGTCCCAGTTAACGTTGGGAACATGCTCGTTTAAAGTTGCGCAATGCTTCCTTATAACGTTTCTTGGCAGCTGCCTGCTTTCTCCACTGCTTGCAGGAAGAGCAGCCCATTGCAGCTAGCTGGTGGGGGCTTGGAACCAGGGCGGACCGGCAGCCCCCATATCAGCTCCCTGCTCCCCTAAGTTCCCTGTGCGGCAGCCGCCCAGCAGGCTATCAATTGCTGGCAGTTCACTTGTCCCTCCCCCGACTGCCATGTGCTGCTCCTGCCCTCTGCCTTGGAGCTGCTCCCAGGAGCCTCCTGCTTGCTGTGCAGGGTGGGGAAGAGGGGGGCTAATGTCCCCTTCCCCCCTGCTCTTGCTCCCCACTTATCCCTTCTCCACACAGAGCAGGGTGGGGACTCGACAGGGCTCCGGACGGAGAGAGCTTGCTGGTCACAGCTGGTGTCTCAACTTCCTGATAGACTTAAAAAGGCAATGTATTTAGAGTGATGTCAGCATACTTAAAGGGGCAATGCGCACTCTCTCTCTCTCTCCCCCCGACACAGGGTGTGTGTCTCTGTCTCTGTGTGCCATGCTGTCTCCCCTCCCTCCATTCGTGCTGCCTTGTAGAGTGTGAGGCTACATTCACAACAATGTGTTAACCCTTGAGGGCTCAGCCGAGTCCTAGTTCATCATTGCTGTGTACGGTATTAAATTGTTTAAAACTTATACTGTGTGGATAGATAGATTAGATAGATGTTTTTAGTCTGGTGAAAAAAATTTCCGTGGAACCTAACCCCCCCTATTTACATTAATTCTTATGGGGAAATTGGATTCGCTTAACATCGTTTTGCTTAAAGTTCCATTTTTCAGGAACATAACTACAACGTTAAGCGAGGAGTTACTGTACCAGATACAGTTCAAAATTGACTTTCTTGATTCACAAACCCTCCATGGGTTTCCAGTTGCTTTCCTGGACTTTTTCTCTATCAGCTTCTCTGTCTGCTCACTCTACTTAATTTAGCACTGGTCTCCTCCATGTTACTCCTTAAAGTCTGGCACTACTGCTGACAGTCATTTTCTTTCCAGCTCCTGCCACCGTAAACAGCTTCCTGACTCACCATCCCAGTTCATATAAACTGAAAGCCAGTAGGAGAACACTTCAATCTTCTTGGAAATTCTATAACAGATTTAAAAGTAGCTATACCTGAACAAAAAAACTTCAGAAACAGACTTCAAAAAGAAGCTGCAGAACTAAAATTCATTTGCAAATTTAACACCATAAATTTGGGCTTGAATAGGGACTGGGAGTGGCTGGCTCATTACAAAAGCAATTTTGCCTCTCCTGGAATTGACACCTCCTCATCAATTATTGGGAGTGGACTACATCCACCCTGATCAACATGTCCCTGTCAACACTGGTTTTCCACTTGTGAGGTAAATCCCTTCTCTTCATGTGTCAGTATATAATGCCTGCATCTGTAATTTTCACTCCATGCATCTGAAGAAGTGGTTTTTTACCAACAAAAAACTTATGCCCAAATAAATCTGTTAGTCTTTAAGGTGCCACCGGACTCGTTGTTTTTGAAAGCATGGATGTTCTCCCCTACTCACACCTCAACTTGTTTCTCCATTTATTATTTAACTTTGTATCTACATTATTGAGTTTATATAACATTTTCAGAAGCAGTTTGAGTGAAAGATATTGTACAAAACAAGGTGGAAATATCTGTAACTCCTATGTAGAGGATTCATTGATCTCCAGGTTTTTTTGACGTTCTTACTTTGGTCTGCAGTCCTGTCAGAACTCGTGTTTAACAGAGTAAAAGTATATGCTATTATATATTTCAAAATATACCTGCTGACAGTAAGAGTCAAAGGCTGAAAATGCTTGCTTGTACATGCAGCTGCCAAAGGAGACGACACATGGATCAGCAGAGTGCAGAAAGGTCTGAGCCAGTGCCAGGATTGATGGGAAGAAGTCTTTGATAACCTGAAAGACAGACATCATGACAGAGACATAAGATTCCCATCATTACTATTTGCTTTCAAAGCTTCCATCCCTCATTTTATGAGTTCCAACTTGAGGAGCACTGCTCTTTATTCTCAAGATCCATAGTTAGTTTAGCATGTGATTCCCTGGCCTCTGACTCTTCCACCTCCTAGATACAGGCTGACGCCATAATAGATTCCCACTTAGATTTGTGCTCTCTATAGGCCTGTTTTGCTTTCAAAACAATGAAAACTTATCCACAAAAAAGCTTTTTTTCAGCAACAGAGTACAGCTGCACTCTTGGGGGAGGGATATCTCAGTGGTTTGAGCATTGGCCTGTTAAACCCAGGGTTGTGACTTCAATCCCTGAGGGGGCCATTTAGGGGTCATGGGGAAAAATTGGGGATTGGTCATGCTTTGAGCAGGGGGTTGGACTAGATGACCTCCTGAGGTCCCTTCAAACCCTGATATTCTATGATTCTATGATGCAAACTCTTCATGCAGACATGATGCACCAGTGTAAAATGGGACTTGACACACGTACATGTCTAAATGCAGACCATTTTATACTTGCAAGAAGGTATGGGTTTAAAAATGTAAAGTCTAAGAAAAATGTGAGGCAGAGCAGCATGTCAGGCCTTGGAGGAGGGGGACACTTGTGGTGGGGAGACAGAGGGCAAAAGGGCTTCCTAAGATCTGCAGAACCAGAAACCTACCCTATGCTGCAGGGCAGAGGAGGGCAGTTCTTCTCCAGCAAATTTTGGGAAGTCACAGGAAGGTCGACAAGGCCCACGAGACAAGCTCTGCAAGTGGGTCTTTGTGATTCAGCTCTTTACTGGGTTAGAAACAATCTGCCATATCCCAGGAGGTGGAAAGGGGCATGCTCCCAGTGTGCAGAATCTTAAAGTAGCAGCAGTACTCACCAGTGAGTGATTTCGGAAGGCGCTCTGTAGCAGCTGCTCTGGCACACAGCCCAGTGGAATCTTGTTCCTCAGCACTCTCTCAATTTGCTTCCTGCTCTTGGTGTTTGTAGTATGGATTAGCAGCAGAACGATCAGGTCCAGAACCTTTCACAGAGAAAATAATCACTAATCATATATCCATTATGCAGTGGAACAGAAAATTTCTTACCGATATTTCCTTTCTGCTAGCAGTGTGTCCCACAGTTCTCGGCTGCTCTCCTCTCTCTGCAGCTCATGGGAGGCAGATCAGCATTTTGGTGCCACACAATCAGGCCCTGCTCCTTCTGCTCCCCCTTGGTGCCAAATGAGTTAGTCCCGAGCTCTAACAGTTGCATAATATTGTTAACAAATATTCCAGAGATAATGAAATAACTATGTACATTAGATCAAGGAATGCTTTTAAGTCGTAGACAGGCACTGTCTCATTGTAACGATTCCACTTAACATCTTATCTTTGACTCATGAAACATTCAGGGTGGGTAGAATTGTGGGAGACCCTGCTAGCAGAAAGGAAATCATCATCAAGAAATCTTCCATTCTGCAGCCCTGCATCTCCCACGATTCTGGATGTTTGGGAAGTAACAAGCAGTGAACAGATGTAGGGAGGGTTATGAAACAAAACTTCAAGAGGAAAGAAGTACCTGCCTTTTTGTGAGCTTTCTCGAAAGCCTGCAGCACCATCCTGCCAAAAGAGGCGTCACGCAGAAGACAGAAGGTCCACGCTGTAGTGCTTAACATAGATGTTAGCTGTAGACCAAGGGCCACTTTGCAAATTTCTGAACTGAACCCACTTGGTCATTCCACCCATGAGGTTGCTAAGGATCTCGTGGAGTGTACCTTAATCCCTTCTGGGACAGGAACCTCTAATGATTTATAGGCTTCCACAATACATAGTCTAATCCATCTATCAATGAAGGAATTGGAAGCTCTGAGTCCCTGGCATTTTGGGTGGAAGGACACAAATAGAGAGCCCAATTCTGTGGATTCTGTATGTTTGAGAGAGATTTTCAATGCTCTTCCAACATCTAAGATGCACCATGTCTTTTCAGTTGGATTATAACAGAGTAGCTTGCCCATTAAATGAAACCAACTGAGATCTCTTGTTCCAGTCCAGGAGCCCCCAGTGGGGCCAATTAAGAGGGCAGCACCTGGAGGCTATAAGAGGCCTGTTGAGAAAGAGACTTGGTGAAGCAAGGCAGACTGGTTCAGTCAGGAAGAGCAGAAGAGGAGAGCTGCCAGAGAGGGAAGGTGGTTCCTGGGAGAGGGCTGAAGGCAGGAGAGCAGCAAGAGAGATTTGCTGGCTGGTGTCCCCAAGCCAAAGAGGAGAGGGCCAGAGAGCAGAAGGAGCAGAGGGAGATACCTGCTGGCTCTAAGCTAGAGAGCTGGAGTCAAGGGCCAGAGAGGGGTGAAGAGAGGGAAAGAAGGGGAGTGCATACATTTTCTCACCAAAAAGCTGGTCCTTGGAGGAGTCATGAGAGGGCCAGGGAGAATGACGGATGCTCCCAGCAGAGAGTCTGGGAAGAGCAGGGTGGAACCCCAGAAGTAAGAGCTGGGGTGACCGTCCTGGCAGAGGGGCAGAGGAGGACTGACAAGAGTCCAGTGACAACAAAGCTGGGTTTTAAAATCTACATGCACTGGGGTGACATGGACTGTGTTTCAGGACTTTGGAGTTATAGATTTTTGCACTTCGTTTTGTTAATAAACTATGGTTAGGGACTACATGATAAGCTCATAGAGTGAGGTGAGGGGCCATTTGCTAAGCTGCCCTGAGGGAACGAGGAGGCATCCTGGAGGAGGCTACTCGTTCATATGGATGTTGTGGTTTTAGACAGAACCAAGGAAGCACAGCCTCTTGGGAAATGTGGAAGGAGGAATTTACCTTAACAAGAAAGGATGCTGGTGTCCCGAGCCCCAGCCTGACCTCATGGAATATCCAGTAAGACTCATGTATGGATAAGGCTGCCAGCTCCGACACTCCCTCCTCGCGGACATGACAGCTACTAAGAACAAGTCTTAATGGATAAATGAAAGGCCGACTGTGTGTCTCTGTGTGTGCGCATGTGTCTGTCTCTCTCTCTCTCTCTCTCTCTCACACACACACACACACTCTGTCTTTCACAGACACCTCCCAACACATACTTGAATTATTGTTGTTATTGTTACTTCTTGATTCTTCCTGCAATGCACATATATTCTCTGTAATTTTATTCTTTCAAAGTGCTGTTTTTGAGTTTTTTGACTGGTCTATGCATTTCATCATTTTCATTTCTCTCTTACACTTAAATTTAAAATGCCTAACCTGTCCTGGCTGAAGTAATTATTCCTATGGTAAATTTTTTAAAATATATATTATATCTAGGTTTTTTGTTTCTACTTCCTGGTGGAGCACATCTACACATTTCCTCGATAATTTGGTGCAGATAACAAAATTCATTCCGCACATGGATAGAAAAAATTAGAGGGAACATTGGTAGGAACTCCACTTACCTCTCTGACTCGTAGCCCCCGGACCTAACAAAATTAGGAACAGAAGGCTGGGTGCAGGCTGGGCACAACTCATCGTCTGCTGAGCCTGGGAAGGCTACCTCACAAACCAAGCACTGCTTGGATTTGACTCAGTGCTCTCTTTGCTGCTTGGCCATGCCTGTAAGGGGCAGAGGAGCCAGTGGGGAAACTTTGCAGTGAAGGCTCAGGGAGGGAGAACCCTGCTCCCCACTGCCCAAAGAACAAGGCAGAAATGTTAAAATAGAAGGAGTAAGGGTAGGAGCAAAAGGAACAGCCACTGCCACAGAGATAGAGAATCTGGCAGCAAGTGGGGACACAGGGGGGAGGGGGCGTGACCAGAGCGTGTGGCGCCAAAATGCTCATCCACGTCTGTGTGCTGCAGAGAGTCAAGAGCAGCTGAGATGTCCAGAATTGGGGGAAGATGCTGGGCTGCAGAACACAAAGGAAAATAAAGACTAAAAAGAACCGTACATTTTTTATCAGCTCTACAGAGAAAGTTCGGGGCTCAATAAGTCACTTAACTGACTGGTCAGACTCTAGTACCACAGGTCGAGGAGGGAGGTGGATTCAGAGGAACCATCTCTCACATGACTTTCAGACTGGGCTGGATGCATTTGTTATTAAGAATGTTCAGGTGTAAATACAATTCAGAGCAAACCCAGTTAAAAACATGGAGAGAACAAATGCATGGAGACCCACAAGATCTCTTGATCAATGGCAGTTCCTGATCTCCATAGCAAAACCTCCAATCCTGTTGCTGTGGAGGAAGCAAGTGCCCTTGCTAGTGTGTGTCCAAGACAGACGCTCATAACACAGAACAGCTACAGCACAGGAAGAGTCAAGAGAGGCATTACCTTATGGTCAGACACAGAAACAGTGTTCTCAATAGCCTAAGGAGGAAAGAAATAAACAAATAGTTACAATATCGTTCTTCTTAACTTCTGTGGATAGGACAAGAAGCAATAGGCTTCAACTGCAGCAAGGGAGGTTTAGGTTGGACATTCCTAACTATCAGGGTGGTTAAGCACTGGAATAAATTGCCTAGGGAGGTTGTGGAATCTCCACCATTGGAGTTTTTTAAGAGCAGGTTAGACAAACACCTGTCAGGGATGGTTTAGATAATACCTAGTCCTGCCATGAGTGCAGGAGACTGGACTAGATGACCTCTTGAGGTCCCTTCCGGTCCTATGATTCTATGAATAGCGTACAGTAATAACGGACTTCAAAACCCACACATCCTATACACTGGAAATGACCAGAGTGGCCAGGCAGATACCAAAAGAAATATTGTCAGTTTCTCTTCTCTGCAAACCCATCAATCCAGGATCCTGGATTGCATTAAATACTGCAGAGTCTGGAGGCAGTTCCTAGAGCTCTCATTAAAAGGTAGCTCCCCCTCCCTCACCTCCCCGTATGAAATTTTTCCAGAGCAACAATAATGTCTTCATTGAGGAACAGAACAATTCCCTTAAAAAAATAAAATAAAATTCTAGCCACCATGCCATGTAAAATTTGCAGCACAGTATATTTTCCTCAAATTTCTTCAATGATTCCTCAGTTTTTCCCTCATTCTTGCACAGATCCTGAGGAGCATCTCCACTTGCATCTGAACACCTTACATCACAGGATGCCTGACTTCATCCAGTTATTCTTTTAAGATCTGCTCTTTCCCTCCACTCCTACATCCTCCCACATGAATAAATGTGCAAATTTACAGTCTGATTGAGGATACTCTTAAACAACTTCAGCCTTTGACAAAGGAACTGAAATCCTGAATAATAAACTAAGAATTGGGAACAAGAAACCGAGTCCAGCCTCATAGTTTATACCCCAGCCCATCATTAAAATTTTAACTTTAAGCCCTCTACAGGAGCAGTCCCTGCTGGACATTTCAATAGCACATTACAAACGTCAATTACCAAGCTAATCCTTATGAAGAACAGCATTATCATTACCCCCCACTTCACAGATGAGGAGACTGAGGCCCAGATAAGCTAAAGCACAAATTTACAAAAAAGTGCTCATTTTAAAATACACTCTTGGGCTTCACCTGTGCCTCAGGTCCTCGCTTTGTAGAACGAGGCTTGTACTGCTTACCCACAGTCTTGAGAGCACTTTGAGATTTGCAGCTGAAAAGTACAAAGCATCAATACCACAGAAAAAGGATAGTATCAGTACTTTCAGGGATAAAAGTGTAACACTAGATAGTTTTGTGAAACTATATTTGCAAGTGAGGAAATCTACAGTTAATGTTCTAATTACATTACAAATCAGAGAAACCCTGGAGAGCACAATCTGACCTTAATCCAAGCTTCAGAAATGCCTTTCTGAAATCTCACAGCCAACTTTATCACATCAAAGAGGAGCTTGACACAGTTCTGGCTGCTGCTCACTTGGCTTGTGGAGGAACTGCAAACAACCAGAGAGGAACAGAATTGCTCATCTGTTACGTGAGTCTTGTCATAACAGGTACAGGTCAACTCAGCACTAAGAGGAGCAGCTGCAGCACCGCCTGCTAGAAGGGAGGCGATGGCAGGGATGGAGTGAAAGCAATGCTGTCTAGAATCACAGTGAAGGCAGGACAGGTAGGAAGAGATGCGTGCAGCAGCAGCAGTACCAGCCAGGGACCATGTGGGGGCAGAGGGACAGGGATGAGGTGGCAGTGAACCATAGAATATTAGGGTTGGAAGAGACCTCAGGTCATCTAGTCCAAGAGCCTCAAACTCACGGCCCATCTGTGGCCCATGAACCTCCCCAATGTGGCCCGTGGGGCTCCAGCAGTTTTGGGGCCGGGGCTCTCCCTTGGCCCCACCTGCCGCCCCTGGGCGCTCCCCTGCTCAGGCAATTTACAATGGCCCGGGGCCCCGGCAGCACAGCGGAGCTGAATGGCGTCTGCCTGTTCGCTCCACATGTCTGCCAGCCCCTCCCTGTGGCCCTGAGACAGGGCTGTGCCTCCGCGCGCGCTGCCCCCCACCCCAAGCACCCCTGCGGCCAATGGGAAGCTGCAGAGGCGGTGCCTGGGGGCAGCAGCACACGGAGGCCCCCTGGCCCGCCCCGTCTTGGAGCCCCAGGTAAGCGCCGCACCCCCGAGCCCCTCCCAGAGCCTGCAGCCCCACCCCATCCCCCCACACCCCCTCCCCCAACACCCTCTCCCTCTCCCGCCGTGCTTCTCCCTCCCAGAGCCTACAACCCCACCGCTTGCACCCAGCAGCCAAACTCCATCCCAGAGTCTGCACCTCAGACCCCCTCCCCACCCAAACTCCCTCCCAGAGCCTGCACCCCAATCCCCTACCCCAGACCTCCTCCCCCACCCAAACTCCCTCCCAGAGCCTTAGCAGGTGGGGGGGGAGTTTTTTTGGGGGGCAGGTTCTGGGCAACATGAGTAACATTACTGGCCTGCTGGGAGGATTTGAGGACTGGCACTGGCCCTAAGGTAAATTGAGTTTGAGACCCCCGATCTAGTCCAATCCCCTGCTCAAAGCAGGACCAACACCAACTAAATCATCCCAGCCAAGGCTAGTCCTGGGTGCAAATGCCAACCAGGGTGATGGAGGATGAAATCACAGCAGCACAAGCCAGAATGGATGTGCCAGCACAACGGCAAGGGTGCGGTGCTGGCTGGAAGAGATGCTGCAGTGGGACAGTGGAGGGTGCCTTCTGGACAGGATAGGGAGCAGACACAGGGATGTGGTTGTAGTGATGCTGGCTGGAAGGGACACTTGGCTAAAGCACTGAGGATGCCAGCAGAGATAGCAACCTGGCCAAATGATGCTAGTGTATGTAACTAAACCCAACTGAGAAGCCTTAGAAAATAGAATCGAAGTCCTTTTGTCCCATCGTTCCCATGCAGAAACCAAGCAGAATCATGCAGATACAATGCAAATACCTCGTTTGTGGCTGGCTTTTGAGCTTGCTCTGGGAAGACAGTATCTGCAGAGGTAAAATACATGACGACAGATCCAAGTTCTTGCGAAGGGCAGAAATCACCTGCAGAGTACAGTCATTTATAACAGACAGGCACATTTGTTAGAGCATTTGTCATATCAATGGATAGATTTGAGGGATAGAGAAAGGTGAAAGAAAAATAAAGACAATTATGTAGAATCCCCAGAGACAATATTACAGACCGTAGCGAGGTACACTGATTGTGACACTGTACCCCATATTCATCATTGTGGTATGATTATGACATAATTATATGATGCATTTTCTACAAGATGTGTCATGTGGGGTGTCTTTGGAAAAGTTATAATTTGCTGAATATGATTATCCTATTTGTATGCATATATCATTTTTGTATCTGGAGTTATGAATATTGACTATGTATCTGTATTTCACATGTGGTTACACCTGGGTGACACCCACTAGGCAAGATGCTTCCAGTTTAGACAGCTGATTGTGAAGGGCCTATTCAAGGTAATGGGCCATTAAGGGAAACAATAGGCCTTAGAAGAAGCTTAGCCCCCACCTGGTGAGCCTTCCTGGGAAGGCTTCAGACAGCCTATGAATAACGGCTGCTATGGCTCAGCAAGGCGATGCAAGGTCATGTGACCAGACCACGTGACACTAAATTCCTGAATTTTTCCACAAACTGAGCTGGGAACTTAGCTTGAAATAAAGGGTTCCCACCATATGGAAAGAATATATAAGGTGGGGAGTGACATCATGATTTGTCTTCACTCCCCCACAACTCAACTCCTGAAAGAAACTCTGGAAAACAAGGTTTCAGAGTAGCAGCCGTGTTAGACTGTACTCGCAAAAAGAAAAGGAGTACTAGTGGCACCTTAGAGATTAACCACTTTATTTGAGCATAAGCTTTTGTGAGCTACAGCTCACTTCATCAGATGCATTCAGTGGAAAATATAGTGAGGAGATTTATATACACACAGAACATGAAAAAATGGGTGTTATCATACGCACTGTAAGGAGACAGTCAGGAACAGTATCCCCGATAATGTCACGGCAAACCTGGTGGCTGAACTTTGTGACTTTGTCCTCACCCATAACTATTTCACATTTGGGGACAATGTATACCTTCAAATCAGCGGCACTGCTATGGGTACCCACATGGCCCCACAGTATGCCAACATTTTTATGGCTGACTTAGAACAACGCTTCCTCAGCTCTCGTCCCCTAATGCCCCTATGCCCCTACTCTACTTGCGCTACATTGATGACATCTTCATCATCTGGACCCATGGAAAAGAAGCCCTTGAGGAATTCCACCATGATTTCAACAATTTCCATCCCACCATCAACCTCAGCCTGGACCAGTCCACACAAGAGATCCACCTCCTGGACACTACGGTGCTAATAAGCAATGGTCACATAAACACCACCCTATACTGGAAACCTACTGACCGCTATTCCTACCTACATGCCTCCACACCAGACCACACCACACGATCCATCGTCTACAGCAAAGCTCTACGATACAACTGCATTTGCTCCAACCCCTCAGACAGAGACAAACACCTACAAAATCTCTATCAAGCATTCTTACAACTACAATACCCACCTGCTGAAGTGAAGAAACAGATTGACAGAGCAAGAAGGGTACCCAGAAGTCACCTACTACAGGACAGGCCCAAGAAAGAAAATAACAGAACGCCAGAAGCCATCACCTTCAGCCCCCAACTAAAACCTCTCCAATGCATCATCAAGGATCTACAACCTATCCTGAAGGACAATCCCTCACTCTCACAGATCTTGGGAGACAGGCCAGTCCTTGCCTACAGACAGCCCCCCAACCTGAACCAAATTCTCACCAGCAACCACACACCACACAACAAAAACACTAACCCAGGAACCTATCCTTGCAACAAAATCCGTTGCCAACTGTGTCCACATATCTATTCAGGGGACACCTTTATAGGGCCTAATCACATCAGCCACACTATCAGAGGCTCGTTCACCTGCACATCTACCAATGTGATGTATGCCATCACGTGCCAGCAATGCCCCTCTGCCATGTACATTGGTCAAACTGGACAATCTCTACGTAAAAGAATAAATGGACACAAATCAGACGTCAAGAATTATAACATTCATAAACCAGTCGGAGAACACTTCAATCTCTCTGGTCACTCAATTTCAGACCTAAAGGTCGCAATATTACAACAAAAAGACTTCAAAAACAGACTCCAATGAGACTGCTGAATTGGAATTAATTTGCAAACTGGATACAATTAACTTAGGCTTGAATAGAGACTGGGAGTGGATGTGTCATTACACAAAGTAAAACTATTTCCCCATGCTTATTCCCCCCCGACTGCTCCTCGGACGTTCCTGTTAACTGCTGGAAATGGCCCACCTTGGTTATCACTACAAAAGGCTCCCCCCACAGCTCTCCTGCTGGTAATAGCTCACCTTACCTGATTACTCTTGTTACAGTGTGTATGGTAACACCCATTGTTTCATGTTCTCTGTGCATATAAAATCTCCCCACTGTATTTTCCACTGAATGCATCCGATGAAGTGAGCTGTAGCTCACAAAAGCTTATGCTCAAATAAATTGGTTAGTCTCTAAGGTGCCACTAGTACTCCTTTTCTTTCTGGAAAACAAAGGATTTGGAATGGGGGAGGAGAACCCAAGCTGCAAGGCAGATGCAGCTTGTGCCTTAAGAATCTGCAAGCCTGCTTGTATCATCAGTCAGGGTGAGAAATTGCTAATTCAAACCCCATCTATCTAGTATATTAGGCTTAGCTTGCATTTTTTTTTATTTGCTAGGTAATCTGCTTTGATCTGTTTGCTAAAATCTATCTTTCTGTAGTTAATAAATTTGTTTTATGATTTATCTTAACCAATGCATTTTGAGTGAAGTATATGGGAAAATCTCTGCTTGGTAAACAAAGGCTGTTGGATATCTTTCCCACATTGAGGGGGGAGCGAATTAATTAATAAGCTTGCATGGTACAGATCCTATGCAGAGCAAGACAGTATAATTCTGTGTTTATGCTCCAGTAGGGGTGCAAGGCTGGGGAGCTGGGAAGTTGGCTGTTGCCCTCTGTTTGTCCATGAGTGGCTTATGTAAAGCAGTAAGGTAACTCCGTTGGGTGTGTGGTGCCACCTGATGTCATGTTGGGTGTAACAGGGCCTGGAGAGGCTGGCTGAGTCACCAGCAGAGCAGTGTGAGAGAGGCCATCCCAGCTGAATTGTTAGGGAGCACAGCAGTTCCAGCGGCTCCCAGACTGCACCCCAGGAGTGACAACCCCTCACACTGGTCCTCTGAGGAAAAGAGGAATTGGGCTCAGGTTACCCCGTTCCAAACAGTCTCAACCAAATGATGATCCTGGGGACAGCAGGGGTAGACATGGGGGAAATGGCCCCAGGGAGAAGAGATGACTGTTTCTTTAAGGGCCCAGAGCCAATAGCCTTGCAGTGTAGGGTGGGGCAAGGCTCCCCTCCCAATCAATCATCTAACCAATCGAGACAAAAACCATTGGGGGTGGGAGGGTGGGGGGAAGAGGGGGAGATAGCACAAAAAGTTCCCTGTTCTCACTGTGAAACGGAAAAATAGAGAGGAACTGTTTGCCAGGGACCATCAGCCCCAGGAGGGAAAGGGGTGACCCACAGTCCCTTTCCAAGGCTGTGGAAGAGGGATGGGAAACAACCCTCCTGAACAGCACTGGGAGGGTTGCCATCAAGGTTTTGTGTTTGAGGTAATTTTATTTTGAAAGACTTTTGCAGCCAGCCTATCTGAAGCTGGACCAGGGAAATTTAAAGGGCCTGCTGCAAAAGAGACAGAAAGAGGGGCGCAGGATGGTAAGGCCACCACACATGAATTTTGTGGAAAGGCCCTTTAAAGAAAATTCCTGTCACTTTCTGCAAAACATATTTTAAAAAACAAATGATAACAAAAGGGCTTGAAAAAATACCCAGAGCACAGGAGGGGCTCTCAATCCTCACACTTCAGGGCATAAGTGAATCAACAATGGGGGTCAGGAATAAATTCCTTATGGGGTTTAGTACTTAGCAGTATGGAGTATTATTAGAGTATTTCAGCTTCTCCTGAAGAATCAGGCACTGATCTCTGCCAAGCTGGACACTGGACTACGTTGCCCACAGGTTTATACCAGCATGGCCATTCTTGTGTTCCTAAAGAATACTCATTTGTACGTCTCCTCTCTGTGACAGAGTAAATACTGTACCTCTACTGCATCCACAGCTTTGATGTTATGTAGAATGAATTTGATTACTACAGGCAAATCTTCCAATTTTACAGCAGGCACAATGATCATAGCAGACTGCCGCACCTAAAGGGAAGAGCAATATTGTGTCATCTGTTAAGACTGGGGTGCCAGGGAAATGTAAAGTTTATTATAAACCACTAGCACCCCTTTGGGGCCATGTAAATAATAAAATAATCTTTAATACACTCAAACAAACAACCGGCATTGTGCTCAGAAGCAACCTGAACATGAGAATTGTACCATTTCAGCACGTACATAGGCTCCGGCTGGGAGAAGCCTTTGTATCTCACCTCCATTCTACATTTCCACTCTGCTGTACAGTTATCTTGCAGGTGTTGCCTTGACAATGAGGTAACACCTCATAATAATGACTGCCAGTCAGCAGTCATGACTGATGCTATATTAGCAGGGATTCACTCTGAGAGGGGGTTGCAGAACTTGTGTCTTCTTCAGCAGCATTCAGTATTAATAAAAGACAAAACAAAAACACAGAAACTAAGCCCAGTGCCGAGTCACTGAATCTCCCTCAGCTAATATACAGGAAGAATGGCTGCTCTTTCCCATTTCAAAGCTCTTCCTCCAAGCCACTTTCCAAGAAATCATGATCCACAGTGGGGTCCCTTTAAACAGCCAAAGTCAGACAAGCAGCAGAGGTCATCAATATAGATATAAACTGTCCTCTCTGGCTCCTTTGCCTCCATGTGCAGCAGCATTTCTGAAAGGCAGCCCACAAGCCTGTTTACAGACCCTGAGCTGGTGCCCCAATGCATTAGTGCCACCCTTTGGTTAGACAGGGCGTTACACAGTCTTGTCAGATCAACAGGGCAGTCAGTCTGCCCTTCTTGTCTGGGTCTTTATAGTCCTTCTGGATGCAAGGACATTAATTTCTGTCCCACTGGGGTGTATGGGCTTCCCCTTATGGTTGGCAGGGGTTATCTGGTCCTTTCCTCAAGGGGCCTGGAACCCCCTTTGGCTTTTAAGTCTCTGTTAAGGGGTTGGTAGGGGAACTCAGGCACACCCAGTCCACTAGATTCCAGGACCCTTAACTCAGGCAGGCAGAATCAGTCCTTAACAATTTTCCTACAATACTCTGAGCTCCTTCCTACTTCCATTGGCTCCGTAGGCTTCTGCGGCCCATGGCGCTGGTCGTCCATTCTTTGAGCTGTTGTCACTCTGGGGAGGCTTCTCGCCAGCTTGTTGGCAGGACCCTCTTTTTCTGACCTGCTTGCTCCTCTGACAGCCACCCCACCCCTCTGCTTCTCAGCTCTTTTTCTCCCGCAGCGGCTGTGAGGATCAGTGCTGATTGGCAGTTCTTGCTTTAATTTCTTGGTTACCAGGCCAGCATGGGTTCTATACACCCAATGACACAGACCTTTCTCTCTTTTTACCTTGAGATGCACAGTGGAATTTCCATAATGGGGAAAGGTGACCAGTGGTTCTGAACCGAGACTGGAGTTATTTAATATATTTAATAAAGATCCCCAGAAAAAAGTGGTGAGCCATGAGGTAGCAACATTTGCAGATGATGAAAAATCATTCCCAATGGTTGGGGAGGATTTACCATCACTGACAATTTTTAAATCAAAATTGGATGATTTTCTAAAAGATCTACTCTAGGAAATATTTTGGATTTCTCTGGCCTGTGTTATACAGGAGGTCAAATTAGATGATCACTATAGTTCCTCTGGCCTTGGAATCTATAAAAAAAATTATTTAGAATAGGCAAGGCTGGAAAAGATAGCGAGGAATTTTGCAGGGAGTAGGGCAACACCACCATGGCAAGCTAAGGGAATGGGCAACATGATTGCCAATTCGATGAATTGCCAAATCCAATGAAGTGGGCTGTAGCCCACAAAAGCTTATGCGCTAATAAATTTGTTAGTCTCTAAGGTGCCACAAGTACTGCTGTTCTTTTTGCGGATACAGACTAACACGGCTGCTACTCTGAAACCTGTCATGATTGCCAATGATATTCAGTGCTGACAAGTGCAAAGTAATACACATTGGAAGGGATATTCTGAATATTCATATGTTTCTGGATTCTAAATTGACTAGAGCCACTCAAAAAAAGACACCTGAGAATTCTTGTAAACAGCTCAGTGAAAACTGCTGATCAATGTCAGTGATGGTCAATAAAACAAACTTGATCTTTGGATGCAAAGGAAGGGGCTGGAGAAGAATATGGAATGTTATATAAATCAATGGGATGCTCTCACCTAGAATACTGGATTCTATTCTGGTCACCACACATCAAAAACTAAATAGCAGAGATAACAAGGGTTTTGGAGATGGGCAAAAGAAATTATCAGAAGCTGAAGCGACTTCCATATGAAAACAGCCTGAAAAGGCTGGCAGTGTTTAGTTCAGAAGGGACATTGTAGAGCGACACAAAATAATGAATGGGTCTGAAGATGGTAAGTTGTGTGCTCCTATTTACCATTTCTCATAATACAAGATCAAGGGGACAGTCAATGAAATTGAAGGGCAACAAATTTAAGATAGAATATTTTTTTAAAAAATAACAATTCTCCATCACAATATTATCACTGAGGCCAAGAGTTTAATAGGATTCAAAGGATTAGAAATTTGCATGCCTAATGAGAACATCCATTTACAATAGACAGGGTAAAAACAATAAGGGAAATAAGCCCTTATGTTTCAGGGCTTAAACAGTTGCTAACTGAGGGGGTTAGGATGGCACATCCTCTGGGATCACACCACTGCATTATAACCAGAAAATCTCATACAAGTCATCCTCAATTCACTGCTTTCTCTCAAGAACAATTTTATGTAATAGGCTTAGAGATTCAAATGACATTCCTGCCACCTTTCCCATTTTGGCTGGCACAGAAAGACTCAAAGGAGCTGGGTTTTAACACAACACTAGGAATGATCAGAGCAGCTCTAATATTTACGCTTCTGTTTAGTAGAGAATCTCTTACCTCAGCCAAAAGTCCTGCGTCAAGATCCAAATTGGAAAGGGCATCCAGGATCGGAACAGTTAGGCGAGTGTCCCGTTTTAACAGCTGGCTGATGCACAAGAAAAAGATTGCAGACAAATAAATAAGAGTTTTTTATAAAGTGGAATTATGCAATTATAAAATGTCAGCAGTTTCTCCACTCACTCCAGAATCTCTGCAACAATGACAAATATATGCCAGAGGCACTATAGAAAATGGTTACTCTGGAAAAGATTGCTTCTGTCTGAACACAGTGAATTTGGGATCACTGTAATTGAAGTGGACATGAAGAGGAATAAAGTTTACTATTTTTCATTGTTATTTTGGGCAGGACTGGAAGCAATGCCTAGCACTTTCCAGTATAAGCCTCAGTTTTCAGATGGAGCAAGGACTTGAAATTTGGAAAGGACTGGTCCTGGGGTCATTGAGATGCCTTTTATCACCCCTATAAAAATCCACCCAGATTTGGCCAAATTATAAAGCTCTAAAAATCACCCATTTGCCCACGCTCAGTAGAGATTTGTTAGAGGCTTTGTTCTTAAAATTTCTGAACATTCCATGTTACTGAGCATGCTCTGGTCCCACTGACCTTCCACATGCCCCAGTCATGCTCTCAGGCCCAGCCTCCTACATCATAGACCCAGAGTTAGAGCACCAGGCCTGGCCAACACTTAAAATCTAAGCTGACATAGCTATATCGCTCATGGGTATGAAAAATCCACACTCCTAAACAAAATAGGAGTTGACTTAACCCGCAGTGTAAATGCTGCTAGGTCGACAGAACACTTTGGGGAAGTAGTGTTCCTGCACAGACAGAAAAGCCCCTTCTGTCAGTGCAGGCTATTTCTACACTGTGAGGATATGCATAGCTGTGCATAGGCCCCGTAGTGTAGACGTGGTCCCTGACAGGACACAAGCACAACAACAGCATCTTTCCGTTTGGCTTGGGGGGGGAAGTGCACTGAGCAGGGAGCCACCTTCCACTGACTGGTGTTAATAATGATTTGAATTTCATAGCCTGTTACAGGGGTGTGAGGACTTGCTCAATAAACACAGTAAGAGGCAGGCAAGTATTATTGCCCATATTTCACTGTGTGATGACACAAGGTCATTAACAGTGCTGTCTGTAACAAGTAAATTCACTGCCCTCCAAAGCCAGGAAAAGATTTCACAAATGTTGATCCCAACATTACTCTGCTGTCTTGTAGACAATTATGTAAGATACTGTGCAACTTGCAAAGTGCATGTTGTGTTCCCACTGGTGGCTGGTCAACATAAGTGTTAACAGTATTAGGCCGTTACCATCTATTCCTTTTGTTCAAGTAGTAAAAATCTGTGCTGTGGAGCAAAAGGTATTTGGTTCAAAATCTGCTGATGACCCAAGCAGGGGTCAGTATGGATCCATGAGATGGAATTTCTGTTTTTTCAGTTTCTTTTTAAAAATATGTATGAAAGTTTATGTATGATGATTTAACTGGGAATTGGTCCTGCTTTGAGCAGGGGGTTGGACTAGATGACCTTCTGGGGTCCCTTCCAACCCTGATATTCTATGATTCTATGATTCTATGATTCTAAGTACATACAAAAAACCACCCAGCACTAAAAGAATGTTAAGGTTACTCAGCCAAGCAGTCAAAAGTTGCCTGGGCAAATTTAATTCTGCCACCTTGTACATACACATTATTACATGATATTTAATTTTATTATGAATTATTTTTATTATAGTAGCACCTAGAGGCCCCAGGTATCCACTGTGCTAGGCACTATACGGAGTAAAAAACAGTCACTGCCCACAAAAACTTAAGTCTAAGGCCATGTTTTTTTTACTAGGAAAAAAAGTGTATGTTTAACATGTTTTAGCTAACACATTAACTACCACTGTTGGTACAACCTGTCCCAGTGCTCTCTTCTGGACAGTCACCAGTCTGCTGTAAGAGACCCACTCATGAGCAGTGTGTGCTTCTAAGCCCCCTGGGCTGGGGTAGAGTCTAGTCACTGTTTCTGGCGCTGAGTCTCTAGAGCACACTCCCAGGCACATAACTCTTGTCTGAGCCCTTCCTTAGATCATGGGATGACAATCCAACCACACTCGTCCCCAAAACCAATGCCTCAGATCTCCCAAGCCCTGCAATTGCTTTGACATGCACTCCCTAAATTCCACCTGATTACTGGCACACTGGCTTCTAATTCAACCCCTTCAAGAAGATGGCAGGAAAGATTTAGCAAAGGAAGTTTTTAACCACAGTCCCTTTACTCTTAGAAAGCAATAGAGTGTTGTAGATCTTTAAAAACAAACAATGTCCTAAAACACACCCTCCCCTTAATCTGATCTCACACCTTTTGTGAGTTCAGAGTCTTGCCAGTGTTTCAGTCTAGGCAGAGCCCCTCCTGCCTTCTCTCTCTCCAGCCCATTCTGCTTACATGTTGCGGTGGCCAGCCCACCTTCGCAGAGAGCCACCCCTCTTAAATATAGGGCTGGTCTACACTACACAGTTAGGTCGACCTGAGGCAGTTTACATCATTGTGTCAGTGTGTACACTACAGCCTTGCTCCCGCCAATAAAAATACTCCACTCCACCGACATAATAACTTCACCTCCATGAGAGGCATAAGGTTTATGTTGGTGTAGTTAGAGCAACACAATGTCTGTGTAGACCAGGTCTCAAAGTCCCAGCCCGCGGGCCATCTGCAGCCCAAGAACCTTCCGAATGTGGACCATGGGGCTCCAGCAATTCTGGGGCCGGGATTCTCCCTTGGCCCCGCCTGCTGTCCCTGGGCCTTCCTCCCACTCTACCCCCGCCCCCACATGTCCCCTAGGCGATTTAAAATGGCCCGGGGCCCCGCCCACCAGCAGCAGCACATCAGAGCTGAGCGGCTTCCTGCACGCTTGCTCCACGTGGCTGCCAGCCCCTCCCTGCGGCCCTTGGGCAGGGCTGTGCCTCCACGCACTGCCCCCACCAGAAGCGCCCCTGCAGCCAATGGGAAGCTGTGGGTGTGGTGCCCAGGGGCAGCAGCACACGGAGGCCCCCAGGCCTTGGAGCCCCAGGTAAGCACCGTAAACCCCCTCCCAGAGCCTGCACCCTCTCCCCTTTCCCACACACCCCCTCCTGCCCCCAAACTCCCTCCCAGAGCCTGCAACTCCACCCTCTTCCTCCTGCACCCCCACCCCCTGCCCCAGCCCAGAGCCTGCACCCAGGACCCAAACTCCACCCCAGAGCCTGCACCTCCAGACTCCCTCCCCCACCCAAACTACATCTTAGAGCCCAATCTCTCTCCCCTTCTGCAACCAAACTCCCTCCCAGAGCCTGCACCCCAATCCTCTACCCCAGACCTAGGAGGGTAAACTCTCACCCAGAGCCTTAGGCCGGTGCGGGGGGAGTTTGGAGGGGCAGGTTCTGGGAGGCATGAGTGACATTATTGGCCCGCTGGGAAGATTTGAGGACTGACACTGGCCCTAAGGTAAATTGAGTTTGAGACCCCTGGTGTAGACACTGCATTGCCTTACTTACATGGGTTGTTGGTTGTCTTGTCAATTTCATCCTGCCATGAAATTGACAAGAAAGCCAGGCAGCTAAAGTCCAGCTGCCTCCAGCTCCCCTGGAGAGCTGGCAGCAGTTGGACCCCTCTCCTGGCTGGGAGCTGGGGCAAGAATGGACCCTGCTCCCATGTGGGAGCCAGGAAGCCCCAGGCAACTTTCTCCGCTCTCAGTGGGGAATGGGGGTTGGGGGGAGGGAGGAGACAGAGACAGCCCACTGGGAGTCCAGAAATCTGTGGAGCAGCCAGGGTCCCAGGAGGGAGCTGCCTGTGGAGCTGAGAGACAGGGGTCTATTGCCCCTAAGTCAGTGGAAGCGCTCCTGGTGAGGATGCACACCACTGACCCAAGGAGGGCAGTGTGGACACTGTAATTACTACAGTGGCTGTAAATTGATCTAATACAGGTCGACTTACATTTCTAGTGGAGACATACCCATAGTCTCTAACCACTTCTGCCCTGTGCTGAGAAACTCCAGCCCCTTCCCTCCCCCACAATTAGACATTGATGTAGACAGTCCATTGTTTTCTGTGGATGGTTCAGTATTTAACACACATTACAGCTGATGGCCCTAAATTGCTCTGTGATTGTTTCTCAGTCACAGTTATGGGACTCGGTAGAACCCCTTCCCCAATCTCCTTCCTTTCTCCTCCTTCCCCTCACTCTTCCCCACCCCTAACCTCCTGCTATTCTACGGAAACTGACTGGCTGAGGGAGTGGGGGAGTGCCACTACAGAACAAGGACACAGAATTAACTATGGACCACCTGGGACAGGGAGACACCAGAGCACATGGGTACCGAGGCTGAACTAAGAGTTCCTGAGCAGAGAGCCAGCTACTGCACTGTAGCAGCCACGTTAGTCTGTATCCGCAAAAAGAAAAGGAGTACTTGTGGCACCTTAGAGACTAACCAATTTATTTGAGCATAAGCTTTCGTGAGCTACAGCTCACTTCATCGGATGCATTCAGTGGAAAATACAGTGGGGAGATTTTATATACACAGAGAACATGAAACAATGGGTGTTACCATACACATTGTAACAGGAGTGATCAGATAAGGTGAGCTATTACCAGCAGGAGAGCTGGGGAGGCTTTTGTAGTGATAATCAAGGTGGGCCATTTCCAGAAGTTGACAAGAACACGGGAGGAACAGTAGTGGGGGGGAATAAACATGGGGAAATAGTTTTACTTTGTGTAATGACACATCCACTCCCAGCCTTTATTCAAGCCTAAGTTAATTGTATCCAGTTTGCAAATTAATTCCAATTCAGCAGTCTCTCGTTGGAGTCTGTTTCTGAAGTTTTTTTGTTGAAGAATTCAAATCAGCAGAACTGCTATGGGTACCCGTATGGCCCCACAGTATGCCAACATTTTTATGGCTGACTTAGAACAACGCTTCCTCAGCTCTCGTCCCCTAATGCCCCATGCCCCTACTCTACTTGCGCTACATTGATGACATCTTCATCATCTGGACCCATGGAAAAGAAGCCCTTGAGGAATTCCACCATGATTTCAACAATTTCCATCCCACCATCAACCTCAGCCTGGACCAGTCCACACAAGAGATCCACCTCCTGGACACTACGGTGCTAATAAGCAATGGTCACATAAACACCACCCTATACCGGAAACCTACTGACCGCTATTCCTACCTACATGTCTCCACACCAGACCAAACCACACGATCCATCGTCTACAGCAAAGCTCTACGATACAACTGCATTTGCTCCAACCCCTCAGACAGAGACAAACACCTACAAAATCTCTATCAAGCATTCTTACAACTACAATACCCACCTGCTGAAGTGAAGAAACAGATTGACAGAGCAAGAAGGGTACCCAGAAGTCACCTACTACAGGACAGGCCCAAGAAAGAAAATAACAGAACGCCAGAAGCCATCACCTTCAGCCCCCAACTAAAACCTCTCCAATGCATCATCAAGGATCTACAACCTATCCTGAAGGACAATCCCTCACTCTCACAGATCTTGGGAGACAGGCCAGTCCTTGCCTACAGACAGCCCCCCAACCTGAACCAAATTCTCACCAGCAACCACACACCACACAACAAAAACACTAACCCAGGAACCTATCCTTGCAACAAAATCCGTTGCCAACTGTGTCCACATATCTATTCAGGGGACACCTTTATAGGGCCTAATCACATCAGCCACACTATCAGAGGCTCGTTCACCTGCACATCTACCAATGTGATGTATGCCATCACGTGCCAGCAATGCCCCTCTGCCATGTACATTGGTCAAACTGGACAATCTCTACGTAAAAGAATAAATGGACACAAATCAGACGTCAAGAATTATAACATTCAAAAACCAGTTGGAGAACACTTCAGTCTCTCTGGTCACTCGATTACAGACCTAAAAATGGCAATTCTCCAACAAAAAAACTTCAAAAACAGACTCCAACGAGAGACTGCTGAATTGGAATTAATTTGCAAACTGGATACAATTAATTTAGGCTTGAATAAAGACTGGGAGTGGATGTGTCATTACACAAAGTAAAACTATTTCCCCATGCTTATTCCCCCCCTACTGCTCCTCGAACGTTCCTGTTAACTGCTGGAAATGGCCCATCTTGATTATCACTACAAAAGGTTCCCCCCCCAGCTCTCCTGCTGGTAATAGCTCACCTTACCTGATCACTCTTGTTACAGTATGTATGGTAACACCCATTGTTTCATGTTCTCTGTGTATATAAAATCTCCCCATTGTATTTTCCACTGCATGCATCCGATGAAGTGAGCTGTAGCTCACGAAAGCTTATGCTCAAATAAATTTGTTAGTCTCTAAGGTGCCACAACTACTACTTTTCTTTTTGCAGCTACTGCACTGGTGCTTGCAAAATGGGGACTCTTACAGATACACAACCTGGAGACAACAGGACTGCTGAGATAGCACAGCAAGACCCAGCAGTTTGAGCTCACAGCACACACCAGCATCAGAGTGCATAGACAGGTTGGACTGACCCAAGTAGGGCTTGCATTGGTGGGGGGCAGGGAGTCTGGGCATGTGCCTAGCCAGAAATGGGGGTGCTGTATCGGGGCAAGGGAGTCTGTGTAACTCTTGCCAGAGAGCCTGACCTGGGTCTACTCCTGGCTTTGCCTGAGTTAGAAAAAATGTTGTTTTATTGTTGACCATGGTGCTTGATCTAGGGAGTTAACTTTGACCCCACAGGAGGGAGGATTGGTGTTTGTGCAGAGACGTATGCTGGGACCTGGGAATGCCCCCTATCTGTGTCACACCCTTCTTGAGCAAGGCAGTGTCTGGATACAGCATAATAACCTGCCCCCGGACAAGATTAGACATATGCTCAGCACCTACAACAAAATGGAAGATACAAAACAAAGTGGAATTCACAATTTGATAAAGACATATCTCACCTCTGGTGCACTGAGCAGCTGGGAGTAAAGCACACACAGTGCAGAGGATTAAGAGACAGCATGAGTGTCAGCCTTACCTAACCTCTCTCGCAAATTCACTTTGCTGGGAATCCTCCAGGATCTCTGGCAAGCTGGTGATAATGTCATGCTGGATTGGCACCGGAGAAACACTAACCATCTGCATTAATTTCATGATGAGATCCTGCAGAAGAGGGAAACACTGGCATATGACAATTTCATCACCACCACCACCACCACAGCAAATAGAAAAGGAACATGGCCTTCTTTCTAATCACCAGCAAAAACCCAGCACATTTTCAAAGCAATGATGGCATTATAAACACAATGTCCTTAATGAAGTCATTTCTCTATACTTGTAGTGGATGCACCCATAATCACTGTCCTCTTGATTGACCACATTTAAATAATAATTATACCTAGCACTTTTCGTCAGTCAGTCAATCTCAAAGCACTTTACAAAGGAGGTCATAATCCCCTTTTTTCAGATGGGGAAACGGAGGCCCAGGGAGGTGCAGTGACTTGCCCATAATAATCCTGCAGGCCAATGGCAGAGCTGGGAACAGAACCTAGATCTCCTGAGTCCCAGCCCAGTGCCTTCTCCACTAAGCCAAATGACAATTTAAAACACAGTGTGATTTTTAAAGCACTGTATATTTTGCTGTTAAAACGCCAATTATTTTGCTGGGCAAAGGAGATTGGAAAATAAAAATAACGAAGCCTTTACAATTGACAACAACCCTCTTTCATTCAAACCACTATGGGACAGTTGCTCTCATTTATTAGTAATGGTAGTTGAGTACTGAGTAATCAACAGAGACAGACTGATTTAAAAAAAAAAACACAGAAAAAGGAAGCAGAGAACACAGAAAGCTAGAACAATTATATGGACTCCATCTCTAATTCTTCACCAGTCTCCTCCTCATCATCATCTACCTCTTAGCCATCTAAACAGCAGTTCTCCAAAAAGTGTTGATGGAACTGTCAAATCCAGTTAGCTCTTCAGGTTCACTGACATCCATTCTTTTCAGTAACAAGACCAGGCAGTTAAACAATTATGAAGTTCTTCAGTTCAAAACAACTTAGGCTATGTCTACACTATAGGCACTTGGCAGCATAGATATGGCGCCACAGCTATGCTGCTGTAAGCCTGTAGTGCAAACACAGGCCACAGCGATGGAAGGGGTTTTTCTGTTGCTGCAAGAACTCCACCTTCCTAAGCGATGCTACCTAGGTTGATGGAAGCATTCTTCCATCAAGCTAGTTGCGTCTACACTGGGGGTTAGGTCAGTATGGAATTTTCACACCCCTGAGCACCTTGGCTACATCAACCCAAGTTTTAAGAGCAGACCAGGCCTTAGATCAAGGCTCTTTAAATGAGACTCAAGCCAATATGCCCCTGACTATCATTGAAGTCAATGGGAGGTCTGTCACTTATTTCATTGGGAGTTACATCAGGCGCTAACTCCAGTACAGACTTCTGACTGGGTGTTTCAAATGCACAGCTAACATTCGAAGTCCTCAGGCTACAATCTGAATGGTCTGTCAGTCCGAAATAAGGAAAATAAAAAACAGTCCTTATATTTAGGTGTCAGGCAACTGTGCCTGCAAATCTAAAGGGCCTCTTGCCAGCAGGTGATCTTGTCTTTGCTGTGGGGATAGCAGGGAGTAGGACATGTTCCTTCCTGACATCCACTACTGTACATTTTCTCCTACATTCAAGAAATACTACAAGACATTTAATGGTCAAAGATATCTTTAGTATGATCACAGTTGCTCCATACTTATACCTTCCCCACTATTTACCCTCACTGACTCACAATAATAACTCCAGTAATTTGGTGCCTGCGCCTGTACCCTTACTTACTTTGGGTGAAATCCTGGCCTCATTGAAGTCATAGGGAGTTTTGCCACTGACTTCAATGGGGCCAGCATTTCACCCCTGACTTTAATGAGACTACTTTCACAAGGACTACAGGATTAGACCCTTAGTCTGTACATATTAAGGTTTGGCCTGCATTAGAACAGTTGCACTGGTTTAACTAAACTGTCTTTAATCTGGTTAAATCAGGGCAAACACCTAATATAGATGCAGATGCATTGAAATCACTTTAACCCTCACTTAAATCCTCATCTCTTCTATATCTAGTGTTCTCAGCCATCCAAATTTTTATGATTTGTATTAGATGGGGCTGTTCTGCATTTCACAACTTATACATGCAGGGTATTAAAAATTCCCCCAATATCTGTGGGGTTAACGCATCTTCATACTGGGATAGTGCATCATGGCATTTATGCTTTACAAGAACAAGTTGTCAAGCATTTGGATACAATAAATTAGTACTGGAGAACAAACTTTAATAGATTGGAACTTTATATATTGTACATCTGAAACTTCACAGAGGCTTAGCTAAGAAACCAATATACTTTACAGAGCATTTCCCTACACCTAACTTTGTGGGCTAGACTTCTTGTCCAGTCCTCTTTATTTCCTAGATTCTCCTTTGGTCCTCTGCTTTGGGAGGGGCACATGCTATTCCACTTTAATCATTATCATCAAAATTTCTATCAGCCCACATATTAAGATCTTTGGGTCAAATCCTAAGATTCATAATGGCCATTAAATATAGTACTAAAAAAAAAGCCATAGGTTTTCAACATGTTTTGATTGCTTGACCCCCTCCCATACTTTTGCAGTAGGTGCTTGTTATGACCTACAAGCAAAATAGTTATCTCATCCCATCTGAGGATGCTCAAAGAACCAAATGGAGAAAACATATTGCTGACTGCACCATTAGTACTTACCTTGCTGTCAAGTATTTTGTCAAGCCATTTAAACTGATTGACAATAAGACGGGGAAAATTGGTTCCAAAGGTGCCCACACTGAAAAGTCAGAACAAGTGAAATACAAGTCAGTTGAAGTTATCCTACCAGCAGAGCCAACACCAGTCTCACTGTTAAGCAAGACTGCTAGAGAAGCCAAAGCTGGAAACAATGTAGAATAGCTGTCCATTTTTCTCCAGATTCATTATTGCCCTGATACATGGTTACCCACCATTGTGCTAGACTTTGAAACAATAGCATTCAGATAGAGGAATTGGTTTTTGTTTTAAATATTAAACTAGTAATGATGTGGTGCCCATGGACAGAATGCAAGTATGCAAAGCAAATTCAGCTAGAAAGAGAAATATCATGTTTTTACGAAAATAATGGACAAGGGGAGAGAAAAGTGCAACTGTGCAAAATGCAAAACTTGATGCTTTGGACCAGTTTCCACTGCAGCAGAGCCTCTCACTGCTAGCTCTCAGTTGGTAAAGGAATTTCTTCTAAGTATTTTTCAAAACTATGCAGATTAGCAGGCCCTCATGGATTAGCTACCCGCAAAATTTCATTTACAACCACTGCAGATGTCAGTACAAAATAGGGCAAACCATTCACAGTTCTCACTTCCTAAGCATCCAGAAACCAACCGATTTCAGTGTGTCACCTAAGATCAAGCCTCAGCACCACAAGCATTCTGGCATGCAAATGAGCACTCAGTGTGACTTAGCTTCAGACTTCCTCTATCCACGAATGTCACAAATAGCTTCAAAACTGGATTAGAGAAGAGAGTTCTAAAGCTCTTCCCACACTACAGCAGAATCCAGACTAGCAATAAATGTTTAGCCCATGTAAACATTGACAGAATTTGCAAGTATATATTGCAGGTCAGAGTTAAGGATATTGTACACATGTATAAGGACAATTTTTATAATATTTTTAATATTTTCATTAATAAATGCTAATGGAATATTAATATACTTTAATTTAACTGACCATTTCCATATTTTCAAAAACTTTTTCTCCACCTTGTTTTGAAGCTTGTATGAGAGCAACTTTAAATAGAAGTTTAATTACATTTTTGAAGGGGAATTTTCTAGTTGTGGTTGGTGGGGAAGGAGCGGGGGAGTGTTTGTAATTTTGTTTTTGTTTTTCCAGGAGTGTGAAATAAGAAAAAAGGAAACCTGAAAATTAAAATCACATTGTTGTAAGAAGTTACATGCTGAGCAGCATATTCCTGAGCTATGCAAGAGTGGGGAGTCTTTGCTGTGGAGTTCCTGAGTCCCACAGTACAGGGGAATTTGGAGTTTTTGAAGTGGATTACTGAAAGGGATCTCAGTTCTTTCAGATGTAAAAGTCATTGTTGTACTCCGGACTCTGCTGGGACACCTTTTAATTCCACTCCCATACTGCCTCTGCCTTTACTATTGTACTGTGCAATATACCCAATGTAAGCACCAACAGCCAGTGAATGCACACCACATCAGGGAGAATTCCCCATCTTTAGGCTTGTCCTCTGCTATATGCTGCCCAATTATCTTGAGCTCTGAGTACTGTATAGTACATTGTACTCTCCCTTCCTCAGATTCAGTGTTTTCCCATATATGTAAATTGGGTCATTTTGGTTAACCTTTAGTCATTGATTAAAAGCAAACAGCTCGGATCATGCTCAACAGACAAGGTTTCAGTTCAGGTCAGAGAAAAGATATTAAGGCACTCACGTGTCAAAAAAGAACTCAGGGAGCTTCTCCAATAACAATGTTATAACAGCAGGCTAAAACAGAAAAAGAGAAAGGCAGTATTATGCTGCTGGGTTGTTTTTTTTTAAGACTGTGGTAGTGCTCAGAGGCCCCATTCAGCACTGAGCCCAGTGCCCTAGGCACTGCATTCACACAGAGTATAAGGGACCCAAAAGCATGACCCAGAAACTTTGCTCATTGGAATTCTCCTCTCACGAGCACAGACAGAACACACACAGCATGCAAACCAGAGGAAGATTCCTGCAAATTGGAAAACCTTGGTAGTTAGGTGCACCCCTAGACCAGAGTCACAGAGACTGTGAAGCCTATCCACCTCTGACCTACAGGAACAAAGACATATAAGCAGGGTCACTTGCTTGCTAGGTTTAAAAGTATCAAGCAAAATAACTCAGGAGTGGCAATTAAAATTAGCTTAAAAAAAAAAAAAAAAAAAGCATGTGAAGCCACACTCTCTTCCCCAGACTCCATTATATAACCTCTCTGCTGAAGGCATCAGAAACAACCACTACAGGTAAGACTAAAAAAAGTTTCTATTTTAACTCCCTACTTTCACACACACTTCCTATATAAAACATTCCCCTTCGTGGCTCTAATTTTTGCCTACTTGGCCTCTGCCCAAATGGAAATTTTCAAAATTTATTTAAAACAACAATCATTAAGATGTTTGAATTACAAGAGGATTGAAAAACCAGAAACTTTTTCCCTCCTGGCTCCTGATAAGCCCTGCTCACTGGTGCAGCAGCCTGTAGTGAGGCAGCTACTGCTCTCTGCCTCAGAGACTGTTGTAGTGCACATATGATTAACAAAGTGCCTTGCAAGGAAAGGCTCTGTTAATCTGAAGTATTATTACAATACACTGTGCTTCATTTGTATGGCTTCTTTTGCGGGACATGTGCCAGGAAAGTAATTCAGGAAACTGAAGGGCAATGACTGCCACCTAGTCAGAAAAGTATAAGCATGCAGTATGCTGCAAATGAGACTGGCTTGCTCTTGCAAGGGTACACAAGGTAGTGGGGGAGGACTCACAGAGCCTTCCAACCCAATACTCCTTGCACAAGGACTAGGCATAATCATAGTCCTTGTGCTCCCCAAACATAGCAACTGCTTCCTCCTAGTGCCTCCAGGGAACTAGCTACTGCAGAGGGAGCAGAAAAGAGACAGGGACATGGTCCTGCCCCTCTTCCATACCAGCCAGCACAGCTGGCCAGCTGTGGAGGAGGGAGCAAACTGCCCCAAAGGGTGGCACAGCATGAGCACACTCCTGAAGCTTAGGAGGCTCCAGGGGGGATTGTATCGCCTTGGGTGGTCTGGTGCCACATAAGTCCTTACTCAAGGCTGTTCCTTGATGGCACCGTTGATCTGTTCTTGGAGGCACGTTTTGCTAGAACCAAGTACTTAAGGGATTTAACAGATGTTACATGGGTATGGTATTCTTTGCTCTTAATGTACATGTTATTACTAAATAAAGATTGAGGGGTACATTTGTAAGCACCTGGCTTGTTTTTGGGCATTGTACATATAATATTCCTAGGAGTTCCAGAAGCTTTGGTCAGGGGCAACTCGTTTACAGCTCTCACAAAGACAATCCCTTGAAGGTTTGTGAGGCACAGTGACAATGGTGGCCATACAAGTACCTTGATAGAGAGAAGATAATTTTTTTACAGAAACCTTCCCTGCTTCTCCAATAAGGGAGCTGAACCTCCCAACAAAACACCGTAAGTTCCTACCATGCAGTTGCCCAGATGGATTCTCTCCAGCCCCACTTCCCCAGCATGGAATGACAGGGCCCATGGCTGGAGCAGTAACTTTTCAGCAGGTCTCAAGATTACAGAGTAAAGGCTGAAGCCTGGAACATGCACGTTGGGGCAATCCTTGATGTCCCTATCAATCCTCTTCTCTTGCCTTCCTGCACCCTCGACTGATTCCTTTCCCTATCTACATCCTTCACTTCTCGGACCTTTCCCTTTACACCGGTAGAGCTGTGTCAGGACTGGAAAAGCAGGAGAGCTAGTCTGGACTGAGGAGCATCAGCGGATTTGTGCAGATTAGTACATGTCTGCAGTGTGACCAGCTCTAACAGTCCTCTACTTTCGTAAGCATTAGATGTCCCCAAATACATAGTCACAACTGAAAAGAAGAATATGTTAAAATGTCCTTACCTGTAAAGTCTCAATTCCAAGTAGTAGTTTAATAAGGCTTTCACAGTATGAATGAACCAAATTTCTGCCCAAAAAAAATTTTATTGTTAGGAAGATTCATGATGTGAGCACGCTGCTTTTGTCCAGCAGAGATTAAAAAAAAATCTACTTAAAATGACAACAGTGTCCTTTTCCTATCAAAAACAACCCCTCAGTCAAAGAGGGAAACTGGTCAGGTGCTAGTGGTGCTTGTGGATTTTCTATCAAACTCTGAATCTTGCTGTACATGGCAGTGGGGAACTAGCTGAATATCAAATATAACTCTGCATTTCCAGACCCTCTAAAGCAAAGGGTCCTTTTAGAAGTGTATGACAAACAGGTTTATAAAAATTTGTGGTTAGGCACTAGATGCAGTCAGGTTTAACACTCTTTCAATCTTAACTATTTTTAACTATTGTTATTTAGACTCTGCGAGGGAGGAGGGTCTCAGAGCCCAGGCTCCAGGCCAAGGCCAAGTGTCTAGACTGCAATTTTTAGCCCCGCAGCCTGAGCCCCATGAACCTGCATCAGCTGACCGAGGCTCTGAGACCCAATGCCATGGGTTTTTTAATCACAATGTAGATGTACCCTGAGAGTCCTCTTTGCACTGAGGTCACCCTCTATATGGGAAGAACTGGCTTTGTTGGCAGTATCATGCTATGCCCTGGCACCAGCAACTCTGCCAAAGCCTCCACTGATCTACCATACTAGCACGTCTGTGTGGGAGCAAGTGGACAAACTAGAGGGAATGAGAAGGGAGGTGAACTGAATTCTACTAACAAATCTGGGGACTCAGAAACTGACTAGATATCTTCAGGAGAGGAAGATGATACAGGCTACATATTTCTTCAGTCCTAGCAGAGTTGTGGGCAAAGTCTGAGTTGGAGCAACAGCTGAAAATTCAACTGCAAAGCTCCAAGGGGAACTTTTTGCCTGATCCCAGTCAAAAGAACTTACTGGAAAGGTGCCTCAGAGAGACCAAAACCTGTCTTGCACTGGACAGGAAAAGCTGGACGTGCACAAGTCCATGGGGCCGGACGAGTTGCATCCGAGAGTGCTAAAGGAACTGGCGGCTGTGATTGCAGAGCCATTGGCCATTATCTTTGAAAACTCGTGGCGAACGGGGGAAGTCCGGGATGACTGGAAAAAGGCTAATGTAGTGCCAATCTTTAAAAAAGGGAAGAAGGAGGATCCTGGGAACTACAGGCCAGTCAGCCTCACTTCAGTCCCCGGAAAAATCATGGAGCAGGTCCTCAAAGAATCAATCCTGAAGCACTTACATGAGAGGAAAGTGATCAGGAACAGTCAGCATGGATTCACCAAGGGAAGGTCATGCCTGACTAATCTAATCACCTTCTATGATGAGATTACTGGTTCTGTGGATGAAGGGAAAGCAGTGGATGTATTGTATCTTGACTTTAGCAAAGCTTTTGACACAGTCTCCCACAGTATTCTTGTCAGCAAGTTAAAGAAGTATGGGCTGGATGAATGCACTATAAGGTGGGTAGAAAGTTGGCTAGATTGTCGGGCTCAACGGGTAGTGATCAATGGCTCCATGTCTAGCTGGCAGCCGGTGTCAAGTGGAGTGCCCCAGGGGTCGGTCCTGGGGCCGGTTTTGTTCAATATCTTCATAAATGATCTGGAGGATGGTGTGGATTGCACTCTCAGCAAATTTGCGGATGATACTAAACTAGGAGGAGTGGTAGATACGCTGGAGGGCAGGGATAGGATACAGAGGGACCTAGACAAATTGGAGGATTGGGCCAAAAGAAATCTGATGAGGTTCAATAAGGATAAGTGCAGGGTCCTGCACTTAGGACGGAAGAACCCAATGCACAGCTACAGACTAGGGACCGAATGGCTAGGCAGCAGTTCTGCGGAAAAGGACCTAGGGGTGACAGTGGACGAGAAGCTGGATATGAGTCAGCAGTGTGCCCTTGTTGCCAAGAAGGCCAATGGCATTTTGGGATGTATAAGTAGGGGCATAGCCAGCAGATCGAGGGACGTGATCGTCCCCCTCTATTCGACATTGGTGAGGCCTCATCTGGAGTACTGTGTCCAGTTTTGGGCCCCACTCTACAAAAGGATGTGGATAAATTGGAGAGAGTCCAGCGAAGGGCAACAAAAACGATTAGGGGTCTGGAACACATGACTTATGAGGAGAGGCTGAGGGAACTGGGATTGTTTAGTCTGCAGAAGAGAAGAATCAGGGGGGATTTGATAGCTGCTTTCAACTACCTGAGAGGTAGTTCCAGAGAGGATGGTTCTAGACTATTCTCAGTGGTGGAAGAGGACAGGACAAGGAGAAATGGTCTCAAGTTGCAGTGGGGGAGGTTTAGGTTGGATATTAGGAAAAACTTTTTCACTAGGAGGGTGGTGAAACACTGGAATGCATTGCCTAGGGAGGTGGTGGAATCTCCTTCCTTAGAAGTTTTTGAGGTCAGGCTTGACAAAGCCCTGGCTGGGATGATTTAATTGGGGGTGGTCCTGCTTTTGAGCAGGGGGTTGGACTAGATGACCTCCTGAGGTCCCTTCCAACCCTGATATTCTATGATTCTATGGATGCTGGAAACTTGAGAGAGGGATTTCTGAGCTAGTGGTACCGCAAAGAAGTCTCTCTCGACTAGGCCAAGTTGTTCTTGGGAATAGCCAGGGGAAATTTTAGTTACAGACAATAGTTCATTTAAATTATAAATCAGCCTTGCTCATTTCCAGCTCAAGCTCTGGAAGGAGCCTTGGCCGGGAAAGCTGAACCTTTGGGGTTTTCCTAGATCTTCTGGAGACACTATTTAAGCAGACGATCTCTGCCAAATCTTGTGGATTTTTTGTCAGACTCTGAATCTTGCTGTCCCCAGTGTTACCGCAACTGCTAACTCCCCAGTGTCTGCTCTTACCACAGTTCCTGGAGTATAATCAGGGAGGAACAGGTACTGTACCACCTCCAAAAGTAATTGCTTGTGGCCCAAGTCACACCTAGACAACTCGTATGCCCAATGACTCCGCACCTTTAACGTACTGTTATTTAAGCGCCATGCCCCTGTCTAACCATTCCTTTGCCTGAGGGATAGATCCTGTCATTGAGCATAAATTCATAAATTGGAAAAGAGTCAGAAAAAAGCCATAAGAATGATTAAAGAATTAAAAAATGTGCCTTATAGTGGTAGACTCAAGAAGCTCAATCTATTTAGCTTAACAAAGGGAAGGTTAAGGGGTGACGTGATCTCAATCTATAAGTACCTACATGGGGAACAAATATATGATAACAGGCTCTTCAATCTAGCAGAGAAAATGTATTACAAAATCCAATGGCTGGAAGTTGAAGCTAGATAATTTCAGACTGGAAATAAAATATAATTTTTTAACAGTGCTAATAATTAACCATTAGAACAATTTACCAAGGGTCCTGGTGGATTCTCCATCCCTAGCAATTTTTAAATCAAGGTTGGATGTTCTTCTAAAATATCTGCTCTAGGAGCTATTTTGGGGCAGGTCTCTGGCCTGGGTTATACAGGATGACAGATTAGATGATCACAGTGGTCTCGTCTGGCCTTGGAATCTCTGGCTGTCTATATTAAGTGCTAGGAGTGTGTTTCCTTACTTGTGCTAGCTCTCATCCAGCTAGTGGAAGTATAAATAGCAGTACAGCAGTGGTAGCAGGGGCAGTGGTAGCAGAGGCATGGCTTAGTCATGCTGAGTACAAACCTACCTGGAACTGGTGGATACATACTTGGCATGGCTAAGCTGTGCCTCTACTGCCGCTACCCTTGCTACCAGGCTACACTACTATTTATACTCATGCTAGCTCGATAAGAGCTAGCATGAGTCTACACACACGAGCAGGGGAATCAAACTCCTACCTTGTAATGTAGACATAGCTAAAGAATCTATGAAAGTACGGATGGCTCAGGGCCGGCTCTAGGTTTTTTGCCGCCCCAAGCAAAAAATCTGCCGCCCCAAGCACCGAGAGCGCAAATGCCCAATCAAAAAAAAAAAAAAAAAGAGTGGCCGGAACGCCGACCCCTGGAATTGTGCCGCCCCAAGCACGTGCTTGCTTTGCTGGTGCCTAGAGCTGGTCCTGGGCTGGCTTAACAGAATGGCTGGCTTAACAGAATAAACCCTTCTATCTATGAAAGTACGGTTGGCTTAACAGAATAAATCCTTCTCCCCACAACCAATTTTGCATTGTTCAAGCAGAGACTAACTCCTACAGGCAGGGAGAAAGAAATGCATTTTCTCTGACCTCGTAACCTCGCCCCGCACTGGAGCACAAGGCAGAAGGCAGTTCCTGAACTGGTCTCTGTCCTTAATGTGAGTCTCCAAGCCACTGACAAACTCCTGCACAACCTGCAGAGAAAAAGGGAAAAGTAGGAACCCTGATCACCCACTTTCCTTTAGGATGGGCTATTTGTGCAAAGGATGAGGGGGAAGAGGAGCTCTGTGCTAAGATAGCCAAGGAGCACCCAGCTGGACAGGAGGCTGCAGGCAGAGATAAACTAGAGGGGAAGCAACACAATGGACATCTTAGAGATACAGCATAAACCCTATGTTACAAACTAATTGGGAATTGAGGAGTTCATAAAATCAAAAAGTTGTTAAAACTGAACATCTCAAAATTGATGTATGTCTGGTGCAGTATGATACACTGCATCACTTTCTGCTTGCCCTTTAAGCTGCTGAAAAGCTCTTTCAAAAGCACTAGAGGCCTTAGAATATGAAGAGATGTTGCCTGTTCTTCCTCAGCATTACTTTCATTATATGATATTTTTCTATCTGGAAAAATGTCTCATATAACTGGTCATTTGTGAGATTGGTTCTGGTAAAACTGAGGTTCTACTTTACTCTAACCTAAACAGCCTGCAAATGAGATGCTGGTTCCTCTACAAACGCACTCTAGGGTGACAGCTTCAAACTCCCCTCATCTGCTTGTGACTCAAAGGGCTGAGTCCCAGCTGTGACTTCTCCCAGTGCAGCTGGGAGCATGGTGTCCAATACAGCAAACAACAATGTCCAAAAATAGTTGTAATATTGAAACAAGTAGCCTCAGAAGTTTCATATTTGATCTGGCTGTTTGAGATGGGGACAAGGGAAGAGAGAAGGGGAAGGGAAAACCCTAGCAATATGAACACATTTAAACAAAGAGTGGCCATTCCATTGCTGGCAGCTACCAGGCCAATTACTTACCGAACAGTGAACTGACAATTTTCCATTCAAAAGTTAAGTTTGCCCCCCTCCCCTTTGCATGTGTCTTTGTCTCTTGCATCCTTTGGATTTCAGTTCTCTCCCAAGTCACATTTTCTAGCAGTGCATGCCTGAGGAGGGGGCCAACATGGGCAGAATAGGGGTCATGGCCATGGAGACAGATGTGCAATGCTTTGTCCCAGAATTGTACAAGGCCACTTTAGCAGCATATAAACTGGATGAGGTTTGACAGGTTCAAGTGCAGATTTGCCTCCAATCAGCCTATTAGTGGCTGGTGAGTCTGACATGATAGCTCAAAAAAGACAGAGCCAGAGCAGGAATCATAGAATATCATAGGAAGGGTAAAGGGAGCCAAGGAGATGTGGGAAAGAGTTGAATACAGTTTGGGGGATTGGTGAGAGGGAGACAGACAGGCATCTGGAAAGAATGGGCCCAAGAACAAGCAGCAATATTCTTCTCAGGAAGGTGGCAGAAGAGGGGGGGGCCATTGGGACACTTCTGGAATTGGCCACATTTGCATACCTCTTTTACCTGACACATTCTGCACTGCCAATTTTGGGTGTGCAGCAGCAATTAGCCTATGTTAATAGCCTATTAGCACAGGGAGCGGCCACACAGCCAAGTAGCACACAGACTTTAAACACTGACGTCTCCTGAAATTTGTGGTGTTAGCTACATACATGTGGGTAGAAAGGATGCTTCCTCAAGATCTGGCAGAGTTTCTTCTGGAAGGTTGCTTGATCCACGGCTATGGAGAAAGTCAGGAGTAAATCATTTTAGTTATGCAACATACATGTTAGTCATACATTTTAGTCATGGAAACTTCACAGTATTTCAGCAACAGTTCTATTTTACTCTACAAGTTGCTTTGCAGATTACAAAGCAGCTACCCACCGGAGTTTACAAGTTCACTTCATCTAGAGTGCCCAGTTAACAAAAACCTGAAAGATACTATTACTCACATTCCCTCCATCATGGCAAAATTGAAGCGGATCTGATGAAATTTAAAGAATAACCAATGTGCAGTCTCTCCAATCTTGCACAGTCAGCTGTATAGCTCACTCCTAGTAGGGAGACCCTGCCAGCCCATTCAAGAACACAAACTGGGGAACCAAGCAGCAGGGAAGGGATCCCATTGTAGGATTTATGAAGGTTCATGCACTTGGCAACATTCAGGGCACATCCGGAGTGTTGCGTAGGAGCAGTGCACACACAGCTCCTCTCAAGGGCATGAACCTTGGAATCTCGCCCAGATGACATGAACCGTGGGAAGCCTCCCAGGACTGGGCTCAAGGCCCGAGAGCAAGGAATGCGGTAGATAGAAATTGGTAAATAAGAATGTTAAATAAAGCCAGTGTATTCCTTTTATCTGTTGGAGAATGTAATGCGCAGGGGGAGAGAAACAATAAAGGAGAGGGTGGAAAGCTGACAGGACCAGTCCGTTGGCAGACCAGCCTGTTTGCTTGCTTAAAGCTTTGTGCTGTCTTGTATTTGAACCGCAACAATCCCATGATTTTCCTCGTGTCCTAATGAATATAGCATGATTAAGCTCTTTCTCCTCCAGCTCAAATCCCTAACTCCTATACTACTAAAGAAAGACCATTTACCCCTACAAGATATGACAGCAACCCGCCAGCAACATCAGACTGCTCTGTCCCCACAAGCACACCCTGCATTTCTAGTGTTCCAGCCACTCTAAAGAGAAGCAGCAAGTCTCTGCCAGAACCACTTCAGTTCATCCAGTAGCCAGTAAAAGGGAGTCACTGTGGGAATATTAAAACATGCATCATGAGGATGTTAAGCCTGCAATGCTCCAGATACAAAGTACTGAATGAGAAACTTGACTTGGGATCCCCATGTGGCAATGAAGCTTGGTACTGCTAAGTCCAAAAAACAGCAAAGTGGCTAATTCAAAATAATGCAACCACTTCCTCAGAACTGCTGACCGCTGTGCTTGAGCTGGGAGAGGAAGGGGAATGGTGATTTCCATTTGAAGCTCTCTCACTCTAGTACTCCTGCCTTTTCAGCTAAACCTTGTAATATTTAAAAATAAAATCCTTACTTTGCCCATTTTCTGTAATGGGTTAATAAGGAAATAAGAGAAAACGTTAGAGCAACTCACAGAGCCTTATCTCATTCCATCCTTACAATCTTCCAGCATTCTCCCAGCACGGCACATGCATGTATACGTCAGAAGAGTGGAAGCATGTGTGTAATGTGTTGATCAGTATGCAGCAAATAAGGGAAGTAAGGATTTACTCACTGAACAATGGAGATAAAAATAAAGGTTTATCAGCTGCCTCATTCAATGCGCATTGTCCATCTTGCGTATTGAATAAGGCAGAAATCATGTAATTCAACAGCGCACATGAGGTTGACTTTAACTTTGGTGCTTCCTGAGTTGAGTGTTTTATTCTGTCACCCTAAACTCCTTTTAATGTTGCTTTTTGGATAGATATATACATCCACAGCTAAATACAGCACAGAATGCTAAATCCATACCTATGTCATTCTGCCTCTCCCCAGAATTCAGAGTAATTCCTGCTGTTTTGATGAGCTGTACAAAGATGCTATCATTCTCCACCGCTCCATCTTCGGCAGAGGTCTTCTCCTTGCAAGAGATCCGAGACTTTTTTGTTTCTGAGAAAGCAAAGCTTATTATTGTAGGATAAACAGATGCAATAAGGAGTGGGGTTCCTTAAGAGAATTCACTAACTCAAAATTAGCCATACCTCAAGATATTCTGTGAAGAGAGGCATTACCTTTGAGGGTCAGACGAGTGGTCTATCCACTCCTCTGCTGTCTCTGACAGTGATCAATAGCAGACATTTAGGAGGAAGATATAAAACACTTAGGCGCATAAGGAGAAATTTCTTACTGGCCCCAGCTGGTGGTCTGTTCATGACCTAAAGCATCTGGTTTAATACCAACATTTTCTTTAAAGCCACTGTCACAATTAACAAATTATTGGCTGAGCTTGGAAGGCCTTGAACTCAACTTGATGGCATGTCTCTGTCTGTGAGGCAAACAGCTGTGCATCTCTCTCTATCAGTGTTATAGAGGGCGGACAATTTATGAGTTTACTCTGTATAAGCTTTATACAGAGTAAAACGGATTTATTTGGGGTTTGAATCCCATTAGGAGCTGGGTGCTGGAGAGAGGTGACCTGCTAAGCTGTTTTCAGTTAAGTCTGCAGCTTTGGGGGCATTGTTCAGTCTGTGTTGCAGCAGGCTTGTGTGTCTGGCTCAACAAAACAGGGTTCTGAAGTCCCAAGCTGGCAGGGAAGATGGGCTCAGAGGTAGTTTCAGCACATCAGGCGACAGTCCCAAGGGGGTCTCTGTGACTCCTCTGAAACCTGTCTATGAGGCAATCACTTTTAAATACACATCCAATCAATTCCAACTCATCAATGCTTATTAATTTGGGGGAAAAGGGGGGACAGAGACACATAAAGCCCCTGCTAGTATTTTAGCACAGACATAGCCTCAAGCACCTCTGCAATTGTTTATCAAACAACAAGCTGATGGCACTCATTAACGCCTTCCAGCAAAACAATACCCCATCTCAGCTCTGCCCATCCTCCCAATAGAGCAACATCCCAATAGGGCAAACTATGGCCCACAGGACAATTCTGCCCAGCCCGTGAGCTCCCAGCCGGGGAGGTTAGCTCCCGGCCCCTCCTCCTCTGTCCCCCCTCCCCCACAGCCTCAGCTCGCCGTGCCGCTAGTACTCTGGGTGGCGGGGCTGCAAGCTCCTGACGGGCAGCGTGGCGGGCTCCAGCCAGGCAGCACAGCTGCCAGGCCTGCTGCTCTGAACGGCATGGTAAGGGGGCGGGGAGCAGGGAGGTTGAATAAGGGGCATGGGGTCCCGGGGACAGTCAGAGGACAGGGAGCAGGGGGCGGTTCAATAGGCGTGGGAGTCCCAGGGGGCCTGTCAGGGGGCGGGGGTGTGAATAGGGGTCAGGGCAGTCAGGGGACAGGAAGCAAGGGGGTTGGATGGGGGTGGGGTCTCAGGGGGGCAGTTAGGGGGTGGGGGTCCGAGGAGGGGGCAGTCAGTGGACAAGGAGCAGGGGGGGTTGGATGGGTCAGGGTTCTGAGGGGGGCAGTCCAGGGGCAGGAACTGGGAGGGGGCAGGGCTAGGCTGTTTCGGGAGGCACAGCCTTCCCTACCCGGCCCTCCATACAGTTTTGGAACCCCGATGTGGCCCTCAGGCCAAAAAGTTTGCCCACCCCTACAACAGAGTGTAACATCTTGGCACCCTGCATGACTTGTGTAAGCTGGAAAGCTTGTCTCTCTCACCTACAGAAATTTGTCCAATAAAAGATATTACCTCACCCACCTTGGCTCCCAGACAGAAAGAAGAGTAATTGGGGGGAAGGGGGAATGGAGAAGGACATGAACACACCCATTGGCATGGGGGGGAGGGAAATGGGGGATGCTGGGAGAGGGATGGGAGGAGGACACCCAAAGCCCTAGCATGGGGGGGAAAGGGGAAAACGGGGGAAGCCGGGTAATAAGGGTTCACCAAGAGGCCCTGCCATAGAGGGAAGGAGGAATGGGGGAGGCCACAGAACTCCTGCCACAGAGAATGGACATGGGCGACACTGGAATGAGGGGAGGGAGAAAGGGAGAGTACACAGAACTCCTGGTGAAAGAGAGAATGGGGGATCCTGGTATGGTGGGGAAGACAGACTGGGGGGCATGGGTGAAGGTGGGAATAGGAGTGCACACAGAGACTCTGGCATGTGAGGGAGAATGGGAGACTCTGGAATAGGGTAAGTGGGGACCACACAGGCATGAGAGGGAAGGTGAAAACGGGGAGAGGGGAATGGGGCACACAGAACTCCTCGGGGGGGGGAGATTGGGGGACCTTTGTATGGGAGAAAGGGGTCTAGGAGTACATACAGAGCTCCTGCCATGGTGGAGAGTATGGGGGACCCAGGAATGGGGGAGGGAAGAATGGGGGCACAGAGAACGCCGGTGGGGAGGAAGACTGGGAAAACCTGGTATGGGGGAAGGGGAGGCACACACAGCCCCTAGAATGGGGGCGAAGAGGAGGCATGGGGCAGAGTGGAAATGGGGGGGGAAATCAAGCCACTGGCATGTGGGGACAATGGGGAACTCTGGTATGGGAGAGGGACATGCAGCACATAGAACTCGTAGCAGGAGGGAGATAGAGGGGAGTTGAAGAGAGTCCCAGTGTAATAGAAGGGGATGGGAGAGTGTCACACAGGGAGCTTGCAGGGGTGGAGTGGGGGCGAATAGAGAAAAACAAGGAGCCCCTAACCTGTGCAACAAGCTTGGCCAACACATATGAATCATGCAATGCCTTAGTTATTATTTGTACAGCACCACCAGCATGCTAGGTACTTTATTTACAGGCATCTGTAGGAGGCACATCCCTGCCCTGAAGAGTTTACTCTCTATCTCGGTTCTTCTACCTTGTCTATCACTGGGATATCTGAGCACCTTGCACATTTACTAGAGTGAAAATGAAGTTGCTTTCTCCTTCCCCCATTCAGTAGAGAGGTGGCTGTTTTTTTTAAAATCTGTGATTTTGGTAGAATGGGCTTATTTTGGGGGAAGGAGGGGCTTACTACTTCCCTCTAATGGCACTGAGGCTTGCTCCCATCAGTCCAGAGAGACATAAATGCAGAGATGGAGGAAAGGAGGCAATCAGATTTTTCAGACCTGGTAACACCCTTGGTTTTGTTATTTTTCATTGTACTGTGGCTTATCAAACGTTACCATTTTATATTCTGTGGGGCCATTCTGCACAACCCGTCACTTTACTAGAAAACTTCTATGCACCCTGCCTGTGAACTGTTGCCCTCTACCAAAGGAATTTCACTTCAAATAAGAGGAGTTTGCTACACATACGTGGTAATTCTGCAATCAGACTGTCCCCATGAGCATCAGATTTGGACAATTTTCGTTTTGAAACCATGGCAACAAAATCTTTGTTGTATCCTAGAATAATATTAAAAAAAACAATTAGCAACTAGGCAGAGATCAGTTTTTACTTTAAAATTTGTAAACAAATCTAAAGTGAATAGAGGACAGGATATAGTGAAGGAAAAGTGCTCCAGGAATGCAGACTGCCCATTCAAAGGAAATGAGATCGGATTAACCAGCATTATTCTTTGCACAAACACCTCTTCAATGCAGACTGATGTCAAAGAATTCCAGTTACACTGAAATAGCATGGTGTATCACTTTTTTTTTATCAGAACACCAGGTTCTGAGTTTCTGTGTTTCTTTCAACTGCCAGTTGAATTAAATGGTGAGTTAACTGGAGTAACCAAAAGAAACTCCGACATTACAAGTCTACGCAGTTAAACAGTCAAATGTCAGTAAATCCCAAAGCCAAGGCTGAACATGCAACCATCACTCTATTCCCTTGTGTGCACACATCACGATACAATCTTCAATTACATCATCACATTAGATTTCTCAAATAATATAGCTACCATCACTTACTAAGATTATGGGCACATTATAAGTACCTAGGAGAGAGATACTTTGTTTCTATATCTTTCAGACACATATCTAGCATTACTCTCTATTATATGTTTCAGAGTAGTAGCCGTGTTAGTCTGTACCAGCAGAAAGAACGACGATTACTTGTGGCACCTTAGAGACAGTTAGTCTCTAAGGTGCCACAAGTACTGCTTGTTCTCTATTATATGTAATTTTTTTTTAATTTTGTGTAAAGGAAAGTATATAAAAAAGGGACAAAGCTAACAAAACACACTTTTTGAATTAGGATGTAAAATGGTAACCGATTAACCGATAAGCATCAGCCTTACCAGTAATGTATTCAGTAAACGATAAGGGGGTTGAGGCTGGGGCCAGCAGCCAGGACCCTGGGCACAAGACCAACAGCAGAGCCCGGCATAGAATGTGAGGGTGATGCAGCAACCCTAGTTCCGGAGCCTGTATTGTGAACTCCTTAACAGTTAAATGTTTAATCAATATAATTTTAATAGTTTAAAACGTTACTTTTTCTAAACGCTATTTACATCCCTATTTTAAATGCATTTTACCTATCATTATCACAAATACACTAATTTTACGTATTAATGTAGCTATCAGAAGAGAACAATATGTTGTAGGAATTATTTTGGGGAAGTTCTATGGCCTATGTTATGCAGGTCAGACTAGACCAGTGGTTCTCAACCACGGGTACACATACCCCAAGGGGTACACAGAGGTCTTCCAGGGGGTACATCAACTCATCTCGATATTTAACTAGTTTTACCACAGGCTACGTAAAAAGCACTAGCGAAGTCAGTACAAACTAAAATTTTATACAATGACTTGTTTATACTGCCCTATATACTATACAATGAAATGTAAGTACAATATTTATATTCCACTTGATTTATTTTATAATTATATAGTAATAATGAGAATGTAAGCAATGTTTTAGTAATAATGTTCTATGACACTTTTGTATTTTTATATCTGATTTTGTAAGCTGGTAGTTTTTAAGTGAGGAGAAACTCGTGGGTACACAAGACTAATCAGACTCCTGAAAGGGGTACAGTAGTCTGGAAAGCTTGAGAGCCACTGGACTAGATGATCACAATGATCCCTTCTGGCCTTAAAATCTATGAACCTATGGAGTATTTTTCTCTATTATTTCACTTTGTTTATTTTGCACATTTGAGAGTACACTGGTTTTAGTCTCTCATTTTCCCCAGCCCTCTGCACTACAATCAGTTAGTCAGTCACTTCCCCTTGCTGTTTCTGTTAGTTTTTCACACAGCAATAGGAGAGAGAAAAAAGAGTTTGTTCTTAAATAGGAAAATATTATTGAAAAATCATTTTTTAAAATGGCAAATAAAATCAGGGATGGATGTAGGACCCAAAAGGACTTTTAACTAGGGCTGTTGATTAATCGCAGTTAACTCACGTGATTAACTAAAAAAAAAATTAGCTGTGATTAAAAAAATTAATTGCTAATAATTGCACTGTTAAACAACAGAATACCAATTGAAATGTATTAAATATTTTTGGATTTTTTCTACATTTTCAAATATATTAATTTCTATTACAACACAGAATACAAAGTGTACAGTGCTCACTTTATATTATTTTTATTACAAAAATTTGCACTGTAAAAATGATAAAAGAAATAGTATTTTTCAATTCACCTCATGCAAACACCATCCCCACACACACCCCGCTATCACAGAGTCGTTGCCAAGGAGAAATGGGGGGACACCATCCCCGCACACACCCCATTACCACAGAAATGTGGGGGGCACCATCCCCCCCCACATCCCACTATCTCGGAGACATGGAGAGGCACCATCCCCACACACAGCCCATTGCCATGGAGATGTGGGAGGGCACCATCCCCTCATACACCCCGCTGCCACAGAGACGTGGGGGGCTCCATCACAGAATCATATAATATCAGGGTTGGAAGGGACCTCAGAAGGTCATCTAGTCCAACCCCCTGCTCAAAGCAGGACCAACCCCCAACTAAATCATCCCAGCCAGGGCTTTGTCAAGCCTGACCTTAAAAAACCTCAAAGGAAGGAGATTCCACCACCTCCCTAGGTAACGCATTCCAGTGTTTCACCACCCTCCTAGTAAAAAAGTTTTCCCTAATATCCAACTTAAACCTCCCCCACTGCAATTTGAGATTACTCCTTGTTCTATCATCTGCTACCACTGAGAACAGTCTAGAGCAAGCCTCTTTGGAAACCCCTTTCAGGTAGTTGAAAGCAAATATCAAATCCCCCCTCATTCTTCTCTTCTGCAGACTAAACAAACCCAGTTCCCTCAGCCTCTCCTCATAAGTCACGCGTTCCAGTTCCCTAATCGTTTTGGTTGCCTTACGCTGGACACGTTCCAATTTTTCCACATCCTTCTTTTAGTGTGGGGCCCAAAACTGGACACAGTACTCCAGATGAGGCCTCAACAATGTCGAATTGAGGGGAATGATCACGTCCCTCGATCTGCTGGCAATGCCCCATCTTATACAGTCCAAAATGCCGTTAGCCTTCTTGGCAACAAGGGCACACTGTTGACTCATATCCAGCTTCTCGTCCACTGTAACCCCTAGGTCCTTTTCTGCAGAACTGCTGCCTAACCATTTGGTCCCTAGTCTGTAGTGGTGAATGGGATTCTTCCATCCTAAGTGCAGAACTCTGCTCTTTTCCTTGTTGAACCTTATCAGATTTCTTTTGGCCCAATCCTCCAATTTGTCTAGGTCCCTCTGTATCCTATCCCTACCCTCCAGCGTATCTACCACGCCTCCCAGTTTAGTGTCATCTGTAAACTTGCTGAGGGTGAAGTCCACCCCATCTTCCAGATCATTAATGAAGATATTGAACAAAACCGGCCCCAGGACCGACCCTTGGGGCACTCCGATTGATACCGACTGCCAACTAGACATGGAGCCATTGATCACTACCCATTGAGCCCGACGATCTGGCCAGCTTTCTATCCACCTTATAGTCCATTCATCCAGCTGGCAAGAATACTGTGGGAGACCATACAAAAACTTTGCTAAAGTCAAGGAATAACACATCAACTGCTTTCCCCTCATCCACAGAGCTAGTTATTTTGTCATAGAAGGCAATCAGATTAGTCAGGCATGACTTGCCCTTGGTGAATCCATGCTGACTGTTCCTGATCACTTTCCTCTCCTCTAAGTGCTTCAGAATTGATTCCTTGAGGACCTGCTCCATGATTTTTCCATCCCCCCACACATCCCATTACCAGCTGTGCATAACTGCCCATTGCCATGGAGATGTGGAGTAGAACCATCCCTGCACACAGCCCGCTACCACAGAGATGCAGAGGAAAACCCGCACACACCCCACTATTACACCGATGTGGAAGAGCACCATCACCACCATACACGGAGACAGGGAGGAACCATCCCCACACACACACACCCCTACCACAGAGACATGGATGGGCACCATCCCCCTACAAACCTCATTACCATGGAGACAGGGGGCACCATTTCCAGCAAGACACATGGCGGGCACCATCCCCCCCACACACCTCGCTACAACGGAGACATGGGAGAGGACCATATGCACACACACCGCATTGCCACTGAGACGTGAAGGGGCACAATCCCCACACACTGCCCATTGCCATGGAGAGGTGGGGGGACACGATGCCCGCACACACCATGTTACCACGGAGACATGGAGGGCACCATCCCTGCACACAGCCTGCTACCACGGAGACGCAGAGGAGAACCATCCCCCCACAACCACAGAAACGGGGGAGGACACCATCCCCACCCACACACTCCATTACCACGGAGTCGTGGGGGGGGGCACCATCCCCGCACACTCTCCATTACCACAGAGATGGGGGAGAATCATCCCCACACACACCCCGCTACCACAGAGATGTGGGAGGGCACCATCCCCCCACACACTTTGTTACCATGGAGATGTGGGGGGGAACCATCCCCACATACACCCCGCTACCACAGAGACGGGGGGAACCATCCCCTCCACATCCCGCTGCAATGGAGATGTGGGAGAGCACCATACCCACACACACCCCTTTATCACAGAAATGTGCGGGGCACCATCCGCCTCACAACCCGCTATCTCGGAGACATGAAGGGGCACAATCCGCACACACACCACATTGCCACAGAGACGTGGGGGAACACTATCCCCGCACATAGCCCACTACCACGGAGATGCAGGAGGCACCATCCCCACAAACACCCCACTAGCACAGAGATGTCAGGGGGCACCATCCCCACAAACACCCCACTAGCACAGAGATGTCAGGGGGCACCATCCCCACAAACACCCCACTAGCACAGAGATGTCAGGGGGCACCATCCCCACAAACATCCCACTAGCACAGAGGTCACAGAGACCATACCCCACACACACCCCATTATCGGCTGTGCATAACTGCCCATTGCCATGGAAATGCGAAGTGGAACCATCCCTGCACGCAGCCCGCTACCACAGAGACGTGGGAGGGGACTATCCAGCCACACCCCCCACTACCACAGAGAGGTGGGAGGGCACTATCCCCACACACACACCTCGCTACCACAGAGACGTGGGAGGGTAGTACCCCCTCACACACACACCCCGCTACCACAGAGACGTGGGGGGGTTACTAGTGCCAACTCACTGTTACCACAGAGACGTGGAAGGGCACCAACCCCCGACACCGTTACCACAGAGACGGGGGGAGGGCGCCATACCCCCATAAACCTCTTTGCCATGGAGACGGAGGGCACCATCCCCCCCAAACACCCGCTACCATGGAGACCGGGCCGAGGAGCGGAGGAGGAAGGGAAGCGGGAGGCCCTGCGGCCCGTAGGAGACATCCCCACGGCCACAGAACCGCGGTTACCGTTCGCGCTGACAGCTCCAGACTCTACTCGTGTTTCCCGCCAGGCAGTGAGTCCTGTCTCGCCATGATGACCTAACAATTACGTATTTCCTGGGCCTCACGGAAAGGCTGCGTTCAATCAATCCCGGAAGCGGAGTCAAGGCGAAGGGTGAGGAGGGGCTAAGGCCCGGGGAGGGGGCTGGGGTCTCTGTGCTGGGCAGGGGGCAGTAGGCGGCTGTCGGGCGGGGAAGGGGCTGGGGTCGCTGTGCTGGGCAGGGGGCAGTAGGCGGCTGTCGGGCGGGGAAGGGGCCTGGGGTCTCTGTGCTGGGCAGGGAGAGTAGGGGTGTCGGGCGGGGAAGGGGCTGGGGTCTCTGTGCTGGGCGGGGGAGTAGGGGCTGTCGGGCGGGGGAGGGGGCGGGGTTCTGTGTGGGGGGGGAGTGGGGGGGGAGTAGGGTGTCGGGGGGGAGGGGGTCTCTGTGTGGGTAGGGGACAGTAGGCGCTGTCGGGCTGGGGTCTCTGTGGTGGGTAGGGGGCAGTAGGGCTGTCGGGAGGGAGGGGCTGGGGTCTCTGTGCTGGGCAGGGAGCAGTAGGCGGCTGTCGGGCCGAGGAGGTGGCTGGGGTCTCTGTGCTGGGCAGGGGGCAGTAGGCGGCTGTTGGGCCGGGGAGGGGGCTGGGGTTTCTGTGCTGGATAGGGGGCAGTAGGCGGCTGTCGGGCTGGGGTCTCTGTGCTGGGTAGGGGGCAGTAGGCGGCTGTCGGGCCGGGGAGGGGGCTGGGGTCTCTGTGCTGGGTAGGGGGCAGTAGGCGGCTGTCGGGACAGGGTGGGGGCTGGGGTTTCTGTGCTGGGTAGGGGGCAGTAGGTGGCTGTCCGGCCCGGGAGGGAGTTGGGGTCTTTGGGCCGGGCACAAGGCAGCAGGTGGCTGTCGGGCCAGGGAGGCGGTTAGGATCTGTGACGGTCCCTTCTGGTGTCATCTGGACCAGTGATCTGCTAGGTCACCCCAATCCTTGACTCTGGGAACCAGCCTTACCCTGCTCTGCTGTGAGAACCCCCACTCCTGGGCTGTTCACGCACAGCCTCTGGCATGTAAGCTGCTCCCAGCGACTTGCAGCCGAATGACACTAACCAATATCTCCGGTCCCAGACACAACTCTAGGAACTTCTGTGTTGCAGTTGTCAAGTTATGTTCACTGGACGCTGCAAGCTCATATGAATTCATCATTTTATGTACCAGGCTTGTTATCCCCAGGGGAGTCTCTGACACGCTTCAGACCAAATGCACTGCTTCAGGTAGAATAAATATCGAACCCATTTATTAACTATGAAAGACAGATTTTAAGTGATTATAAATCAAAACACAAAAAGTCAGAGTCGGTCAAATGCAATAAAAACAAAACGCATTCTAAGCTGATCTTAACACTTTCAGTACCCTTACAAACTTCTCACAACAGGCTGGCTGGTTGCTCTTCAGCCAGGCTCTCCCCTTTGATCAGCGCTTCAATCGCTTCGTGGTGATGTCTGTAGATGAAGGTGGAAGAGAGAAGAAGGGCATGGCAAACGTCTCTCCCTTTTGTCATGTCCTTTCTTCCCTCTTGGCTTTGGCCCCCCCCCCCCCCCCCCCAGAGTCAAGTGAGCACTACCTCATCGCATTCTCAAACTGACCAAAGGAAGGGGGGTGACTCACTCGAGAGTCCAACAGATCCTTTGTTGTTGCCTAGGCCAGTGTCCTTTGTTCCTGTGAGGCTGGGCTGGGTTGTCCCATACATGCCCCGATGAGGTGTGAACTGCTCCTCTGCTTCTGGAGAGTTTTTGCTTGGGCTTGCTTTAGGCCATGAGGATGCATTTTCAGCCTCATAACTATATACATGAAATTACAATCCATAACATTACCATAACAACAATGCTCAGTACATCATAAGCCTTCTAAAGACACCCAACATGACAAACTTTGCATTAGATACCACACAAACATATTATAAGAATGAACATGAGGGTACTGGGTGATCCCCCGAGGTACAGAACATCACAGGGTCTCTGTGCTGGGCTGGGGGCACTAGGTGATTGTCGGGCCAGGGAGGAGCCTGGAGTCTCTGGCCCAGCAGGGGGCAGTAGGTGGCTGTCCGGCCAGGGAAAGGGTTAGGGTCTCTGTGCTGGGCATGGGGCAGTAGGTGCTGTTGGGCTGGGGAGGGGGCTGGGGTCTCTGTGCCGGGCAGGGGGCAGTAGGTGACTGTTGGGCCGCGGGGGAGCTGGGATCTCAGTGCCTGGCAGTGGGCAGTAGGTGCCAGTCAGACCGGGGAAGGGGCTGGGGTCTTGGTTCCAGGCACAGGGCAATACGTGGCTGTCAGGCCAGGGAGGGGTCTAAGGTCTTTGTGCCAGGCATGGTGCACTAGGCAGCTGTTAGGATGGGAGGGGGCTGGGGTCTCTCTGCTGGGCTGAGGGCGGGAGGTGGATGTCGGGCCGGGGAGGGGGCTAAGGTCTCTGTGCTGGGCACGGGGCAGTAGGTGGCTGTTGGGCTGGAGAAGGGGTTGGGGTCTCTGTACTGGGTAGGGGGCAGTAGGCGGCTGTCAGGCCAGGGAGGGAGCTGGGGTCTCTCTGCTGGACTGGGGGCAGCAGGTGGATGTCCGGCCAGGGAGTTAGCTGAGGTCTCTGTGCTGGGTAGGGGTCAGCAGGCAGCTGTCAGGCCAGTGAAGGGGCTGAAGTCTCTGTGCCGGGCAGGGGGTAGCAGGCAGCTGTCGGGCTTGGGAGGAGACTGCGGTCTCTGTGCTGGACTGGTTGCAGCATGCAGCTGTTGGGCTGGGGAGGGGGCTGGGGTCTCTGTGCTAGGGAGGGGGCTGGGATCTCTTTGCTGGGCAGGGGACAGTAGAAGTGATGGGCGCTGGCACGTGGCAAATGGGGCATGGTGCCCACACACACCAACCCTGAGGATCAAACAGTTCCCCACTGCTACTGTTGCTTTAACTTCCCTTCTTGCATGTAATGGATGGGTAATTTTTGATGCTCTTTGTCCTTATCATCAGAAGAAAAATCGCTGTATTCATAACTCGGCTTATCAATCACAGGGTGACTAACAGCAGATAAAACTGCAGTTAAGACAAGTCAGTCTGTAGTTCTAATGAGTGTTAGCAGTCCTCAACCATCCAAGGAAGGCAGATGATCATTGCAGGAAACTCAGTCCTCACAAGAATCAAATGAACATTCAGCAGGAGTCAGGCAGTGTGGTGCCTTCCCAGAGCCAAGACATGAAACTGGACACACTTCTGAAGTTAGCGGGCTAGGAGCTATGGGTGATTGTTCAAATTGGCACTAATGACACTGTGTCAATGAATAGCTCACAGATATGAGTTCAGGGAACTCAGAAGCATGCTGAAAAAGAATGTTCAAGCGACCTTTTCCAAGCTCCTACCTGCCCTACAAGCAAAGGAAGGCAGAAGATTCTAGCTGTGAACCACTGTCTACGTAAATGGCGTACAGTGGAGGGTTTTGGTTATGTGGAACATTGGGCCTCCTCTATGGGAAGAGGGGGCTGTGTAATTTGGATGGCCTCCACCTCAGCAGAAGGTGGCCCAATCTCTTCAGGGACAGGCTGACCAGAGTAGTCAGGTCAGGGGGTTAAATTAATAGCAGAAGGAGAGGGTAAAATGAGCACAAAGTTGAGATGTTGAAACAAAATGAATCAAGGAACCAATGGATATGGAGAGAAGAAATGATTGAATTGCCTATACACTAGTGTTAAAAGCCTGGATAGCAAACAACAGGAATTGGAATTACTATAATGTATAGGGGGGGAAAAACTGTGATCATGGAGGACTTCCGTTTGAGTAACACATACTGGAGGTCTCATGCTGCCAGTACTAAACCACCACTGGAATTTCTAAACACTGTACATAGCAATTTCCTGACTCAAAAAGTGTTGCAGCTGACATAGGGGAATTCTTTATTAGACTTTGTCCTAATAGATGAAGAGGGAATGGAGCACAGAACTAAAAATTAATGGTAGCTTAAGTACAAGTCATCATGACTTGATCACATTTATAATGTGCAAACAGAATGAAGTCCGGACCAGAAATATATAGACTTGGTGCCTTAGAAGGACCAATTTCACAAAATTGAAACAATTATGAGCCAAATCATGAGATAGCTGCTGTTAGTCACCACATGCTAGCAAATACAAGTTCAGAACACACCATTTTTCCGAATGAAGAGTGGAAAGTGCTACGTGTCTTCAGGATGTAACGCATAATCAGGTCCATTTTGTTTACCAGAATCTACTCTAAAGATGAGCGAACCAGAGCTGCTGCTGGACTCCAATATCCGGTTATGGGTGGTTCTTCCAATTGTTTTCATAACATTCTTTGTTGGGATGATTCGTCACTACGTGTCCATCTTGCTCCAAAGTGACAAAAAGCTCACTAGGGAACAAGTGTCTGACAGGTAAGTTAACAAGTGCACCAAAGTTTTCCTACGGCCTTTCTAATAAAGCTAGGATAAAAGAACATTAAGTTTGCAAAGTCAAAAGTAAGGAAATGCCAGGATTAAAGTTGCTTGTGCAAGCTTAATTTGGACTCCTTGTCTGTATGCAATATGAAACAATTTCTAATTACATGATCACATTTTTCCACTGGACCCCATCTCATTCAATGAACTTGATGGATAGAGCTTACTGAATGAACAGATATCCAGTATTTCTTTTCCTTATTCACTGTGTGGCCCCAGGCCATATTTACTGTACTATTCAAATCCTATCATGTATTAATTTCCTCATGGACCTTTATGAGGTGCTTATCATATAGCATCCGAGGATTTCATGAACATTCTGAAAAAAATTCCCTTGGTTCCCAAGTTTCTGTCACTGGCCACAGTGGAAACAGGGTATTGAACTAGATGACTCAAAGACCTGGTTCATGCGAATAATTTCTATGTAAACTCAATTATCCTGCTGTAAAAGGGTGGAAAGATGCCTTTGTTGGAAGGAGTTCTTAAAACAGGCTGGAGAGTGTAAAGGTAATACAGACAGGGAGTATTCATTCATTATGTTCATTTATCTTTTTTTGTCTGGCTGTCCCTAGTCATGTTTGGATCTCGAGCTGCAACTATTTTTTTCATTGGGTACTACTAATTTTGCCATTGATTTACCCTCAGTATCACTACTTCCTCTTAATGAAGACTGAGGCTAACTGAGGAATCTATTCTTATGTATAAAAAATTATACTGATTCTCGTGCTGCTTTGCACAATACATTTCCTATTAAATCTCGTTTAAGTTGGGACAGCAAAGATTTTGGTTAATGAACTCTATTTAATGCTAGACATATTTTTGGTTTTCCTATAAAAATTGCCTTTAGATCTAGAAGAAGCTGCTATTATCTGTCAGAAAATTCTGCTTAAAGGAGGCCCAAAAATCCATGAAGTTGCTTCATGGAGTCTAAATGTCATTCCACAGGGTACATATACAGCATCTGATACAATTTAATTTGTCCTCCTCTCAGGAAATCTTCTTTTCCCAATCTGGAAGGAGGAGGAAGAGGTGACCTTTTTATTCCTCACCCATCCTGATTTATGAGTGAGATGCTCCAAACTGTGAAAATTGATACTCTGGAAATTAGTTTCCATTAATAAGAAGTTGTCTTTATATTTGTGTGGTAGATGTTGCTGAGTCAGCCTTTCTCAGCTCAATTACTGTCCAGCATGTTGTTTACCTACAGCTCACTTGCAGCCCTCATTTCTACTCTTCTCTAATATTGATCTTCGATAGTCCTGCAATAATGGATTTCTTTTTTTTAGCCAAGTCCTAATTCGAAGCAGAGTCCTCAGAGAAAATGGAAAATACATTCCAAAACAGGTATGTACATGTGTGAAGCTGCATATTTGAATTTCTTTAGTCTTTTTATGAAGTCTGTATAGAGAGAATGATGACCTAAATGAACATAGATTTATAAATTCCTAAGCCAGAAGGGACCAATGTGATCATGTAGTCTCACCTTCTGTATAACACAAGTTACAGAACCCTCCCCTGAAAATAATTCCTAGAGCACATCTAGAAAAACATCCAATCATTATTTAAAAATGATCAATGATGGAGAATCCACCACGACCATTGGTAAGTTGTTCCAGTGTTTAATTACTTTCACCGTTAAAATTTTACCCCTTATTTCCAGTATCAATTTGTCTTGCTTCAACTTCCTTCCATGGGGCATTGTTATATCTTTTCTCTCCTAGATTGAAGAGTCTGTTATCAAATATTTGTTCCCTGTGTAAGTACTAATAGACTGTAATCAAGTCACTCCTTAATCTTCACTTTGTTGGCTAAATATACTGATGTCCTTGAGTCTACCACTATATTCTAATCCTTTAATCATTTTCATGGCTCTTTTCTGACCCCACTCCAATTTATCAACATCCTTCTTGAATTGTGGGCACCAGCACTGGACACAGGATTCCATAAGTGCCAAATACAGAAGTAAAATAATCTCTCTGCTCCTACTCAAAATTCCACTGTTGATGCATCCAAGGATCGCATTAGCCTTTTTGGCCACAGCGTCGCCCTGGGATCTCATGTTCCGCTGATTATCCACCACGACCCCCAAATCTTTTTCAAATATTAAGTGCAGAAAGTAGCATTAATTCATTGTTAAAGTTGAGACTTGCGCTCAAATGTCAGACAGTTCCTAAAGTAGTTAAGGTTCTTGTAGTAAGATTTATGTGTTCATTTTGTATATAAAATGTTACATGTTTAAAAAGAAAAGCAGTAATGTGGAACACTGCAGTAGGTCACGGGACATGGGCTGATTGGTCCCAACCGGGATCAAACATTCACCATCAGCATTGATTTAATTTCTTTCAAAATATAAATAGTTTGTTCTCAGTCTCTGAGAATACTGGGAAGCCATCTTTGAGAAAAAAAGAAATGTAGTAAGGTGTAAGTCTCCTTGGGAGCAAATGGCTTCTGTGCATGAAACAGTCAATAATGTTTGAGATGTGGATGCCTCAAATGGAATTTCAGAGATAGACACTAACCTGGGGGACATTGAAGACAGAAGCTCTGCCCAAATACAAATCAGTTATTGAAATTACTGGGATCCAGGGGAAAAACCTAACTGGCTTCAAGGCTGAGCTTGATAAGCATACGGAGGGGATGGTCTGATGAAACTTTCTACAGTGTCTTGTAGCCATTCTGCGACTGCTAGTAGCAAATATCCCCACTGGCCAGTGATGGGACACTAGTTGGGGAGGCCTCTCAGTTACTACAGAGAATTCTTTCCCAGGTGTCTGGCTGTTGGGTCTTGCTGAAGTGCTCAAGATCCAACTGATTGCTGTATCTGGAGTTGGGAAGGATTGGCAGAGATCCTGGCAGGTTTTTGTCTTCCTCTGCAGCATGGGTCACAGGTCACTTGCAGGTTTAAAATAATGTAAATGGTGGATTCTCTGTAACTTGAAGTCTTTAAATCATGATTTGGAGAACTTCAGTAACTCAGCCAGAGCCTAGGGGTCTATTATAGGAGGGGTGTGGATGGGGTTCTGTGGCCTGCAATGTACAGGAAGTCACTCTAGGTGATTAGGATGGTCCCTTCCAGCCTTAAAGTCTATGAAACCTGGAAAGCAGAGCAAGACTGTACATGAGGTTATTGCATCTCTGCAGGAGAGGAAGGAGGAGATATGAAAAAGGCAAAAATGACAAGCATGCATCCTGAACATTCGAGAGAAATTCTGCTGTTTGTAAACTCTGTTGTACTTGTCTGGTTCCCAGCCCAGTTAGAATTTGCTCTTTCTTTTGTTTTCAGTCTTTCCTGACACGGAAGTATTTCTTCAATAACCCAGAGGATGGATTTTTTAAAAAAACAAAAAGGAAGGTAGTGCCCCCTTCTCCAATGACAGGTATGTTAAGAGATTATTGCAAAAGACATTCTAAGTAAGCAGGTGGCTTTCCTGACAAGTCTCTAAAGCTCTCTTGTAACTTATTGTTTTTATTTCCCCCCCTTAAAATATAAACAAAGTAATAAGGATAGTAATAAGATGCAGGCCAGTCAGCCTCACCTCAGTCCCCGGAAAAATCATGGAGCAGGTCATCAAAGAATCAATCCTGAAGCACTTACATGAGAGGAAAGTGATCAGGAACAGTCAGCATGGATTCACCAAGGGAAGGTCATGCCTGACTAATCTAATCTCCCTCTATGATGAGATTACTGGTTCTGTGGATGAAGGGAAAGCAGTGGATGTATTGTTTCTTGACTTTAGCAAAGCTTTTGACACGGTCTCCCACAGTATTCTTGTCAGCAAGTTAAAGAAGTATGGGCTGGATGAATGCACTATAAGGTGGGTAGAAAGTTGGCTAGATTGTCGGGCTCAATGGGTAGTGATCAATGGCTCCATGTCTAGTTGGCAGCCGGTATCAAGTGGAGTGCCCCAGGGGTCGGTTTTGTTCACTATCTTCATAAATGATCTGGAGGATGGTGTGGATTGCACTCTCAGCAAGTTTGCGGATGATACTAAACTGGGAGGAGTGGTAGATACGCTAGAGGGCAGGGATAGGATACAGAGGGACCTAGACAAATTGGAGGATTGGGCCAAAAGAAATCTGATGAGGTTCAATAAGGATAAGTGCAGGGTCCTGCATTTAGGATGGAAGAACCCAATGCACAGCTACAGACTAGGGACCGAATGGCTAGGCAGCAGTTCTGCGGAAAAGGACCTAGGGGTGACAGTGGACGAGAAGCTGGATATGAGTCAGCAGTGTGCCCTTGTTGCCAAGAAGGACAATGGCATTTTGGGATGTATAAGTAGGGGCATAGCCAGCAGATCGAGGGACATGATTGTCCCCCTCTATTCGACATTGGTGAGGCCTCATCTGGAGTACTGTGTCCAGTTTTGGGCCCCACACTACAAGAAGGATGTGGATAAATTGGAGAGAGTCCAGCGAAGGGCAACAAAAATGATTAGGGGTCTGGAACACATGACTTATGAGGAGAGGCTGAGGGAACTGGGATTGTTTAGTCTGTAGAAGAGAAGAATGAGGGGGGATTTGATAGCTGCTTTCAACTACCTGAGAGGTGGTTCCAGAGAGGATGGTTCTAGACTATTCTCAGTGGTAGAAGAGGACAGGACAAGGAGTAATGGTCTCAAGTTGCAGTGGGGGAGGTTTAGGTTGGATATTAGGAAAAATGTTTTCACTAGGAGGGTGGTGAAACACTGGAATGCGTTACCTAGGGAGGTGGTAGAATCTCCTTCCTTAGAAGTTTTTAAGGTCAGGCTTGACAAAGCCCTGGCTGGGATGATTTAATTGGGGATCGGTCCTGCTTTGAGCAGGGGGTTGGACTAGATGATCTCCTGAGGTCTCTTCCAACCCTGATATTCTATGATTCTATGTTGGTTTGGCTAGGGTCTACAAGCAATTGCATTGGGCTCACAAGTGATGGTATTTTATGTTGCCTTGTCACTTGCCGACCTCTGATCACCTCACTTATATCCTCCCCCTCTGCTGAAGTGAGGCCATGAAGCTTGGGTAGAGTCTTTAGGGGGTTAACATCTTTAAAAGGTAAACTGCAAAAAATTGAAAAACTGGCCTTATGCTTTCCTTTTCGTTGCTTTAAATAAATAAGGAATAAGCATTTGGGGGTTTTCCCCCCTGCATGTTTTTAGCCTTAGGTCACGTCTACACTGGCAAAGTTACAGTGCCGGCAGTTACAGCACTGCTTAGGGAGCGTCAAAGGAAAACTGCTGTGGTTGGTTCACACCGACAGCTGCCTGTGCAATAGCGTGTTCACACTTGCAGTGCTATTTGGAGTGGTGCACTCTGGGCAGCTATCCCACAGAGCACCTCTTTCTTTTTTGCTGCCAAGACTTGTGGAAAGGCAGAAGGGGTCGTGGGGCATCCTGGGTCCTGTCTCAATGTCCCGTGATGCATTGCTTCGCATCCCAGCAATCCCTGTGTTTCCGTCCGCATTTGGTGCCATCTTTCAACGGTTTGTGTGCTGCGTGCCCTGCCCTGCCTCTTTCTGGCTGCAGGAATGGATCCCTAGCTGTTGACAAGAATGCTGTTCGCACTGACCATCACGAGTGGCAGTGGAGTTATTCCTTAAACTGCAAAGGCAAGAGGAGTGCAACATGGATTTCGCCACACATAGTAGCTATGGCAAGAGATTTCTTGTGGCATTCACAGAGGTGCTGACCCCTGTGGAATGCTGCTTTTGAGCTCGGGAAACAAGCACTGAGTCCTGGGATCACATCACGATGCGCGTCTAGGATGACGAGCCATGGCTGCAGAACTTTTGCATGAGGAAAGCCACATTCTTGGGACTGTGCGATGAGCTCGCACCAGCCCTGTGGTGCAAGGACACGAGAATGAGAGCTGCCCTGCCGTTGGAGAAGCGCGTGGAGATTGCACTGTAGAAGCTGGCTACTCCATACTGCTACCAATCAGTCGCTAACCAGTTCGGAGTGGGCAAGTCGACCGTTGGACTCGTGTTGATGCAAGTGTGCAGGGCCATTAATTGCATCCTACTCCAAAAGACCATGACTCTGGGCAACGTCTGAGAGATTGTGGATGGCTTTGCACAAATGGGCTTCCCTAACTGCAGAGGGGCGATAGATGGCACACACATTCCAATTCTGTTCGTCCCAGGATATTAGAGAGAAAAGTAGGTGAGGTACTAGCTTTTATTGGACCAACTTCTGTTGGTGAGAGAAACAAGCTTTCGACCTACTCAGAGCATAGGTACTTGGAGATCATTATTGGCCTATCAAATTGGTCACAGCAAAGCATTTCAAGGTTAAAACTATCCGAGTTGGCTGAGGGTATGTCTACACTACGAAACCTCTGTCAGCATAGCAGTTTTGGTGTAGACCCTAGTGTAGATGTAGCCTACACCAGCAGAAGGAGTTTTTCTGTTGGTGTAGGAACAGTACGTCCCCGCACAATGTTAGCTACCTCGACAGAAGCACTCTGCCATCAATATGTCTGTATCTAAGCTGAGGGTTTTGGCAGCATAGCTACATTAGGATTTTCACACCCCTGACTGATTTAGTTCTGCTGACATCACTTTTAAGTGTAAACCAAGGTTAAGTCAGATTTCTAATAAGAAAGGAAAAGAGAGGCAGGAGGAATGGGAGTGTGGGGAGGAATTTGACAGGGTGAGTGGGTGTAAGCAGGAGCCATATGTTTACTGCTTAGGACACAGGAGTGGAAATGGTGACGCTGCCTGGTTTCCTTGCCTCATCTCGTTCAGTCACAGCATCTTTCAGGGTTAGTAAAAGGCCCAGCTAAGTGATGACAAATCCCTCTAACCCCACATTTGGTGGTGACAGCTGTTATATGCTTTCTGCTACCCTACACTCAAACTATATTGTCAAATGCTCTTCAGAAAAGAAGTGGTCCAAAGGGAGGGCAGCCTTGTCCTATCAAAAATGGCTAGTAAAAACAAGTTTTCACTGATCCCAAGTATTGTCACTTACGTTATCTTAAAATGGTGCTGGTCTCTTACCATAACACTTCTGTACCTCAGCAGAAGCCAGGCAGTCCTTAATCACCTGTCCTTTTAGGCCTTGGCTACAGACTTACTTCAGTTGCATCCCTTTGTGGCCACTCTTACTTCAGTTTAGCATAAAACCCATTCCTAATTGACTTAAGCTAAATTTAAATCCATGTCCACGTACGGATTTGCACCAGTTCAACTAAATTGGTTTAAATTGACACCTTTTTGTTAAACTCCATGTGTAGACAAGGCTCTCACCATCTCTTTATCTCTGTTCTCTGCTTTCAACAATAATTTTATATAACATGATTATCGGTTGTGGAGTTTTTGGCACCTTTCCCCTTTTGGGACAGTTTGTGATTTCAGCCCAGGCTAGAGTCCAACACCAACATCCACAAGGCCTGGGGAGGTGCAACAGAAGGGAAAAGCTAAATTCAATTCTGCCACATATGCAGCCCTCCTGAAGTCAACTGGGTGTTAGGGTCAACTAGGAGCTGGCTCCAGCACCCAGCAGGGAAACAATTTGCCTTTCTAAATTCCTAGTCAAGCTGAAATTTTTCAGGGGAAACCTCTGAGCTCTGCGGAGATGAAGGTAGAGTTCTGTCCTAAAAAGCTTGCAGGAGATAGCATTCTTGGCAGTACTGTGAATTCAGAACGCTGGACTCTGTTTTGCTTTGTGCCCCCATTTCAGGTCAATGTAATGGATTGCATAGTTGAAGTGACACCACTTTCTTAATACTGGGTGCTATTCACCTCCTTTGTAAAGTGCTTTGAGATCTACTTATGAAAAGCACTATATAAAAGACCTAGGTGGGGGTCTTGTCATCATGATTAACCTCTCATTCACTCCTTATTGATATACAACCCACTTTTTCAGTCAAGCTAAGTGACCTCTTACATTGTTTTCGTTTAACTACCATCAGAAAGGCAGGCTGTGACAAAACATCTGGGAAGGCAGCGTGTAATCAGTGCTTAATGTACTGTGTTCAATCTGTACCTGATAGATCCTACTATGCTGACGGATATGATGAAAGGGAATGTAACCAATGTTCTACCCATGATCCTTATCGGCGGTTGGATCAACATGACGTTCTCGGGCTTTGTAACAAGTAAGTGTCATGGAGCAATATGCAATGGTTTCGTGCAGGCATTAGGCCACATCAGAGCCTTGTTACCTCCGCCTAAGCATGGGCTGAGCTAGTGGAGTGAAATGAGTGTAATCCTGGCTCTAAAGAGGCACAGCAGATTTCTCCCCTCTTGACCAAATGGAAGGGGAATAGAATCTCCAAATCCACCATCAATAACTATACATATAAAAAGAAAAGGAGTACTTGTGCTTCATTGGAGCTGTAGCTCACGAAAGCTTATGCTCAAATAAATTTGTTAGTCTCTAAGGTGCCACAAGTACTCCTTTTCTTTTTGCGAATACAGACTAACACGGCTACTACTCTGAAACTACATATATAAAGTGATGCTAAATTAGCTGTTTCCACTCAAGAAAGAGATCTTGGAGTCATCCTGGATAGTTCTCTGAAAACATCCACTCAATGTGCAGTGAGAAAAGTGAGTCAGAAAAGCTAAGAGAATGTTGGGAATCATTCAGAAAAGGATAGATAAGACAGAAAACATATTGCCTCTGTATAAATCCCTGGTACGCCCACATCTTGAATACTGTGTGCAGATGTGGTCACCCCATCTCAAAAAAGATATATTGGAATTGGAAAAGGTATAGAAAAGGACAACAAAAATTATTAGGGGCATGGAACAGCTTCCATATGAGGAGAGAATAATAAGACTGGGACTTTTCAGCTTGGATAAGAGATGACTAAGGGGGGAATGAGATAGACGTCTATGAAATCATGATTGCTGTGGAGAAAATATGGAAGTGTTATTTACTACTTCTCATAACACAAGAACTAGGGGTCACCAAATGAAATTAATAGGCAGCAGGTTTAAAACAAACAAAAGGGAGTATTTCTTCACACAACTCAGTCATCCTGTGGAAATCTTTGCCAGAGGATTTTGTGAAGGCCAAGACTATATCAGGATTCAAAAAAGAACTAGATAAATTTGTGGAGGATAGCTCTATCAGTGGGTATTAGCCAGGATGGGCTGGGATGGTGTCCCCAGCCTTTATTTTGCCAGAAGCTGGGAATGGGCCGCAGGAGATGGATCACTTTAATTTTCCTGATATCTGCTGGGAGAGCAATACAGCGGTGCATAGACAATCTGGGAAGTTTTTGGAAAACGTAGGGGACAATTTCCTGGTGCAAGTGCTAGAGGAGCCAACTAGGGGGGGAGCTTTTCTTGACCTGCTGCTCACAAACCGGGAAGAATTACTGGGGGAAGCAAAAGTGGATGGGAATTTGGGAGGCAGTGACCATGAGTTGGTTGAGTTCAGGATCCTGACACAGGGAAGAAAGGTAAGCAGCAGGATACGGACCCTGGACTTCAGGAAAGCAGACTTCAACTCCCTTAGGGAACGGATGGGTAGGATCCCCTGGGGGACTAACATGAAGGGGAAAGGAGTCCAGGAGAGCTGACTGTATTTCAAGGAATCCCTGTTGAGGTTACAGGGACAAACCATCCCGATGAGTCGAAAGAATAGTAAATATGGCAGGCAGCCAGCTTGGCTTAACGGTGAAATCCTAGCGGATCTTAAACATAAAAAAGAAGCTTACAAGAAGTGGAAGGTTGGACATATGACCAGGGAAGAGTATAAAAATATTGCTCGGGCATGTAGGAATGAAATCAGGAGGGCCAAATCGCACCTGGAGCTGCAGCTAGCAAGAGATGTCAAGAGTAACAAGAAGGGTTTCTTCAGGTATGTTGGCAACAAGAAGAAAGCCAAGGAAAGTGTGGGCCCCTTACTGAATGAGGGAGGCAACCTAGTGACAGAGGATGTGGAAAAAGCTAATGTACTCAATGCTTTTTTTGCCTCTGTCTTCACTAACAAGGTCAGCTCCCAGACTGCTGCACTGGGCAGCACAGCATGGGGAGTAGATGGCCAGCCCTCTGTGGAGAAAGAGGTGGTTAGGGACTATTTAGAAAAGCTGGACGTGCACAAGTCCATGGGGCCGGACGAGTTGCATCCGAGAGTGCTAAAGGAATTGGCGGCTGTGATTGTGAAATCTGATGAGGTTCATCAGATGAGGTTCAACAAGGATAAGTGCAGGGTCCTGCACTTAGGACGGAAGAACCCAATGCATCGCTACAGACTAGGGACCGAATGGCTAGGCAGCAGTTCTGCGGAAAAGGACCTAGGGGTGACAGTGGACGAGAAGCTGGATCTGAGTCAGCAGGGTGCCCTTGTTGCCAAGAAGGCCAATGGCATTTTGGGCTGTATAAGTAGGGGCATAGCCAGCAGATCGAGGGACGTGATTGTCCCCCTCTATTCGACATTGGTGAGGCCTCATCTGGAGTACTGTGTCCAGTTTTGGGCCCCACACTTCAAGAAGGACGTGGATAAATTGGAGAGAGTCCAGCGAAGGGCAACAAAAATGATTAGGGGTCTGGAACACATGACTTATGAGGAGAGGCTGAGGGAACTGGGATTGTTTAGTCTGTAGAAGAGAAGAATGAGGGGGGATTTGATAGCTGCTTTCAACTACCTGAGAGGTGGTTCCAGAGAGGATGGTTCTAGACTATTCTCAGTGGTAGAAGAGGACAGGACAAGGAGTAATGGTCTCAAGTTGCAGTGGGGGAGGTTTAGGTTGGATATTAGGAAAAATGTTTTCACTAGGAGGGTGGTGAAACACTGGAATGTGTTACCTAGGGAGGTGGTAGAATCTCCTTCCTTAGAAGTTTTTAAGGTCAGGCTTGACAAAGCCCTGGCTGGGATGATTTAATTGGGGATTGGTCCTGCTTTGAGCAGGGGGTTGGACTAGATGACCTCCTGAGGTCCCTTCCAACCCTGATATTCTATGATTACCTGTTCTGTTCATTCCCTCTGAAGCACCTGGCATTAGCTATTGTCAGAAGACAGGATACTGGGCTAGGCGGACCTTTGGTCTGACCCAGTATGGCCGTTCTTATGTTAACTCCTTCCAGCTGGGAAGCTCCCTCTTCTCAGGGCCAAGTGTCCTGTCCCCAGATACAGTTGACATAAAGCAGAGTAGTCAGAGCTGGAAAGCATGTCTTCATTTAGAAATTGGAGAGAGGAATAAAGAAGTGTTTGTGCAATGTGCTGAGGTAGTTTTGCAATGCTTGTTTTATAACGTTGCATCACTCTGTCCTACTGGCAGGGTGGATAAAAAAAAATCAATGGATTTAAAAAATAAATAAATAAAATAAAAATTAAAAAATCAGATTTTTTTTATTTAAAGAGGTTTTTTCCCCTCAAAAAAAAATCGGATCTAAAGATCCATTATAGCTCAAAGATACCTCATCATGGAATAAAAGAAAAGGAGTACTTGTGGCACCTTAGCATGCATCCAATGAAGTGAGCTGTAGTTCACGAAAGCTTATGCCCAAATAAATTTGTTAGTCTCTAAGGTGCCACAAGTACTCCTCTTTTTGCGGATACAGACTAACACGGCTGCTACTCTGAAACCTGTCATCATGGAATAGGGATTATAAATTCTAATTCTATAGTACGAGACAATATATTCATGTAATATTTAAGAAAAGTTTTGTAAATGAGTTCCAATAGTTCATGGATTAGGAACCCAATTTTACGGGGTTCCAGGGGCTTCTGTATTGATTATTTAGGTTAATATTTCTATCTACCCAATGGAGCTCCCAATGTGGGGAGGGATTGCTCAGTGGTTTGAGCATTGGCCTGCTAAACCCAGGGTTGTGAGTTCAATCCTTGAGGTGGCCATTTAGGGATCTGGGGCAAAAATTGGGGATTGGTCCTGCTTTGAGCAGGGGGTTGGACTAGATGACCTCCTGAGGTCCCTTCCAACCCTGCTAGTCTATGATTCTATGACTCGTTGCTCAGTCTAAAAGATATAATCAGAGATGCTTAGTTTTGCAGTTCTCAAACTGTGGATTTGTGTCTCCAGAGATAACATGCTTGTTAACAGCAAAAAAGTTTTTAAATAAATATCTAGAGGTGAGAAATAATAGTCCTCAACCCTATTGTCCCTCTGCAAATTAGTGTACACAGAGTCAATCCCTTACCACTCTCTAAAAGTGCAAAGTTTTGAAAAGTTCAACGAATAGAAGATTGTTGGGGGCAGAATAGATCTGGACAAGGAGAAGAAGTCTGGAGATAAATGTGAGAAGGGAGGGACAGGAAGTAGAAACAAAAGTGAAACTGTTTGAGCAGCATATTCCAGAAATCTAGGTCTTTCTCATTGTAGCCTTTATTGATTTGAGATCTATCATACCATTCTCTCACGAGAGAAGGGTAAACCTATAATGGCAGCAGGCCAGAAAAGAGAGCTAGTTTGGAAATATTTTAATGAAGTTCCTCTACCTGTGGGTAAGACAGGCATGCGTGCAAAATACAAACTGTGCAACAAAGAAATGCAAGGCCTAGTTGCCCAAATGAAACAACATCATGAGAAGTGTTCCTTCTCAGGAGGAAGCTGCGTTGAAGATGATGAAAGGAACACGTCTGAACATGCAGGATCTTCAGGTTGGTAATCTTTTTTATTGCATACTTCTTTCTTAAGGACTGCCTATCTTCCTTCTGGACTATTCTTGAATTCTCATATTTGAGCAAAAAATATAGTTAATTACCATAGAGTAACATCATTTTAGATGAAGTTGTGATTAAAAAAATAAATAGCTGAAATAAGCAGATCTTCCTTTTAAAATTTCACCTTGAAAGTAGTACTGAGTGTCAATGAATGCAATGAGTAATACTAGATGAGCAGTATGGTAATAATAATTAAATAACTGCATTGACTTATTTTGTTTAGAAGAATCCATCCTCAACATGCAGGATTCTGAAGACTATCCACCTTCAAGATCACCATCATTTTCTATAGTTTCAGAGTTATCTGCCAATTCTAGTGTTTCAGTCACATCATGTATGTCACATAGCCAAAGTACATCACCTGTAGCAAAAAGAAAAAAAAAAATCTATCATCCAGAAATAAGTTTGTGATCAGAACCAGCAGATTACAAAAAGAGGTAATTGATGAAAAAATTGCCCAGTTTCTTTATGCAATGAACTCTCCTTTCCGTATGATTGAGAACCCACACTTCATTAATATGGTTCAGTCACTAAGACCAGGATACAGTCCACCCACCAGAGCAGATGTCGCAGGCAAATTGCTGGATACAGCATATGAAAGAGAAATTGAGTAGTGTGCAAAAGGTCTAGAGGGTAAAATTGTTAACCTGAGTCTCGATGGGTGGAGCAATGTCCACAACGATTCTGTTGTATGTGCTTGTGTGATAACAGAAAAACAGAATGACTTCCTTACAGAAACAATTGATACATCAGGAAATGCACACAGCGGAATACTTACAAGAAGTAGCAGTAAAAGCTATAACAAACTGAAAAAAAATGCAAATGTCTAGTGAGCAGCTTGGTCACAGACAGTGCATCCAAGATGAGAAGAAATTTAGAAGAGAGTCTCAAGCTTATAAAATACGTTGCAGTGCTCATTTGATGTACCTCCTAGCCAAAGACTTCAGTGTTCCAGAAATAAAGGCTAAAGTTGTTGAAATTGTAAAATACTTCCGTAACAACCACTTTGCAGCAGCTACTCTGAAAAAAGTGGGAGGAAGCAAGCTAACTCTCTCACAAGATGTGCGATGGAACTCAGTAGTGGACTGTTTTGAGCACTATATCAAGAACTGGCCTAATCTGATGACAGTTGGTGAACAAAATCGTGAAAAAAATAAATGGCACTGTCACAGTTCTCAGAGAGAGAGGCTTAAGAGAAATGTTGAACACATGCTGGAGTACCCTGAAGCCTATTTCTGTAGCCTTGAGCAAAATGCAGGGAAATAGCTGCTTTATTGCTGACGCTGTTGAAATTTGTAAGGAACTGAGATCTTAAAGAGAGAAATATGCAATGACAGAGTTAAATTACAAGCATTAAAAAAAAAAAAAAAAAAAAAACACGAATGGGACAAGCACTATCTCTAGCTCATTTTCCTGGAAATATTCTCAATACTCGCTACCAGGGTCAAACCTTAACTGCTGAAGAAGAGGAGTTGGCTATGACATGGACATCCAGCAACCAACCCTCCATAATGCCAACTATAATAAACTTCAGAGCTAAGGGTGAACTGTTCAAGAAATATGTTTGCTGATGGAAAAGGAGTACTTGTGGCACCTTAGAGACTAACACACCAGTGAACTGGTGGAAGTCACTTAAGCACTTGGAGTCAGAGACTGTTGAAATGATAATCTCACTTTTAACTGCAGTAGCTTCTTCTGCCGATGTAGAAAGAATATTTTCTTCCTTTGGACTAATTCATTCCAAATTGAGAAATCGTTTGGGACTTGAAAAAGCAGGAAAGCTTGTTTTTCTTTTCCAGATTATGAATAAACAGGAAAATGAAGGTGAAGATGACTGAGTTAGCTGCAGAAGCCAATATTTTAAGTTTTTCATGTTGACCTACCTGACTGTCGATTTAATTTGTTTTGTTTTTAAATATTTCAATTTAACTATTTTAGTTAAAAACAATTTTAATAAAAACAAACCTGATTTTAAAAAACTTGAATGTTCAACTAAATTCAAAAATTCATATGCTTGTTTTGATAAAATATTATAAGTTTTCTGTTGAAGAAAAAAATATCCAGAATACAGAACGTTGTTGTTTTAGTTAAATAAAACAATTTACATGTCTGTCTGGTGATGTTCTCCTCCTAATACAGCATGGCAAGAAAATCCTCCAAATATTAATGATTAACCTGTTGAATTGGAGATAGTTCACCTCCCAGTGACTTCATAAATATCTGCTTCAATTACCTTTGGTAAATGAAATAACCAAACAATCATTCATTTTCTGATATAGCTGTAAGACTAATCTGAAAAGTTTTCAAAATAAAGTCACTTTAAAAATGTATAGTGTGTACCTTCTAAAAATGAAACCTACGTTATCTCTGAGTTGTGAAGAATATGTATTAAGGTTATAACAACCAACAAGAATGCACTTTTATGTAGAAATCCATGATTAAATCGAGTCTTCCTGACTAGTGATTTAAATCAAATTCACCCTGCCTACTGGTACTATTGTGATTAAGCAGACATCCACTAACATCTAGCAGGGAATGGGAGATACTGAGTATTTATGGCAGAGTTGCACTCTATTTGATGCAATGGCTCATTCACTCAGTGACAGTGGAGAGAGAAACACTTTTTAAAAATAGCAAAATATGACCATGAAATACAGACACTGGTAGGTGCAGTTGAGAGCAGGTGTAGCACCAATAACTGCTTGGAACTTTTTTTATTGCCTAGATTTGAAGTTGACAGAGTAGGTTTCCTTCCACACGTGTAAGAGTCAAGTCACACTAAGTAACTAATGCAGTGGGTTCCAAACATATATACTTTCCTTCAGTTTGGAGTTTGTTTTACTCCTGCTGTTTGTGAGATGACTCTTGTCCATCATGGATATGTTAATAGCAGTGATTATTTGGTTTATTTTCAAAAACCCTTTAAAATTTGACTTTTACTGGGAGTTAAAAAAAATAAGTGAGTTATGTATACATCAGCTGAAAAATGTTAATACCAAGAGGAACAGCTGATTGTGGAACAGCTCTGCAGTTGCTTACCACTGTTTGTGAGATCGTCTTGTTTGCCTTCCTTACAGCAAAGGTACCATTTCCCCTGACGCTGCGCTTTAAACCAATGCTGCAGCAGGGAATTGAGCTGCTCACTTTGGATGCATCCTGGTAAGAGCTTTGTTTTTTAATCAATACATCACACAGGCTGGGAATGGTGGAACTTGGCTATGAAAAGCTTAGAATGAATGAGTGCCTCTGCCTGTACAAGCATGCCTGAAGTGAGATCAGAAGATAGGCATCCTGCATTCAGGCACTCATTGAGCTGAAATCTAATCTCTTTGTTTTGGTTTGTCAGGGTGAGTTCTGCTTCATGGTACTTCCTGAATGTGTTTGGACTTAGAAGCATTTATACGCTCATCCTGGGTCAAGATAATGGTAAGACCCTATTGTTTGTTTTTTTAACTGGTTTCTGCTTGTGTTGGAGAGATCATCTGAGTGAATACAAGACTCCCAGCAGGACCAGGAAAGTCATGAGTTGTCCTGTCAGACCCTTATGTTACTCAGTCCTACCACTATCCTCTCTGCATGGATGACAGTATGGCTAGCCTTGGAAGTCTAATCCATTGCCCATTCACTGACTGTTAATAACCTTCCAATTTTATTTATTTGGGCATAAGCTTTCATGGGATATAACCCACTTCATCAGATGCATGGAGTGGAAAATACAGTAAGCAGGTATAAATATACAGCACATGAAAAGATGGAAGTTTCCTTACCAAGTGGGGGGTCCGTGCTAACGAGGTCAATTCAATTAGGATGGATGTAGCCAGTTGCCTTTTCCTTCATTAGCCTCAAACAGGTGGGGAGAAATCTCTAAATCTGTTTGGATTTTTAGCTTTAAAGAAAAGCGCAAAGACTTAACTAGTCTTTGCTTCTAGATGCGGGGCAGTGGGACAACTGGTTGCTGTCAAAAGTTTCTTGGCTGGGAAGCTAGGAGTTCACATCTCCCTCCTCCCCACACACCTCGTATATAAATGTTCTCTCCACCCCTGCTCACAGGGAAGAGAAACACAGGAGTTGCAGCCCCTGCCCACTTCAGTAAGCCTCAGCCACCTCAGAGAAAGGGCTGGAAGCAGGTATTGGGTTTGAGACTCATGCCAAAACACCAGGCAATAACCCCAGAACTCCTGGAGCTTTCCCCAACAACTTTTACAGTTCACTCTTGTGCCTCCAAGTTAGAATCTCTAATCCACTGGAAGGGTGGGGACAGCAGAAAATAAACTGAAGTTTACATCAGAGCAGCAGGGGCTGCTGTACTGACTGCAACAGTGGCTGCAAATGTCAGGATCGTGGATGCTACTAAAGAAGAATATGCAGCCAAGGTCCTAAGAGTTCATTGTTTCAGGCTCACTCTGGGACAAAGGAGAGGGGGGTAAATTGTCTCAGCCTGGCCTTCTATAGGCATCAGTCTCCGTCTCCGTGGCTCTGCCTTTTTAGGGATTGTCATGTCCATCTTTAGGATGGTTCTGAGAAAAGACTTTCCCCGTTACCTATTTAAAAATTGACTTGTGTTGAGAAACCCTGATGTGAAATCCCCACCAAGGACTATGAACAAGCATTACAAGCTGACTCAGGCAGCATGGCTTAGTGGCCACAGGATGGATCATTTGTAGCTGTGTTCAGTTTTCTTCCATTGCATTAGAAGTTACATCCCTAGGAGGGGTTGTATTAGATAGCTAGAGAGAGACCCCACAAAACTCAGTTTTTCTTCTCTGACGATCCCGTTAAAACAAACGGGACAAAACTGCCTTTCCAGTCATCCCTTTCACAAAAGAGATCAATCCTTGAGATTCCCAGAGCTCTGTCATCAGCAGGTCCCAAGAGTCATCAGAGGACTGTTCTTCCAGTACAGACCCCTGCCATTCTGGCTGGTAACTGCCCCCAAACCCTTCACAAAGAAGATGGTGGATGCTGTAGCTCTAAGGGAGAAAAGCTAGTGGTGTTCTGCCATATCTGGGTGAGTGGAGCTGGCCTTCCTCAGCCTGTACAGTAGACCCTACTTTAATCAACATATGCAAATCTTTTTTCCAGAACCTGAGTCTGATAATAGATGAGAAGAGCTGTTCCATCCCAACTCAACAGTAGACTCTAACCAGGGAGTCCTTCAGCACAAAGAGAGCTCTTGCTTAACTCTCCATGGACAGAATTCTAAAGTGAGATCACCGAGTTCTTCTAGTACAAGACCAGGAGTTTTCAGCTAAGGATCTTCCAAGTCTGCCAGCTCTGGTGCCATAGTTGCAATGGCACACTGAATCCATTAGCTATTTGCACGGAAGTCAGAAATTCATTTCTCTGAGCTGAACATGCTGTTTCCTCCACTACTAGTGCAAACTGCACAGCTGGCATCTTCGGAACAATGCTCACAGGAATGATGCTCTGAGTAGTCAAATGCCAGGCTCTCCAGCCCATCAGACTAGTATCATGTAGCCTAGAAAATGTTTCCATGCATGTAACTGAGCTTCTAAAGGAAGTTTGATTACAGTCTCCTGGAATTAATAGAAGTACAAATGGCCTTCAAGCTGCTGGTCAATGGTCACCCAAAAAAACCAAACCACAGCTGGTAACCCACATCACTTACCAATGAGGTAGTGAGAGCAGAGTTCTTCCCAAAATGAAACTACTGCTATTCCACTGGACCAAGCATAACTGGCTTTTTATTATTTGAGTGACACAAACAGGGCCATACAGCTGGATATGGTTTCTAAACATCTACCAGTGCAGGCTAGCAGAGATTCCCTACCTTGCATTTATCAAGGTTCACTCCACTTAAGTCATTGCAGGTTTTTACACCCAAGAAAAGTGAAGCTTTAGTAGGAAAGCTGGGCAGAACCATCACCAAAAGGGCTAATAGCATTCTCCCCACAGCTTCTCTGGACATTGCAGGTTCAGTAGGAGCATCCTCTGGGCAGAAGATTACTGAAGCCTTTCACTACGGGCAGTTCGCTTGTTCAAGATGAGTTTTGTTTTTCCTTCATTGTTTCTGGCCATTAGCCATTTTAGCGTTAGTTTCCATGGAACGTTTTCAGTTTGGAGATCTGTGTAGCTGTGACACTTTGCCTTTTGCCTAGTCAAATAGTCAGTGGGAATGCTAAAAAGATCCTGCACTGGTGGAGAGTCTGAGGTTGTGTGTTTGTATCTTTGGAAGCCATTAAGTTGGAGAAGGCAGGGTCTGTCAGTAAGGGGACAAAATGTAAACTTGCACATGGAGGAAAGTTACCCATACATCTGCACTGGTGCTCAGCATGGCTCAGGAAGGAATTAGCAGATGAGAAACATTCCTTTCCACTCTGCCTCATGAGCATATGTTACTGTCATCCTGCAGGGTC